TTTGATTACAATTCTACTTAAATCTTTTAAAACTTAACATGCTTGTCAAACTATGTGAAACTAAACATATACCAAAATTTGCGATGATTAAATGTTGGGTGCGCACGCAACTTCAACTCAAAGTTTGTGCAGACTCAAACGCAAGAAAATGTTTTCTAAAAACACACAATATCGGGGTAATGTCATAATTTCAAGCATATAATTACATAGATTTACAATATTCAATTATTCATATAATTATATGATATACAATATTCGCGTTGTTACAAACTTGTAGCAAATGGTAAGAGCACTCCGTGAGGTGTAGATGGTGACCTACAGCGCAGATTCTAGCTGCTTAACTAAAATAAAGTATTGCTTAGTTGCGTAACTGTAATTTAAGGTTAGCTTCTAATGACTGGCTGATAGAAGCTGAGTTGAAGATATTCCGAGAAAGAAACCGTGCCAGTCTAACAAATTAGTGTTTCGCTAAATTCGAGGGAATAACACATCTCTTTAAAAATACTCAAGTTTTTTGTTTCTTAAAGGTTGTCAGTTTATCGGCCCTCAGGCAGCGATTTTGAATCCCGTTTGGACCAAAGTCCATGATCCTAAAGCTAATGGGTTACCATCACTTACCAGGAAAGTGTAATTGATGGAGGTTGTTATTAAAACCTCGAAAATGGAAGTAGGAGTATGACATAATTGCACATTGATACACGTCTGAATCTGCTTTAAAGCTGATAAATGTCATAAACGATTGAAATTTTCACACTACTGATCACTTAAAGTTAAACGATAGATCCTCAATGAAATCACTTTCATGAAAGCGTATCTACGATCTAATTTGATCATAATATTTGATCAGTCTATTTTTTAGTTTTATACTCCCTTCAGACAGTGCAAGTATCCATAAATATATATTTAATATCGAGTTGTTTCTGAGAAATTCTCTAATATTGAATATTTTAATACGGAACGTGATGCCCTGCAGTAAATATACCTAATGAGGCTAGAAAGTTAAACTGTCACTCGTGTTGATTTTAAGGGGACCTCGTCAGTGGCAACTCATGAAATGTTAGAGTTGAAACCCAAAGTTCAATAATACCGAGAGCTGACACAGGAACTCCAGCTCTTTCTGTATAAGTGAGGAGCAACATCCTTCTCAGCACTTATTAACCTTATATTACGTATTAAACCTTTCGGCCGAGCTCCACTTTATACTCTACTTTATATATATTTATACTCTACTTTATATATTGTCACGTGTTAGTCAGGTGTTGGTCTGCGCGTTCAAAATCCATTATAGTACGTCCAGACCAAGTGTTTATGAATTGCATAACACGGTAACCATGGTAACCAAGGTAACCATGGTAACCGAGGATGACTTCTAGATTGGGTAGGTTGAGTTAGTAGCGGCTACTACACGTGATATGAAGCAATGCTCGTGTCACGTGTACCCTCACAGATCATGAGATCACCTTTCTAATCAATCTCTGATCCACTTCCAGTACATCATATTTTACGTTGAGTAAGTAAATTTAACGAATATATTTCTAGCTATAACAAAAACTAGTAGAGTGGTTTAACCTCTTTAATACAGTAGCAATCGTAAAACTTACTATAATTTGATGAGTCAGCTCCTGCTGAGAGCTAACTGGTTAGCCGGTCTACTGATGGTCGACTTGCTAAGTCAGCTCCTGCTATAATGAATCGTATAAAAATAATTTAGACTCTATTAAAGAAATATTGCCTGAGTTAAGTTGCACCACGTGGTTAAGTTGCACGATGTTCTGAACTCTCTGACTCAACAGCCCACAAGAGAGCGTGAAGTCAAAGTCAAACGTTACGCTGTTATACCATGAGCTAGAGCAGCAATTACAATTTCTAAACTCGTTAACCACTATCAACTGCACCCCCAACCCGGCCGGATAATGGACAGCTATGGTCCGGTGTCTATCAAAACGCTTCTAGTTCTTATTAACCGTCGCGTATCGAATTTAAAGAATTTAAACTATAACTTTTTTAGTTTGAAATCAAGTGACATTTTTTATTATTCTATTGTTAGGAAAAATATCAAATGGAAGAAGCGGGTGGTCTGCAATACTGAACGTAAGAATATTCTGAAAACACGGAAATGACAAAAATTGCTACAAGAAACTTGTCATGATGATTCCTACGCGAGAAATTTCAAATTTGAGGTACACTTGCATGGATCGAGTGGAGTAGTGTGCCTTTGACAGGAGACCCATTTTGAGGAGTTGTACAACAAGCAAGGTAATTCAGGAGATAAACGAAACATTTTTATAAGCAATTAATTAATAATCTCCATTTGTACTTGTAGCCAATTTTATATTGCAATATTATATATTCGTGGAGCGGGGTCAGCGCACGTCAATCTGGAGTAATCGCACTCAATTCCGCACTCGCCGATATGCAATATATCATGCTGCACAATTGATTTAAATATGAAGCTGTCTAGACGAAAGAATTTTATGCTGCAGGAATTTGTCCTCTGTTTTAAAGCAGAGTTCGGAGTTCAGGGTCCTCATCATCCTGCCAGCAATTCCACCTACAAATGTTTGGGAATTGTGTAGTCCGAGAGGTGCGTTATTCTTGACTAATTTTGTTCGCCCAGTACAGTATCATGCATCGATGGTAAATACGTCAAAAAATCGCCTGTAAATACGCCGTATTCAAAAATTCTAAGAAATACGTGAAATACGGCAAAATTTGCCGTTTAAATTCTTTGATGGTAAAATTTTTCAAAATACGCGCGTATCTCTTTCGAAATACGTGATTACAGATTACTGATATTTGCGCGTGCGTCGCTGGCCCAGTGGTATATATATATATATAATATTAATATAGCAATACTGACAGTCGTTTTGGAGACTTCACGGTGCTCGAATGAAAACGCTGCAGCGACTTGCTATTCTTATGCTGAACCAACCAATCAGTCAGTCTGCTGCAGAGCAGAGCTTCTCAGGTTATAAAGCAGTTATGCCTCCCTCGAGGAATAGACTTTCAACCGAGACCCAGTTCCAGTGCATTTTTATCTATTACAATATTCGCAGACTAAGATCACAAGTCTCTCTTGCTTGAATTTTGAAACCGGTTACCGGATTAACACGGACTTCCCAGTGGCATAAGTTTAAAAAGTGACTAGGAATCCAGCCTGGAAAGAAAAAACGGCTATAATAAACTTTTAAAACGGCTATAATAAATTTTTCGGCCGGATGACGATTTCATTTCACCTTGCTAGTTATATTACAGAGGTATTTTTAGTTATTCACTGTCCTTATTGTCAATCTTTTTTGGAGGGACCAAAATGTAATATTTATATTGATGGCGCGTTAGAGAAATCACTTTTCATCGGTGGCTGTTTTTAATTTAAGAAAATTCCATCATAGAACATTTATAAGCTGCACACTAGACTAGGTGAATGTGCAGAAATAGTTCTAGCTGAGAAGGAAAAGGATGACGAGTACAAGTACACGTGATTTGAGCACTTGGGTATAATCTTACTGGGTCTATCTACTTCCAAATAAGTGCTAATCATAACTTTTTCAACATCTTGAAACGATCAGCACTCGACATTTTGCAGCAGCATGGCAACAAGCCAGTGACAATCACCACACTAAGTATCTGAAACAATATAAACAAAAAGAGGCCTGAAGACTCGCCCTACTCACGATATCAGATAAAAGATGATTGATTGCCTGCCCGACGGCTCCGAGCCCTCACCACCACGGACAAGGTGGACCAAACAACGTACATAGATTAAAATAAGGATAATGAATTGCGATGAACACAGTGGGCTCTACTTGTTCATGACTAATAGCTAGCTAGAAGGACTAGAGATATATAGAGGGTTTTACAATTAATTTGCTATAATTCATCACACATCGATACTCGGGAGCTGCTGCAGTCAACGGTTCATCACGCAGTTCTATATACAACACATAACATGTGTGGTATAGCGTTAAAGCTCTTGAGATTTATTACCGATATAGGAAGAGTGAGCTGGGGTGGTAATCATTAAGAGGCTGCAGTACTTATGACATTTTGTTAACTTACTTTAAAGAATTTAGCTGTAAGATTTCAGTTGTCGTCCACCGAGATTGCCTGATGATGATGTAATCTTATTTGTATTAGCTTACTTAGGATAATAATAAATTGAGATTTAATAACACCACTTTTAAGATACAAATTATTCTCAGCAGTGTTTAAACTAGTCATCCCAGAAAATAACTTGAATACTAGGTATAGTACCTACCTACCTATGGTAGTGCAAGAAAATGATACTTATATGTTTAGATTTAACACCATATATGACCAAAATAGATTACTTGGACTTCTGGGGAAAATATTCTACTTAGGAGCAATGTATATAAAGTGAAAGTGATCATTGCATTTCTTTAAACATTATTGATTGGGGCAGCTAACAGTGAATAGTGATATAATATGACTGGAATATTAATATACAGGGTGATTTTAATTGGCTACAATTTATGAGATACATTGAAAAATCACTCCAATTTTGCATATTCACTATTTAGGTTATAAAAATGTATGAAAGTTAGAATAATACAATGGAATATTATTAGTCAGGATCAAACGAGAAGCCAGAATGAAATTCATAACGTTTGTTAATCAATTCATATTTCAAAATTTTCTCTGTCATTAACTTTTTTATTTGTAAATTTTTACAATCCGAAGTCCCAACATTATTTTCGCATCACCCTGTAATTGATCTAAAACTCGATCCTTTTACAATTTACGGAAGTAACCAAGAAGCCCTGTTTGGTATTTCAAAAATTTGTAACTAATTCAAACTCAGATTTAAAATATATTTCAATTCTTAAATGATAAAAAATCATGAATAAAAACGTGAATGCATTAAAACAATAAGAAAAGTATAGTTCGCTCTTCCGTTCAAAATGACGATAAAAATTAAATTGTAAATATGATTCTGTTCTAAAATAGGACTCTAATTCAATTGTGGTAATAAAATATTCTACCTTACTACTGTCATCTAATACCGTGCAGGTTGAACCCCTCTAAAAAGCGTCCAGGAAGGGAATGTCGTGAGGAGGAGGATTCTTCATGTACTCCTCAATTTCCGTAACTGTTCTGGGTACATCACTGATAATCTCACAGCCATCTGCAGTCACTATAAACACCTAGATCAAATGAAGGTTAGCAGTCACTATAAACATCTAGATCAAATGAAGGTTAGCAGTCACTATAAACATCTAGATCAAATGAAGGTTAGCAGTCACTATAAACACCTAGATCAAATGAAGGTTAGCAGTCACTATAAACACCTAGATCAAATGAAGGTTAGCCAGTTAATATTAATTTCAAATCTGGACAGATTAAAGCACTGTGACGTTAATTGGCTGCAATCTAGAAGAATTAAATGAATCTAGAAGCCATGGTGTGACATCAGTTGATACACGTACTGGCAATAGTTGTGTAAAACTGGAGACTGTTGAAGTGAAAGTGAAAGGCAATGTAAAAGTGACCACCTCTTCAATCCTAACTCCTCCAATACCGCGGTACTTGTCTATCTCCGACTTTACCATCAACTTTCCTGGACATTTCACAAAATCATTACTAACATAGTAGAGGGATCTAACATAATGTATTAATTGAAATAATTTGATAATGTTTAAATAATTTAAAAATAAAAAGAATAACCTTGAGTGGGGTCGGCTAGGGCGGGGTCTAACAGCACATCGTTATAGTAACACCCTGGTTCGATTGTCAGGACCATGTTCTTCTCCAGTGGACACCACTCAAGATCAGGGTCGTACCTATTGTTTCGCTTTCACTTTAACCACTGTTTCACTTTCACTAACACTCCGTATAGTTTCTATTAGAGCGCCAAAATGACGTACGAAAATATTCGTACGAATGTTTTCTGTTTGTCTAATATCTACTTGAAAATTAAAATGGGCTTTTAACCAGATGTGGATGCTTAAATATTCTCAAATATCAAGAAAATAATAATTGATTAACTGAAGTGTACATATTTTTTATATCACGAACTTATTTAGAAACTAGATTAAAGATTTGTAATACTCAGGTGGTCCTACCAGTCAACATCCTTCGCTTCAGCATCGCTCCAACACCACAAACTGGCATTTCCACCCACGTCATGGACATCACCTGAGATCAAACGAAGAAGTGTGATTATAGGGTTAAACCACGTGTGATACACAGGTCGTACAGTAAGTAAGATGGTTTATCTTTGTTGTGTGATAGAAATGTTTTGATTTCAACACCAGAATAAAGCATTCCTTACCTCCGATAAAGTGGCCAATGCCATGAGGCATAAAGATCCTGTGAAGTTTAGCATCGTATAAATCATCCACACTACCAACCAGTAAACCTTGCTCCACCAAGTTTCTTAAAAGAGCTCGGTAACAAACTATCCTAGCTTCTCTCCAAGTGAACCCTGCAGAATGGTATCTAACATTACTCCAGGTATTGTGACGTCACACCAGGTATTGTGACGTCAGACCAGGTTTTTTGACGTCACACAAGGTATTGTGAGGTCACACCAGGTATTGTGACGTCACACCAGGTATTGTGACGTCACACCAGGTATTGTGACGTCACACCAGGTAGATTTACCTGGTCTAATTCTGTTCACAACGGCGTGGACCGTGTCCAGTACCATCTCGTAGGTTGTTCTCTGAACTTGTGTAAATGTGCCGTTGACAGGGAAGGTAGTTGTAATATCTGTCAGGTAACAGTGGTATTCTCCTCCCATGTCAAATAGACACAGGTCTCCGTCCTGGATCTGCTTGTCATTAGGAGCACTCTGTCCGCCGTAGTGGAGTATCTTAGTACTGCGGAGGGGACAAGTTACAGGGTTGCTTCAAGTCATACATCCCACCCTTCAAGCTATACATCCTACCCATAACCAAGTGACAACATCTGTCAAACTCCTAAATTTAACATTTTGAGAACTCACCGATCCCCGGAAGGACATATAGGGATATAGCCCACTTCTCTACAACCTCCATACATGTAGCAGTAGTAAGTGAAGATGCTCATAGCCTGGTACTCCATCATCCCTGCTTTAGCTGCCAGCATTACCCGGCGGTGACCCTCGCTGGTCACTTTTGTAACGTACCTTGGAGCAGTTTATCAGATAACTACTTCTATCGTCACAGTGTGACGTCATACACTGACGCAACTCGCAAGACGTGCTAACTTACTGACAAGGTAAGACGTGCTTACCTGATAACGTCCAGCTCCTTATCTGTTTTCCTGACTCGGCCCGCTACAGCCAGGGGGTACAAGGTCGTCTTATCCAGACTGAACTTCTCAATTCCCTCGAATATGGGGGCAAAAGTAGAAACATAGCTGAACCTGTTCATGCCCTCCAAGAGGTAGAGGTTACTGCATCTCTTCTCATTTAACACCTGCAATGCAGTGAACTCTTCCATCTCAGTAATCATGCCTTTCGGAATCAGTATCTCTACAAACTCAGTGGCTTCAATTTGACAGTTTGTTAGTGTGGATGTGTATAAAAGTGAAAGTGAAAGTGAAAGTGAAAGTGAAAGTGAAAGTGAAAGTGAAAGTGAAAGTGAAAGTGAAAGTGAAAGTGAAAGTGAAAGTGAAAGTGAAAGTGAAAGTGAAAGTGAAAGTGAAAGTGAAAGTGAACATATAAATACTCCAACTTACCGTAGTGATCTGGTCAGTGTAAAAGCACTCATTAACCCCGTAATGTCTCACATACCAGTCAGGTGACTTTATTGGACCGCTCCACACGGACTCAACCTGTCGGGGTATAAAAAGTATGCTTTCTCCAGTGTCGCAGTTAACAGCACCGGACAGGCCTGACTCCTTGGACCCGAACAGCCAGTTGAAGTAGGAATCCTGTTGGAAGTAAATTTAACATTAAATAGGCGGTGTAATGGTGAAATGTTAATTTGAGAAATTCAGGATGTTATTAGTTGACATGGAATTGGAAAATTCCAGTGGATACCCAAGAACATTTGGATGACCAACTTTATTGCATGTATGATTCAAGTTCATTGAAAAGTACTATTTTGGGCGAAGGAAACACCAATACGTCCATTAAAGGCGGAGTAGCTCGAAAAAGGATAATTTATGCGCATTTTTACGGACATCCTCTAGTCAAGAACTGGGTTTTATCAGTTGATCACATGATCAGACAGAGTATAGGTCAGCTAAGGGTTTATGTGAGAAGCATATACATGCCACCGTTAAGGTCTGACGGTAGCATATCAGTGATATCATCTGAGCCATGAAACTTGTCGCCACCATACATTTCTTTTACTTCTGATTTCAATTTCTGCCGAAGCTTTGCAAACTTCTTACAAATTTTGGTTCTTAATACATATCTGGTTAGGATTGGGATATGAAAATTTGTGGATTTCTTGAGCAAGTTAGCGTATTTCACGCTTAGTAATTTTACCAATGTAGATGATTAAATTCGATGAATGACAGCAAATGAACAGATGACAAATCAACTAGCGATTAAAAATGCACTATAAAATGCACAGTTTACCTGTCTGAAGACCACGTAGTTCTGATCAGTATCGTACTTCTGATTGTCCCCCGCCGCCTGAAAGTACATGTAACTATTCACTGTGTAATCCTCGGCACTGTCCCTAACAGCTCTCCCCAGATTCTCCCGTGCCTCTTTGTGCAGTTCCATGGGGACTCGAAGGGTGTCCGGACCCATTTGAAAGTAGGGTGAGTTGTTTTCGTCAACTTTTAAAGCTCCGACTTCAAAGTTCAACGGAGTGGATTGTTCGGCTCCCATTATTAGTGGCACACTTTACTTTGAAGTTGACGAATGGAGTTGGATTATAACGTCAGATTTGTTCTTTTCTGTGACGAATCAAGATAAGAAAAACTGACCTAAAAACTATCATGAAACGGAATCAAAGTGAAAAGACAGTATGAGGAATCAAATGTAAGGAAGCAAATTAATCACGAGGCTTTATCGGCTTTATAACTTTATAATAGCAAAATCCGTGTCAAATTTCAAACAATGTATTCAACATCTTCATGCACTGGGAGATATGTCAACTTGTCCAGTGGCTTTTATACTTCATAAACAGGGGTGGTTGCGGACAAATTAGCTTAAAATGTAATTAGTTTGGATTTAGGGGTCGTTCACTTATCACGTAATTAGCCGAGGGAGTTTCCAAGTGATGACTGTTGATTACTGGGGAGGGGGTTTGGCTGTTCATTACGTGATCAACATTTTCATTTTTACCCAAATTTTTATTTCAATTCCATTTAATTTCACTCTGACAGTGATCAGATATCCGGCTGCACTCGGTTTTGTAGCCTGATGTCGGGTAATCAGGCTACATGCCAGGTCCTTAGCTTCAAATGGTTCAATAGCGGGTGCTCGGGACCAAAAATTTCAAACCTTAGAAGAAAAATTATAAATTTTCTGACATCTAAAGGTAAAAATTGCCAAAAAATTGATTAAGCAATATTTTAAATTTTATGATTAAGATTTGTACGTGCTAACTGCTTACGTCACCTATTCATACTTGACATGGCACATCACTCACCAGTCACCATATAGTTATACCCTTGGCTGGAAGTGAAATCCCTATCCCGTGCATAATAGTGCACTGATTGTAAAATAACATTGTTACTGAGTTGTCAGTTTTTATGAACTTATTGACGCGGCGGTCAACGGAAGTCTAGCTGCAGAATGATTTCAAATCAACTGACTTGATATGAATTGAATCACGAATTCAAATATTTTAAATAGCACCTATACTTAACAGTAACATGGCATGACCGATCAATTGTTAAAGAAATGGCATGAACTCGAACGCAGTCATTTGAATCTGACGTGCTTGAAGTTGACGAAACGCCCGCGAAACGTAACAAAATGAAATTAAAATAAACGATCTTCAAGTCTCTCTCCGGGCTGCTTTGTTCAGTCCGAGCCCGTTAGACAATTTTTATCACATTCATTATTAGGTCAAATTAATCTATTCTGTGCACATGTCTTAGTGAGGTGGTGATTGAGGAACGAGCTCAGGTAAAGAAAGCGGCGATCTGGCCACCTCGGGCAGGTTATATATGCCACCCCGATATTGATACCACTTTCTCCGGCGCCATCCACCGGTTCTTATCAAATGTAATATTATCATCTCCCCTTATCAGATGAGTTTTAAGGGTGCTACAATTCCCATATTCGCGTGTTTCGTCTAAACTGGGCCCTGTACTGTCTCAGTATTGCTTTGTCAATAGATTACAATGCCCCAAACTGATCAGCCAATCACACGGCTTTGTTTCCATCACCGAATCTCAGGAGGGATCACGTGGTTCAGTCACGTGATCGGCGGTAATGGAGTACGGGAAAGGTTGTCACGTCTGCAATCAGTGCTGCCCATTACTGAGCCTTCATCTGCTTTATTGTTGTGATATATACCCAGTGCCGGCAGAATGATCGATATCAACGCAAGTCATTATTTTGACTGGGCTGAAGGTTATTAAAGCACTTAGGTATCCTCACAACTCGTATCATCATCATCACAATCAAAATTATCTTATCTGTGTCCTAACACGATGTTGCAATTTGCATAAAAAATGATCGCTCGGTAACGTCATACTTCAAAACTTTGTTGGTAAATCGTGCGAAATGCCGAAATCACAATGATATGACAATATCCAAGCAAACGTTATTTTTATATTTATGATAGTCCCTCAAGCATTATAATTACGATTATTATCATCTAATTCAAAAAGGGCTGAAATATTACCCTCACTCAATCGTCCTCCAAAACTTTCACAATGCAGTGAAGTTCATACCAAGATCATAATTCGAACTGCAGTCTGTCAGACGTCGCCCGACCAATCATCTTATAGCCTCCAGGTCAGTAAAGATATGGCCAACTTTCTGGGAATTTCTGTTTTTAGGTGTAACAACAATCTTACTATATATAAAGCGAGACGATATATGATATATCCTTGCTGTACGGCAGTGTTAAACAAGGAAATGAAACCGATGGGGTTCCGTTCAGGCCCTTCACACTTTGTTTCTGTCTAGTTCTAATGTACCGTCACAATAGTGACTTTAAAATATATAATCAAGAGTACTAGCCTGCTGATTTATCGCGGCTGTTCTCATTTCAAAATATGCTTGGTGTAGCTTGTTGGGATAGTATAGGAATTCTAGTTCCTATAGTTGGGAATGAGGTAGTTGTCTGTTCACAGATCGCCCTCTAAACTTACAAGGAAATATTTCCTGTAGATCCTTGGTATATAAGCAACATTTGACAAAGCATAGTGTGGAGTGAGCTATGTGCCCATCCTTGGAGAACCCGGTAGATGTCCTTGCTGTACGGCAGTGTTGAACAAGGAACTGAAACCGAGGGGTTCCGTTCAGGCCCTTCACACTTTGTTTCTGTCTAGTTCTAATGTACCGTCACTATAGTGACTTTAAAATATATGGATGGATCCATTTTACTGACACCACGGCATCAACTTTAACGCGACTTTCTGCAAAAACCGTAAAAGATATACAACTGAAACTTTTTTGACTGGGTCAAATGCTTTAATGGCCTCCAAATCAGCATGAAAAAATAAAAAATAGGCCAATAGATAGGAGTTTTAGAGCCCAAAATTTGGACCCCCAAGTGGTGTCAAAAACGCCAATTAAATAGGTAATAATTATTTTAGTCTCTTGAGTCTTGACACCATTTTAGGGTTATACGGGTTCCTGCTAGTAATGATATAATTATAAACAATGATCGGGTTCACTGTAAATATGTTCCTTGTGAGATCGTTAACAAAACACAAATAAATTATAAGGCCAAAGAATCAATTACAAATTATTAATATATTATTATACACATAAGTTTCATTCAAACCTAGCAGTTTTTTATGCTTTTACTAATTCACTTAATTCACTAGTCATTGCATTACCATCGGTCGCACATGAACTTGGTTTTAACGGTTACGGTTTATGCAAAAAAACAACTAGAATTAGAAATCGACAGCGTCCAAGAAATATTAATCAAAGTGTTTGTTCGTGTCCTAGGGATCCTTTCACAATAAATCAACGTGTATGGAACTATAACACAAAGTAGGCAAAGTCTCATTGCCACCCTGGTCGGTGTCTCATTGCCACCCTAGCTGGTGTCTCATTGCCACCCTGTCCGGTTTTTCATTGCCACCCTGGCCGGTGTCTCATTTCCACCTTGACCATTGTTATGTTAATGATATGGCCCGGCGCGCGCTACTTCGTAGCACTTGCCATCGGGCCAGTTCCATTTCGAGAAGAAAGCGGCGCGCGCTACTTCGAAGAAATTTAGACGAGTAACTTACCTGAGGACCCCAGGCTATTATGTTCATTAACATATAAATAAAGATTTGGCGGAATGACATGCTGAGCGCGGCCCAGTAAACGAGTAACATCCTTCAAATTTCCACCTTGGCCGGTGGCGGTTGGTGAACACATCGAGCATTCGTTTTAATTTTATGTACAACGACTTTTTTTTATATGCAACGACAAGCCATAGTGCATTATAAACCAGCAAGCTGAGTTATTGGTAAACGTGGTCTTTTATATCAACAATCAAATAATTTAATTTGAATAACTATGAACTATTTAATAATACTAATAGTATAGGGGGTGCACGATAAAAATAAACTTGCTCGATTTTCAAAACTTTTGTACCATTATGTTTTTTAGAGACTGTGGGAATATAGAATGTTCAGAGTACCAAATTTGTCATACCTTTTTGGAATGATCAGTGAGTTTAGGTGCCATATTTGATAGTGCGCGGCTTTTGCAAGCAAAATTATGTGTAAAAGTCGCGTAATTTGACGAAATTCGTTGATTTTTGTCGTATTACTATTATTTTGTCATAAATTCGGTTCCTGCACTGAACATGAATCATGCTGAAAATTTATCAGATCCTTACAATCATACGTAATTAGTACTACCGAACCTAAATTAGTTGAGAGAGATTGGCCTTGATTAAATTATAAAAGGTCTATAAATGACAAAATAGGTATAAATTCGTTGATAACTCAAAATCTGACCATCGAAATTGCTCAAACTAATTTACAATTTAAGTTCAGTAGAACATAAGTGTTTACGCAAGCTGACCAAATTTCAACAAAATTGTTATAAGGGAATTATTATAACTTTTTGATTGTTTCCGAAATAATGTGCTGGCCGAAATACGAGCTAAAAAACCATTCAATGGTCAGCGCGCGCATTTTACGGTCGATGGCGCACGGCCTACTAATAATAATAATAGGGAATCGTTTACTATTACGTGACCATTCCCTAGCGCTCTTTTCGCAAGCTTTTTGCATAATGCATACGTGAGAGAAGCGAACAAAAGCCTGTTAATCTAATTCTAAGTAAATATTGACCATTGTTAATGATCTGGCCCGGCGCGCGCTACTTCGTAGCTCTTGCCATCGGGCCAGAGAAGAAAGTTTCGAGAAGAAAGCGGCGCGCGCTACTTCGAAGAAACTTAGACGAGTAACATCCGTCAAAGTAAATATAATTATAACCATCGCACATCGTCAATTACTGGGCCGCGCTCAGCCTGTCATTCCGCCGAATCTCTATGTTTATGAACATAATAGCCTGAGGTCTCCAGGTAAATCGTCAATTGTTGTAGCGAGATGCACCACTGGGCCTCGACGAGCTGGGAAGGATTAAATAAAGAAAAGCTGTTTGCCGTCTCCTTGACCGAAATTTCGCCTTTTTGACTGAATTTTTGACCAATGACCAATAATTAATGATGTCGGTGAGAGTGACACATGAGTCGCCATCAAGGTATTATATATATCAAGGTACTATACTTGCTCCTATAACAGATAGTGTTGCAGAGGCACAAGATTTCCTCAGGAGTCTGGAACTGGCGGCCAACTCAGTTGGACTCCACCTCAACGAGGGGAAAACTAAGTACATGGGAATCAACATAAGAGATGATGATAACCCGACTCTGGTTGCTGGGAGTGGGAAGAACATTGAGAAAGTCGATGACTTCGTATATTTGGGTAGTAGAATGAAGAGTTCGGAGAAGGACTTCGAAGTGAGGCCGAGGAAAGCTAAGGCATGGGGAGCGTGTCACCAGAATATGAAGCTTGTATGGAAGTCGGATATGCGTAGAGATCTCAAGATACGACTGTTCCTGGCTACAGTCGAGTCCATCCTTCTATATGGCTCTGAAACATGGACTATCAGCCAGACCCTCGCAAAACGTATTGATGGATGTTATACGAGAATGCTGAGGATGGCACTGAACATTGACTGGAAAGAGCGGCAGACTAACGCCAAGGTGTATGGACACCTCATCAGAGCATCTGATAAGATAGCTGCACGGAGGATGAGACTCGCAGGTCATTTAGCCAGACATGAAGAGCTATTGAGTCATCAACTTCTCTTCTGGGAACCCCTTCAAGGACATCATCGAAGGGGAAGGCCACATCTCACATACATTGATATCCTTCGGAAGGACACGGGGCTCGACGACAGCAAAGAGATAAACAAACTCATGCTGGATAGACAGATTTGGAAGAAGACTATTTCTGTTCGGACGTTGAAGCCGCCCTAAGTCGAGTATACTAAAAGCTGTATATATCCGGCGAAAACTTTGAAAACTTTGAATTTGAAATTTTACTTTTAAGTTTCCGCGACCTAAATTTTACCAGGTTTTCGATCAAACATTGCCATTTGTAGTCAAACATCGCCAACAGTTGCTCTCGTCCAATGAAATCGCTGCATTATGATTAGGCGGAATAAATTTGTTTCACTTAATTTGTTTCACTAAATTTGTTTCTCTAAATTTGTTTCACTTTAAAACCAAAACTAATTCAAATCCTAAGGCATAAACAGCTTAAATATTATTTTACAAGCTTGTCACGTGCGCGCATCGTAAAATTGTTATTTGCTCATAATTCGTCAAGAACTGATTTCATACTATGTAAAAAGTCTTATTCGAAATCAGCGTAAAAATACATTGGTATAGCTTACTTTCACAATTATCCCACAGCATACTCATATTATATATAACAAAAACGTATTTAAGCATGTATATAGTACGCCACAGAACAGTCGAAATCTATTCGCACACTCCATCAACCAAGGAGTTGTTTATGTTTCCATGACCAAAAGCAATAAGAATATGCATATCGCACTCCCCAAATTGTGCACGTTGATTAAATCTTTTGTGTTTTGAAATTTTATGAATCAAGATTTAGAATCAATACATGCGATATGCACTTATTTAAATCCCTTGCAGTGCTTTTGAAAGAAATAACAAGCTCAGCTAAAAACGTTACTGTCTTATTTCTACGTAAAAGGAACAATTAGCGTGAGAAGCTTTTGTCGAGGTGTAGTAATCTCAAACGAATCCCCGTTTAATTTTGGTCGACACACCTCTTACTAGGCGGCACTCAGTCTGTCATCTCGCCGAATCTTTATTATTTATGAACATTATATAATAATAGCCTGGGGTCCCCAGGTAACACACGTAAAATTAGTGCAGCATCAAGCAAGTTATAAAACTATTTTATGTGCATCAAATTGGATTTACCTGGGCGTGGGGTCCCCAGGCTATAAACTTACAATCCCCTATCCCCCTCCTTTTTACATTGACCCTAGGTTATACAATATTTTTCTTTTAGGTTATACAATACAGTTTTAATACTTCCAACACTACTATATAACAAATAATTTGAGGACCCCGAAACTCCTGAGTTACACATCTTACAAGATTTTCTTCTGTCTCCATCCTCCTAAAAGAATGGCAGACGATGATCAAAACTCAGGGGGGCTGGACTCCTCAAATAATGTCTTACAGGGGCAACATGACAATGGTAATGATAAGGACAGTGGTGAAAGTGCCAGCCCCCCTTGTTTTGCTTTGATCGATCCTCGTTTGCTAAGCACTGATGGAATCTGCAGAAACTGCTCAGCTGAAACCAAAGGAGAAGTGGTATGTTGTTATGATTGTAAAAACAATTTTCACGCAACTTGTCATGTATTAAGGAATGGTATTAAACGTTTTAACCTTCCCGATAATGTATGCTCTCCATCTTTCTTAGTGTCTTTCAACAAAAACACTGAATCAAACCAGAAGAGCAATTGTTCTGGAATGTTTTTCTTTCATTGTAAATCCTGTGTTACTCGTGAAAACTTTAGAAATGCAGCAGACGTCAAAACACATGTACATGCCCTTGAAACCAAGATGACAAGTATGGAAGCTGATATTGTCACCATTAAAAATCTTTTATTGGCTGCTTACACAGGAAAAACATCTGTTGACATGAGCAAATCTTCAGAATTTTCTGCAACCTCATCAACTCTTCCCTCAACTAATAATGTCTCTGAAAATCCATGGCGTGACAGCAAAAGAGTTGAAAAACTGAGACACCCAGCTTCTGTAATTGTCTGCGAAGATGGGGAAACTGTTCCTAAGCCTGACCTCGAAACTATAATCACAGAAAATAAAACTCCTCCAAGAATGCCGTCATCCGATCCCTCGCCAGAAGAGCCTACAACATCTGTTCACCTCAACACCTCAACACCTCGAAGACGAACTACAGACTGTCAGATGCGTTTGCTTTCAGAGCGGCTTCCCACCCCTTCGCATCACCACCATTATGGACAAAATTCACCGCAAATTCACCAACCCTCCCTGACATCAATCCTTAGCATCATTCAACCAACAGACCAGAGATCACACACTCAGCGTTTACCTTCCTTTCCATCTCTCACTCTCCAAACCCATCTCCAAGATACTCAGACAACACGACATCAAAGTGACCCACTCATCAGCCAGTACTCTCCGCAACCTTCTCACCAAGAAGAAGACCACAACCCCCACTCAACTCACTCATCAACTCTTCCCTCAACTAATAATGTCTCTGAAAATCCTTGGCGTGACAGCAAAAGAGTTGGAAAACTGAGACACCCAGCTTCTGTAATTGTCTGCGAAGATGAGGAAACTGTTCCTAAGCCTGACCTCGAAACTATTATCACAGAAAATAAAATCATTGTGGATAATACCTTCACAAACAGAAAGGGTGAAACCGTTGTCACTGCATCTAGTCAAGCTTACCATGTCAAGTTAGTTGAGGCCCTCTCCCAAAATTTCCCTCAATCTAATCTTAAGCAACCTAAAGAAAAATTGCCTAAAAAAAAATTGCCTACAGTATCCAAAGGAATCAAAGGAGACGTCTCACCTGATATTCTCTCTGCTTCCATTATGAAACTTTATCCTGAAATCAAGTCCCTGACAAAGATAGGTTGGCCCTAAGAATTGACGAACTGTCACGTAATATTAACAAAACGGATAAAAATGCCGTTCGCCAATCTTTGCACGTGCGTGTTACAACCCTCGTTACTATGGTTACTTTGCAACTTGTACTTGTTTACCTAACTTGCACGTGGGCGGTCGTACAGACAATAGAAATTATTTTTCTACATTATTCTTTGAATTATAATATAGATCTAGGGTCATTGTGATATTATGTGTATATAATTGTTTTTACAGTGCTACAAGCTACTGCGTAATTTCAATGTCAGACTAATATACATTTTTAAATAGTACTATCTAATTTTGCTAATAGCGTTATTATGTGATTTTTTCATTACATTGCGCCTGTGTATTTATTATAAGCTGTTATTTCGATTCGGATTATAAGTTATAATATAATCGATCTTTATGCAGTTAATGTGAACTTTCCGTTGGATTTGAACTTCAATCTTTATGAATCTTTTCAATTTCAGAAAGAATTGGTTAAAAATGATACCCAAATATTTTCACGAATTTATAATTGATTAAAGTATTATGTTTCAATAGATATCGAGAACAGAACATTAAAACATTGTGCAAGTTGAAAAGAAGTAGGTCTTCTCTATCTTATTGAATCAATTTACTTCTTGCCTTTGTGTCCCTTTTTATTTGCATTCTTCTTGCCTTTTGGGCTCTTCTTCTTGCTTTTGGGGCTCTTCTTCTTGCTTTTGGGGCTCTTCTTCTTGGTCTTGCCTCCCATCTTGCTCTTACTTACGTTTTTGACTTCCTTCTTCTTGCCTTTGGGGCTATTCTTCATGCTCTTGCCTCCCTTCTTGCACGTGCATTTCTTCTTGCTCTTGCCTCCCTTTTTGATTCCCTTCTTGCTTTTGGGGCTATTCTTCTTGCTCTTGCCTCCCTTCTTGCCTCCCTTCTTGTTCTTGCCTCTTTTTTTCATTCGTTTCTTCTTGCCTTTAGCTTTGGGGCTCTTTTTATTACCCTTGCCTCCTTTCTTGCCTTTGTGTCCCTTTTTACCACCCTTCTTCTTGCTTTTGGGGCTCTTCTTCTTGCTTTTGGGGCTCTTCTTCTTGCTTTTGGGGTTCTTCTTCTTGCTCTTGCCACTCTTCTTGCTCTTACCTCCCTTCTTGCCTCCTTTTTTGATTCCCTTCCTCTTGCTTTTGGGGCTCTTCTTCTTGCTCTGGCCTCCCTTCTTGCTCTTACCTCCCTTCTTGCTCTTGCCTCCGTTTTTGGTTACCTTCTTCTTGCCTTTGGGGCTCTTTATATTGTCCTTGCCTCCCTTCTTGCCTTTGTGTCCCTTTTTACCACCCTTCTTGCTTTTGGGGCTCTTCTTGCTCTTGCCACTCTTCTTGCTCTTGCCTCCCTTCTTGCCTCCCTTCTTTTTATTGCCTCCCTTTTTTATTCCCTTCTTGCTTTTGGGGCTCTTCTTCTTGCTTTTGGGGCTCTTCTTCTTGCTCTTGCCACTCTTCTTGCTCTTGCCTCCCTTCTTGCTTTTGCCTCCCTTTTTGGTTACCTTCTTCTTGCCTTTTGGGCTCTTTTTATTGGCCTTGCCTCCCTTCTTGCCTTTGTGTCCCTTTTTACCACCCTTCTTGCTTTTGGGGCTCTTCTTGCTCTTGCCACTCTTCTTGCTCTTGCCTCCCTTCTTGCCTCCCTTCTTTTTATTGCCTCCCTTTTTGATTCCCTTCTTGCTTTTGGGGCTCTTCTTCTTGCTTTTGGGGCTCTTCTTCTTGCTCTTGCCACTCTTCTTGATCTTGCCTCCCTTTTTGGTTACCTTCTTCTTGCCTTTGGGGCTCTTTTTATTGTCCTTGCCTCCCTTCTTGCCTTTGTGTCCCTTTTTACCACCCTTCTTGTTTTTGGGGCTCTTCTTCTTGCTCTTGCCACTCTTCTTGCTCTTGCCTCCCTTCTTTTTATTGCCTCCCTTTTTGATTCCCTTCTTGCTTTTGGGGCTCTTCTTCTTGCTTTTAGGGCTCTTCTTCTTGCTCTTGCCACTCTTCTTACTCTTGCCTCCCTTCTTGCCCCCCTTCTTGCCTCCCTTCTTTTTCTTGCCTCCCTTTTTGATTCCCTTCTTCTTGCCTTTGGGGCTCTTCTTCTTGCTCTTGCCGCTCTTCTTGCTCTTGCCTCCTTTCTTGCCTCCCTTCGTTTTCTTGCCTCCCTTTTTGATTCCCTTCTTGCTCTTGGGGCTATTCTTCTTGCTTTTGGGGCTCTTCTTCTTGCTCTCGTTCTTGCCTCCCTTCTTTTTATTGCCTCCCTTTTTGATTCCCTTCTTGCTTTTGGGGCTCTTCTTCTTGCTTTTGGGGCTCTTCTTCTTGCTCTTGCCACTCTTCTTGCTTTTGCCTTTCTTCTTGCTCTTGCCTCCCTTTTTGGTTACATTCTTCTTGCCTTTGGGGCTCTTTTTATTGTCCTTGCCTCCCTTCTTGCCTTTGTGTCCCTTTTTACCGCCCTTCTTGCTTTTGGGGCTCTTCTTGCTCTTGCCACTCTTCTTGCTCTTGCCTCCCCTCTTTTTATTGCGTCCCTTTTTGATTCCCTTCTTGCTTTTGGGGCTCTTCTTCTTGATTTTGGGGCTCTTCTTCTTGCTCTGGCCACTCTTCTTGCTCTTGCCTCCCTTCTTTTTCTTGCCTCCCTTTTTGACTCCTTTCTTGCTTTTGGGGCTTTTCTTCTTGCTTTTAGGGCTCTTCTTCTTACTCTTGCCACTCTTCTTGCTCTTGCCTCCCTTCTTGCCCCCCTTCTTGCCTCCCTTCTTTTTCTTGCCTCCCTTTTTGATTCCCTTCTTCTTGCCTTTGGAGCTCTTCTTCTTGCTCTTGCCTCCTTTCTTGTCTCCCTTCGTTTTCTTGCCTCCCTTTTTGATTCCCTTCTTGCTTTTGGGGCTATTCTTCTTGCTTTTGGAGCTCTTTTTCTTGCTTTTGCCTCCCTTCTTGCCCCCCTTCTTGCCTCCCTTCTTTTTCTTGCCTCCCTTCTTGATTCCCTTCTTCTTGCTTTTGGGGCTATTCTTCTTGCTCTTGCCTCCGTTTTTGTTTACCTTCTTCTTACCTTTGGGGCTCTTTTTACCACCCTTCTTTTTGCCTTTGGGGTTCTTCTTCTTACTCTTGCCTCCCTTCTTGCTCTTGCTTCCGTTTTTGATTCCCTTCTTCTTACCTTTGGGGTTCTTCTTCTTGCTCTTGCCTCCCTTCTTGCTCTGGCCTCTCTTCTTGTCTCCCTTCTTGTTCTTGCCTCCCTTTTTGATTCCCTTGTTCTTGCCTTTTGAGCTCTTCTTCTTGTTCTTGCCTCCCTTTTTGATTCCATTCTTTTTGCTTATGGGGCTCTTCTTGCCCTTGCCTCTCTTCTCACCTTTAGCTTTGTGTACCTTATTACCACCATTTTTCTTGCCTTTGTTGCTCTTCTTGCCCTGACGCCCTTTTTTGATGGAATGAGGTTTTTGATGTGGCTTTGGGTGAGGTGGAGGATGAGGTTTATGATGTGGCTTTGGATGAGGTGGAGGATGAGGTTTATGATGTGGCTTGGGATGAGGTTGAGGGTGTTCACGGTGCTGTTTGGGCTTTCGTTTATTTTTTAAGTGATTTATACCTCCTCCAGCTTTCTTTAAGGAGCTGAAACCACCACCACCAGTCTTTTTTAGTTTGCTGAAGCCTCCTCCGCCAACTTTCTTTAAGGAGCTGAAACCACCACCACCAGTCTTTTTCAGTTTGCCGAAGCCCCCTCCTCCAGTTTTTTTGGCTTTGTTAGCTGCTTTGCTTGCAGCATTCTTAAGGTCCCCAAATCCAAACTCTTCAATAGTATACTCAGACTCTTCCAGGAGCTCACTGCATACCACAATAGAAAGTGAAATAACAAGTGCTGATATCAGCCAAATACGACTCATACTGAAAACAATTAAAATTACTTAGCAGAATTTGCTCTGTTTAACTGAAGAGAGTATTTCCTGGTATTGGTAGCCAGTTTTAAGGGGGCAGGGGGGGTCTTTATGAAATTTCTCTCGAAATTGATTTTATAGTTGTTTCTGATAGAGGGGAGTGATATCTACCAGATGTTTTTGGTCCCATGGAAAAATTTTGTTCCTAGCCGAAATTATTGCCGGTCAAAGGTCAGCGCTCATGTGTAATTGTATTGCGCGAGCGATTTTCAATCGCGCGCCCTGAAAATCGAGTCTAAAAATCTATCTTCTCCTACATTTTTTGAGCAATCACCTTGAAATTTTCAGGATATGTTCTAAGGACCATTTAGAAACTTCTGGTCTCTCAGAATTTTAAAATAGGCCTTAGAAAAGTTTTTATTTGATTTTGAAAATCTTGGACCTCGTTTTTTGACGATTTTTTCAGGTCCAAGATTTTCAAAATCGAATAAAAACTTTTCTAAGGCCTATTTTAAAATTCTGAGAGACCAGAAGTTTCTAAATGGTCCTTAGAACATATCCTGAAAATTTCAAGGTGATTGCTCAAAAAATGTAGGAGAAGATAGATTTTTAGACTCGATTTTCAGGGCGCGCGATTGAAAATCGCTCGCGCAATACAATTACACATGAGCGCTGACCTTTGACCGGCAATAATTTCGGCTAGGAACAAAATTTTTCCATGGGACTAAAAACATCTGGTAGATATCACTCCCCTCTATCAGAAACAACTATAAAATCAATTTCGAGAGAAATTTCATGAAGACCCCCCCCCCCTGCCCCCTTAAATAAACACACTCGTGTAAAAGTCTTCATGCTGAGTGTACCTGTGTGGTTTAAACTATAATATTATACTAATTATATCATTATTATATTGCTACACATCATATTTTGGTTGTGCAAGGTTAACAGTACAATGAGGTCCTGTTCTTGATAGGATAACATTATTCATGGATCAATATTGCAAATATATTGGTACGTACAGAGGGAGGGGGAGTCAGTATAATAAATATTATGTATAGCCCAATAACAGAGTGCCTGATTAAGAGAATTGATTTTTAGCATTACTTGCTATTATTTCTGGTTTGAGGAAAATATCAAATATAATGTTGAAACATGTCATTCCGAAAAATGCCTTAATTGCTCAGGATAAGTTTCCTCGGGGCTCGGAGCCAATAACAAAAACTTTCAGGATTTTCATGTTGATGGGACTACTGTTTTAGGTTCATACTTATACTCTTCAGCCAGGTGTTTCAGCTGAGTCTATCGGCACAGATAGATGCCTTCCGAACGTAGCTGAATGGCAATTTGTCCAACCTTTTCCTCGTCTGGATATTTTCTAGGATTACAATTCTCAATATCCTAGCTATGTTATTAAATAAATATCTCAGCCTATAAGTACGTTACATTCCCTTGCGATTTTTACAAAAAAGCAAATTGCTCGCCTTATTTTGTAGCCTGTAGGCCTAGAGCCTATGAACCAGCATTTCAGAAGTAGTAGTATTCTGTTGCTAAATCTTTGTGCTCTTTTCTAGGATCCTTTTTCTGAGACCCAGGGGCCATGTTTTTGACCATTAGACTCTGCACGATCGGCAAACCAATTCTCACAAAAAAGGAAATGATAACTACCAAAGAAGCTTCAATTATTAGCAGGAGCAGGTCCAGAATAGTCACCAGACTCCATCAGGAAACCTGGTTAACCTGGTCCCAGACACACCAAAATTACACCCAGCACCAAACACGTCAACATCATCTAAAACCTTAACACTGCACTCAGCAACAACAGAAGAGGAGACTGTCTCACACTTTCTTAGCCGGACAGTGCCCGGCTATTGCCCAATGCCCAAATAAGAGGGCAATATTTTCAGGACTATAACATCTCCATAAATGAAATTTTTGACAATCAACATATCACCACTATTGTCAATTTCGCAAACCGCACTAAACGCCTAATATAATTGTGCCTGAAGAGCTGGATCAGACCGAAGTGCCATAATTACCACTAACATGCTGTCTTAACTTGTCTTTCTGTTCCACAACCAGCTGGCTCTTAAGCGTTCCCACATGACTCATCACCCTTCATAACACGTGCCACTTTCCTCCACTATACACTAAGATAACTCCGGCAACCTCCCCCAAGGTTGCCATACCCCAGAGGCAGGCAGAGCCTCATCCTCATGCTATCCTCTCGTGGGTCATTCAGGTCATAGCAACAGCTTCCAGACTCCCGAGGTCTGGTGCAGTTATATTTAGTTTAGTATTTCATATGTTTAGTATTTCATAACAATTAACAATACTAGAAAGCCCGTGGTCACAGGGAAGAAGGTAATATTATTTGTATCTATCTTTGGTAGTCTTTTTATCGCATCAAAAAATATCCGTCACAAACGAAGATACAGCCGAATTAAATGTAAAACACGTTAAACACAACGTAATTACCACAAAACCGATTAAAATACCGTTCTAACAATCTTTGCATGTGAACGTGCGTGTAACAACCATCGTTACTATGGTTACTAATACTATGCAACTTTTATTTGTTTACATAATTTGCACGTGGGCGGTCGTACATACATTCTACAGAAACAATTCTCTGAATTATAATAGAGATATTATATATATTAAATTATTGTTATACTTACTGTGATACTAGTTAAATGTCAAATTTTTAAAAGATTACACCCATTAGCTAGCAGAGAAATATGGCAGAAGTTGAAGTACCTCTAACTCTGACCTCCATCAAAACCCAAATGGTCACGGAAACAGTCCCTGAAGACGAAACTGTACCACAGGTATGTCACGTGGTGTGACGTCATACTATGCCACGTGGTGGGACGTGACACCACTAAAAAGCGTCCAAAAAGGGAATATACATAAAATATTATCCTATACTTCCAATAAAGGTCTGCGTTTATTGAGGGGACTGTGACTAGTTTGAATGCTGCTGATAAGAAATTAAAACTCGCTCTAAACATAGAAATGACCTGTTTACGTAGCCTAGCCCACACATTGGCTTCTGTCTGCTCTCTTGATCCGATTAGGATTGTTACTTAGTCATAATTTGGGGACAATACGTGAACTAGTGTTTCTGACTTCAACTCAATTATCCTGGTTTGCAGCTGGAAAAAAGATAAGAGTCCATTTCCGTTACCTGATATATTACTGTTGTGCTCCTTCATAAACTAGTCTCACTACTTTCTATTAGACGGAGGGTAGAAAGATGAACCTGATAAATTTGTCATTATTTCCATTATTATTAAGTTATAACTGTCTGTATCCGAATGTGTTTTACAAACGTTTAGTAATCTAGAATTCAGAGTCTAGGTACACAGCTCTCAGAGTCTCAAGATACAATTTCCATATTTTGCCATTTAACAAAATTTAGCATTCTAGACTTAAATAACTGAGATCCTGGAGAGGTTCGCTGTTTATCAGTCTCATGATTAGATAATGATGATGTAAGTGTAGCTCACTGAAAGCTCGTGTTTCCTCCTAAACAGTAGTTTTACTTGTCCTACCTAGTCTCTACTACCGGATATTATCCCTGGAATCATTAAATAACTGAGCTGTGTACACTGTTGTCAGGCGGATTCGAAATTAGACCGGGAAACGTTCGAAAAGACGAAGAGTTTAGCCCAACAGGGACATACCAAGAGTCAGTTCAAGTCAGTAACAATTGCTACTTATTGCTACATATTACTATATATATTGCTAAATATTGCTACATATTTCTACATATTGCTACATATTGCTACATATTGCTACATATTGCTACATATTTCTACATATTGCTAAATATTGCTACATATTTATTATTTATCTCGTCTTAATTTGTATTAGCCCACATTACCAGGGTGGCACCACCTACAATATAAAAGCACAATCGTCTAAATACTTCTCCATTTGATTTCTTATTTGTGTTTGACACGACCATTAAAGCCAGAAAGACATTAGACAAGTTCAAAGTTCAGTAAAAATGATGAGAGTCAGGTTCTATGTATAGTGTATACTAAGTAACTAAGGTAAAAACTTCTTTTTACCGGGAGAAACGAAAAATGAACGGTATAGAAAAAATGTCGTTATCTTATTTTTATCTAAATTCTATTTTTCCAGGTTGGGAATGCATTACATACAGATAGAGGACTTTGGTCAGGGTATGAGATGGTTAGAGCGGTCCAGTACGATGGGAGACATGCAGGCACTCTTCCAGCTCTCTAACATGTACTATGACGGAGTTGGAACCCTGCCAAACTTAGTTAGTATTCAGTTGGAACCCTGTTAAACTTAGTTAGTATTCAGTTGGAACCCTGCCAAACTTAGTTAGTATTCGGTTGGAACCCTGCCAAACTTAGTTAGTATTCGGTTGGAACTCTGCCAAACTTAGTTAGTATTCAGTTGGAACCCTGCCAAACTTAGTTAGTATTCGGTTGGAACCCTGCCAAACTTAGTTAGTATTCAGTTGGAACCCTGCCAAACTTAGTTAGTATTCGGTTGGAACCCTGCAAAACTTAGTTAGTATTCGGTTGGAACCCTGCCAAACTTAGTTAGTATTCGGTTGGAACCCTGCCAAACTTAGTTAGTATTCGGTTGGAACCCTGCCAAACTTAGTTAGTATTTGGTTGGCACCCTGCCAAACTTAGTTAGTATTCGGTTGGAACCCTGCCAAACTTAGTTAGTATTCGGTTGGAACCCTGCCAAACTTAGTTAGTATTCGGTTGGAACCCTTCCAAACTTAGTTAGTATTCGGTTGGAACCCTGCCAAACTTAGTTAGTATTCGGTTAGAACCCTGCCAAACTTAGTTAGTATTCAGTTGGAACCCTGCCGAACTTAGTTAGTATTCAGTTGGAACCCTGCCAAACTTAGTTAGTATTCAGTTGGAACCCTGCCAAACTTAGTTAGTATTCAGTTGGAACCCTGCCAAACTTAGTAAGTATTCAGTTGGAACCCTGCCAAACTTAGTTAGTATTCAGTTGGAACCCTGCCAAACTTAGTTAGTGTGTTCACAACATTCATTTGTTCTAACAATCACTGCTTGGGTTCTATAGTTTCAATTTCGTAAATTTCCAAGGTTTTTTAATTTTCTAGAGGAGATTTTATAAATCGAGTGGCTTACCTACTACAGTAAAACCCCGATTTACCGCGGAGTTTGGGGGAAAGGAAACATCCGCGGAGTTTTACTGTATACACCTAGGATTGAACTTTTTTCCATTCTTTTGTAACTAACGAAAGTGCTCCCATCAGACGAAAGGAGTGGAGATGTTGAAGGATGTTGTGAGTAACACAGACCCTAACTTCCAGTACCTCATCCCTCATGCTCAGTACAACCTGGGAATGGCTGCTTTCATGGTAAGTGTATACTGTAAAGTGTATACGGATGTATCTGCCTCATGTATCTGCCTTCATGGTAACTTGAGTGTACATCTGGAATCTCTCCAACCCTTGACTATGCCTATGACTCTATAAATATTCACTATTTTACTAGTTTGGTAATATCTCTGACAGTGAAAGAGTGATTTTTACAAACTCTCTTACAACTGAATTGATAAGATTTGCTACACCAGGGGTACGGAATGAAGCAGAATGACGAGTTAGCTGAACACTACTGGTTACTAGCTGGTAAGGAAGGTGACCCAGATGGTAGTATTGCTGCGCAGTCCCAGCTAGGCATGTTCTACACCCGCCGTGACACTAAAGATACCAAGAAAGCTTTTTACTGGCATTACTTTGCTGCCCAGAATGGGAGTTTAGAAAGCAAAGGTGTGTTGAATACCTTTATACCTTTATCAGATATTGTGTAATGTGTATTATAGTGTATATTGGAGTGTAACATAATATATTGTTTGTAGGATCCTCGTCATGTAATGGTGAGAAATGTTGATACTCATTTTCGCAATCAGTCACGAAAACTTTTTTCACCATTTTTGTATCTAGTACTCAAAATTAGATGGCTAAAATCAAAAATGGTAATGGTGCCACGACCCTGTAGTTTATTAAGTGGAACAAACCGAATCAGAAAATGTATAGTATCATGCCAAACTCCCCTCAATATACAAGTCAAAACCATTTCCTGAAAGGAACACCGGAACACGTGACCAGTTGTATGTCCAGGAATACAACACAAGATACAAGGGCAGGTCTCTTCCGAACGTTGGGATGGCCTGAGGTGCTTATCTCCTTTTCAGTAACCCTAAGCCACTCTGTGCCGAGGCACTATACTAGCTGTAAGGGGGTTAGTCCTACGAGCCAGAGGGTGTGTATCACCAGCCGAAGCTGTACCAAATCACAGCTTGGTAACTGGCCGACTTGCATCAATGCATCCGACCGGATTTGAACCCGGGTCTTCTGCTTGGGAGGCGATCGTGTTACCACTACACCACCCGGCCGAGGAATATATATTATAGTAAAATGATAATATATTATAATATTATATGGACACTAATAAATACACTCCGTATTACATTGAGAGCTTATTCAAACCTACCTTACTCGGGAATATTATAGCGGGTTAATTTATGACTGGGAAAATTAATGACCGGGAAAAATATGGCGGACTTTCCCAAAACCCGCCAAATTATCCCGGTCATGTATTTACCGGTGGCCGACCTTTCAAGTTTTTTTTCAGAGGTCAACAAATTTTCAACTGAAATTTCTGTTTTTGTTACTTGTTAAAGAAGTTATTTCAATTTACAGTTATTGATATTACTCAGAAATAGGAAAAAAAGACACGTCTATTTAAAGGAAAATAAATCTAAGCAATAATAAGTCAAATCTTCATTAAAGCGTATTCTCATTCTCATTATCGCTAATGTCCCCGCCATTATCATTATTGATATCCCCCTGAGCTGCTGACCGTCAAATTCGAAGTTGTATTGTTGTCTTAACAAGACTTTCATTTTGTCCGCTAATGGGGCTACTGCTCTGAAGGTCAGCCGGAGCTTAATTTCCTGCCCACCGCTTGGTATTGGGGAACGTCTTGGCTTTGCATCTTCAACTGCTCCAGTAATCAATCCACCGTGGACCATGAAATAGTGGCACAGTTTACTCACTTCTAGCGGGATGTGGCCACAAGTTACTTTAACGGGAAAAACTCCCTCTTTCTTTAGTCTACACACTGCACACGAGAAGCGATCAATCTTTAGAGACATTATTATTATAATATATAAATTATATATTATTATTATTTTCGTTTTATTCTATAACATATAAATTGTTTTCTTCTCTACAATTCACTGATTCATGGGCAAGAGAAGTGAGAATCACGGTCCACCCTGAAATCTGATTTCTATAACCAAATTGTGATTTTTATAACGAAATTATGGTAGCAACCGCCAATAAAGTTAAAGCCCTCCATCCACTGCTTCAAAAGTCTTCTCTAGCACATATGAGACTTCAGGTAAAATATGATGATCACCACCCCCTTGGAACCCCATAATCTGAGTCGGCGGGTTTTTTTATGACTGGTAAAATTTTTGACCGGGAAAAATATGGCGGAATCTTCCAAAACCCACCACTTTATCCCGGTTATAATATCCCCGAGTAAGGTAAAGAAACACAATTAATTTAAACTCCCCATATTCAGTGGGCCATATTATTCATAACTAGTGCCTGAAATAACTTTTACCGTAATTTGGTTATTAAAGTGAAATTTTGGTCACGGAAACGACAGAAAGAAAGGTCACGGAAAGCTGAAATCTGAAAATGTCTTACCGGTAGGACATTTTCAAAATTTTCCTTTCATCTAAGTTTTCTCGGGATATTCAGCTTCTAGTATCTCGATGGTGACTTGTGTCACTCAAACTGACCTCACTGATTGGTCACAGGTTAAAAATTCAGTCAAAACTGTGAAATTTCGGTCAAGGAAAGCTTCAACTTTGTGTCACTAGAAAACTATGCAGATTGACAGATTAAAATTAAGAGATAATTAGTTATGATATAATTAAATGATATATATCACATAATATAATAATTAATAACTCATCAATTATATCCCAAGGTGCTCTGGGAGTGATGTACTATCGCGGAGTGGGAACAAGCCCAGACAAGGAACTTGCCTTTAAAAATCTGTGTGAAGCTAGTGAACAGGGCTCACTGTTCGCACAGGGAAATTTAGTGGTATATTACTATGAGAGTAGGCTGTTTACCAGAGCTGCTCACTGCGCTTGGAGGTAATTGGTTTAATTGATTAATTAATTAATAGGTTTATTAACCATCACATATTTTGGCATAATTCCACAGAACTGTTGCGGCTTTTTGGATTATATGTTAAATATTTAATGTACATTGATGTGGAGTAAATGTTTTTGGACAGCAAAATGCAGTAAAAAGTATGATAAGGGTCTTGAGGGGTCGATCATGATTGATTGCTGGGGACACCGGATGAAATTAGATATTTTGTTTTATAGTCCCCAATAACCAATCAATTTACATGATTCATTGAAACATTCATAAAAATTAGCCCAGAATCAAAATTAGAATTATTTTTATTTTTATTTTATTTCAGTGTTGCACAGACTGAATCATTAGAAGAAGCAGCAGAAAAGTCAGGTTGTTTGTTGGAATTCGTGAGACGTGGAGTTGGTTTGGGATGTTTTTACTATGCTCGATGTTTGCACACTGGTAAAGGAGTACAGAAAAACGAGGCTGAAGCGCAGAAGTATTTCAGTAAAGTAAGTTGTAAAATATTTTGTATTCAGGCTACGTTATTGAGTCAGATTAGGCATAGATAAATGCTAATTAAACTGAGTCGATGTGAGATCATCTCTATGTATAATAATCATGCCATGTGTAATATATATATTTGTAAGTTCGAGATTAATGTAACACCCGGATAGGAACATTGTTTAATTGTCACATTGATGTGATGTTTCTGATGAAATGTTCATCAGAAACATCCAATTTCAATCTTGTCACGAAGTTTTACTAGATTCTTGTTATATTAGTGTGTCACATCAATACATCACGTTAACAGTTGACTTAGTAAAACTCATTATTTTGATACAACCAGAGATATGTATGTTTGAATTACAATTCTACGTCTGCTAACATGATCGGTTCGGCACGTTTTTGTTAGCTGAGTAAAAGGAGCTACTTATGAAAAAGTGTGGCATTCTCTTGTCTAGAACACCCACTGTGGAGCGTGGTTACTGGGACATATAAGGCGGTCTCAGAGGAAAAGTTTTGTTGCGTAACGCGCGGAGAGCTTTTAAGAGAGATGAGTTGCCAAGCTCTGTTGAGAGTGTTGAATTATTGGCTGATTCCGCAATCCAGGCTGGAACGATGGACGGACGCGCACGAATGAAATCTGCTCCTGACTAATTGAATTAACTAACTGAATAATGATTCATTTCTAAAGAAAATGAGGACGATCTATCGGGACTTAAAAAACTACCAAGAGATGCCATTTTGCACTGAAATAGGCCGAGCGCTAAATTTCGAAATATATACTGTTAAAATTAAGGGTCACGTTAAATATAAGTTATCATGCGGGCACACAATATTAGGCCTTTCAAAATATAACGAAGTCTAGACCGTACAATAACTGCTCAAACATGTGCACCCCTCATGGGCCTCACTGTGTGTGTGTTGTCACTGTTATCAAGTTCGGTGTAGGCTGATCTGTCCGTTGCGGAATATCCGCCCTGAACCAGACCCATGTGATGAGTAGGAGGAGTAGAAGGAGGAGAATACAGAGTGTGTTCACTAGGATACCCTCCAGTGGGTAATTAGAGTAAGATATCAACCTGTGTTGTTTTTTCTTAACGGTAAACCTAATAAGTATCGTATAAAGTAATCAGAATCTGGGATATTTACGCTTTTAAGTCTACTAACTACATATCTCAGTACTTGCCCGTCTATGTAGCGATAGAAAACCACATCCTCTATTCCCGTGACCATAGCAACCGTTGCACAAACGCAAGTAAATACTATCAGAATTATTTTTAGTTGAGAATATCGTTCCTTCCATTCTCTCGACAAGCTCAAAACCAGCTGAATTTGTGTGAATCAGTTAGAAAAACTTGTTTGTGAAATCAAAAATCGAATGGCTATTTAGTGGTCTTAGATTGTAAAAAGCAATGTAATTTTATTACCTGAGCAATTAAAGCTAGGACAGTAAACCCTCCCACCCAACTGTGGAATGTGTAGAAACTATTTGAGGAAATGGAGGTCTCCTCCTCCGGGACTCCCGACTCTAGAACCTGTTAGATTTAATCTCAGCAACCAATTGTACAGAACAAACGCATACCCTACACAACCCCCTAATACGTGATATTAAAATAAGGGGGGGGGGGGGGTCAACCTCATTTTACCTCACGAGGCCAGCCAAAAAAGGCAAAATTGGGATGAGGTAAAATGAGGTAAAATGAGGTAAATAAATCTAGTTTTCTAAGCCTTTTTTTAGAGACAAAAAAGGTTTATTCGAAGTCATTATACTATAATTCGAGGCTGTACATGGTCTCCCATGATATTTAATGGTTTATTTGGGGTGATGTGGTCCCTGGGAAGGGGCATTCCCAGTTTAACCTACTTACTCTCCAAACTTGGGGTAAATAAAACTTCGCATTATAATTATTATTTATGAAAAGAAACTTGAACATTTCAATTTCCATGATCCATTAGGATATTGTAAATAGCACTTGCTAAGTTTTGTAAAGGAATTAGCAATAACTTTAGTGTCACTTTGGCAGTTGCCAATTTATGGGGATATTTCCGCATTGCATGACATGGACCATTTAAATAATATCTTAATTTGATATTGCGATTATCGAGTCACTCTGAAACAAATTGTGTCTAACTAGACCAATTAATGTAAACAACAGTTGTCCATGGAACTGGATTGGATATCTACATGAATTTAGTCGAAATTGCATAGTGAAAGGTAATTTTATAATAAATTACTCATATAAACTCATACTTCATACAATTCTAAGTTCTTATGTACATGTTCAATGTTCAAGATTCGCTGTAGAATAAAGGGCGGTTCACAAAACCACATTTCGTTTAAATAATTAGATATCACCTCTAATTAGGTACTCTATAGGGTCGGGAACAACCAAAAAATTTTTTGTGTCTACGGTTTCGTATAATACTGACTTGGGCCACGCCCATATTTTTCGCCAATTTTTAACAGGTAAAATTCTCTAAATCGTCAATTTAGTCACGAAGGAGTATGGAAGGAGTTCTAAATGTGTGCTCCTCTAATATAAACAGTAGGAAATGGTTAACTTTAGTCGAGGTTTCAGGTCTCTACAATGTCGGGAAGTTCCTGCAGGAATTTGCGCATTGCGCTGAAGCGCAAGATTCACAGCGCCAAAAGCGAAGGTCGTAGAGACATGAGACCTTGACTAAAGTTAACCATTTCATACCATTGCTGTAAGAGTATGCCACTTTCAGAGTCCTGAACACACTCCTACAGCTCTTAATCGTCAATTACATGTATATGAATTTTACCTGTTAAAATATATCATCTTTACCTGATATCAATTTAGTTTAACACTGTTAATTTTTGTTTTTAACTTAATACTTCACACCAAACTAACGCACAATATGATAATATAAAAAAGGAAGGTTTTCCTTGGATTCCAAATTCAACTTTGATTATATCCTGGCACTGATTATCATTTCTCGATTGTTCTCCATTTTCCAATGCAGTCAGCAAGTTCCAATTAAGGTAGACATAGCTCGTCATTGATAGGATCAGTATTAAATGAGGTCGAATGATTACTTCATAGCTCGTCACTAACTGGATCAGCATAACATGACTAACAACTAACGAGGTCCAGTGATCTCTTGCTGATACGTCAAGACAAGATCAGTAAATAGCTAAAAATATCGAAAAAAATTAGCTTAGAAATTACAGAGTACAAATGCCTTCTTCACAACTAACTCTTCGGCCTCATCTTTTTAAATCACTCATTCCCTCTGAAACAAGATAATGCTTAGGACTAGGAGGAACTTAGTTAACTTCTTGTATGATTCGGTAAGAGGAAAATTCCTTAGTAAGCTAACATTCTTTTGTAGGATGTTACCACTTATCATATCTGTTATCCAGCATAATCCCACAACTAGACCCTCTTATTCTTGAGTCTTGACAATGACAGTAGCAATGTACACTATTTTGATGCTCGATCCAGGTCTCCAAGAAAACCTTCCTTTTAATTTCTCATATTGTGTGTTAGTTTGGTGTGAAGTATCATTTTCTTTTTTAAAACTAACAGTGTTAAACTAAAATGATATCAGTAAAAGATGATATATTTTAACAGGTAAAATTCATATAATTGACGATTAAGAGATATGGGAGTGTGTTCAGGACTCTGAAAGTGGCATACTCTTATAGCAATGGTATGAAATGGTTAACTTTAGTCAAGGTCTCATGTCTCTACAACCTTCGCTTTTGGCGCTGTGAATCTTGGGCTTCAAGCGCAATGCGCAAAATCCTGCAGGAACTTCCCGACATTGTAGAGACCTGAGACCTCGACTAAAGTTAACCATTTCTTACTGTTTATATTAGAGGAGCACACATTTAGAACTCCTTCCATACTCCTTCGTGACTAAATTGACGATTTAGAGAATTTTACCTGTTAAAATTTTTGCCGAGATTTACCTCATTTTACCTCACGAGGCCAGCCAAAAAAGGCAAAATTGGGATGAGGTAAAATGAGGTAAAATGAGGTTGACCCCCCCCCCCCCCAATAAGATCCACGTGATGCCCAAATAAGGAGATCTATTACCTTCCAAGTGATGACCGCAGTCAGAGCGAGGGTTGTGAGGCCCAGACACAGGAACTGGTAGACAAGGTGGAGTTTTGTTTGGAATGTCAGGGGGGCTTCCACCATCCGGTACACTATCACCGCTGAGGGGAGTTTCATGGTTACTTTATTATGTTTGTTTGTTTGTTTGTTTGTTTGTTTGTTTGTTTGTTTGTTTGTTTGTTTGTTTGTTTGTTTGTTTGTTTGTTTGTTTGTTTGTTTGTTTGTTTGTTTGTTTTTTTGTTTGTTTGTTTGTTTGTTTGTTTGTTTGTTTGTTTGTTTGTTTGTTTGTTTGTTTGTTTGTTTGTTTGTTTGTTTGTTTGTTTGTTTGTTTGTTTGTTTGTTACCGTTTGCGAAGCAAGCAGCAAAGGCGAGTAGCATGAGAAGCTGATGCCAGTTTAGTAACCATAGTAACTCAGTAGCCCCAGGTGTTAGACCCCCCAGATAACCAAATATCCACCACAGACTTAGCACTAGGATCAGCAGAATAAGCAGCTGGAAACAGGCGTAGAAACATTGTCGATACATTTCACTTTCACTTCTAAATTAAGTTTTGCCTATAAAAGAAGCAAAAATAGTCAAAACTAGTTAGTGGTAGAGAATGAAAAAAATAATAACATAATAAAGTAATAACTTGGAATGTGAGACTATGATTAGTGGCAGGGCACCAACAGATATTCTAGGGCCAAAACATTAACAGGAGATAATAAGAACAATGTAACAAGTTAAATAGTAGAGATAAGTGAACTAGTGTATTACTCCAGATACTTACACTGCTGTCAGCTAACTAAGCCAACTAAGGTTAACTTGCTCTATACTATATATAACCATACTATAACTATACTCTTATAAACTGGTCTGAAATGCTTGTAGCTGATAAACTGTTCCCTCAGGCTGTGTTAGTTTGTCCAGAGAAATGCTTGTAGCTGATAAACTGTTCCCTCAGGCTGTGTTAGTTTGTCCAGAGAAATGCTTGTAGCTGATAAACTGTTCCCTCAGGCGGTGTTAGTTTGTAGCTGATAAACTGTTCCCTCAGGCGGTGTTAGTTTGTCCAGAGTAACTGATAAACTGTTCCCTCAGGCGGTGTTAGTTTGTCCAGAGACAGCTGTTGAACTGAACCAGAAGCTGAAGAACGACGAGCTGTGAAGCAGAGCTCACTACTATTATTAGTGCTGTTGTATAGAGTTAGCTCACTGCTAAGTGTTAATATTGTATAAAGTTGTCACTACATCAAATCAAATATAGTAGCAATAAATCAGATAAGTTAAATTAAGAGCGACTTTTTATACAAAGTACGTCCGTTCAGGATATACTGTCAGATTTGTAAATAATTTTGTAATATACCTTATACAGTGCGTTGTTAATTTATTATTATGTCAGAATTATACAGTATTTAATGTACAGAATATTGAAGATTCTCATTTTTCTCTAGTCAATTTCAAAAGTTCAAGAGCACGAACATTGTTTCCTAATTTTCTGTTTCATCAAATTTCACCGGAAACCCCAGTGAAATGAGCATCGACAGCTTTATATGGAACTGATAAAAATGTGTAGATTACAATTAGTTCTTAAGATGAGCGCGTATTTACTGAGTTATTGCTTAACTTAAAACCTTTGTGCGAAATAAAATGGTACAGTAACTACTTTTATAATTTTCATCAGTTACCCATCTGGCTTCAACACAATTGTGTAAAATCTTGATGAGTAATTAATTGCCTAATTTATTACCTTATTAATTAAGGATTAATATGGAATTCTCCATAGTCATGGTAAAAGATCAGAGCATTGGCACTTTTAATAACAGACAAAGACATATCAGTAATGGTAAGTTTATCTTTTTATAATATGTTCGTGTGTGTCAATTTTTTGTTTCAGTGGTAGCTTTATCTTGTCTACTTGGCTCACTTATTCGTCACTTCACTCAATTGAGAGGAAATTAAAAACCATTATATGTACTCGTTCAGAAATCTAGTGAATTCTCTTTTATTTTACCGTACAGTAATTAACTAAATACCTAAGTTACCCTATTAGTTCATTCCCAAAATTCACGATTTTCCGTCTATCCTACTCTAGTTTTAGTCCCAGGTATTAGAAGTTCCTGTTCTTAGGCTGTAAGTTAGTTATATCTTACTTAATCTAAAATATTATTCAACTCAACATTATTAGAAGAACATCGGATTTATTCAGCTGTTTATTCATGTTGAGTAGATCTTAAAATTTGTAGGGTATGTATTCACTATTCACTATTTACATTTACATGCAGTCCTGTTTATCTTACACCTTTATACAACAATGGCTGACATCCTTCTGAATGGTAAGTTATTGCACCAATAATAAAGTTAAGATATGCGATATTGTTTTAGATATACTCATCTTGTATCCGTTTCAGGCACTTCGCAGTTTTCTGCAACCTATTGACTTAGGAAGCGTTCACATATGACGTCAGCAAGATTTTGGCCAATTTTACCCACATCCCCCCCCCCCCCCCCGGCCATGTCAGCAACTGTCAGCATCGAGCGACCCCCACCCCAAACCCACCGTCCCGGCTCCCCCGTCTGCTGCTGACGTAATATGGGAACAATGCAACCCGGAAGTTTGTTCCGTACGTAACCCTTCATAACTAGAAAACAATCTGATCTTATTAGGATCAGCGTACTAAGTTAATCTAATATCCTTTCCTCTTCTTATCTAAGCTGATTTACAAAACCAAGGAAAATTACACGTTCGAATTGCAACTTGTATTACCGAGAACTCTTTATACCCTTGTAATATCGGCTGTGGGGCTTCCTCTACATATAGAGGTTACTGGTTATAGTGTGTTGTTAGAGATCGTGGGTTGTTGTTGTCATGTCTTTTAATAAACCAGGTGAGCCGTTGATCCAGCTTTTATTAGGTAATTTATTGATAATGATTATTTCAGGCCAAGTTTTTACACACATTAGTTGGCGTGGTTCACATAGTCTAGTTCGACACGCACTCTAGTTCGACAACTTAAGTCGCCATAAATCACCCCTGTCGAACTTCGGTACGCATCGAACTAGAGTCCAGGTACTCTAGTTCGACAAATAGTTTCTGCTTGTGATCCAAGGCCTATTGCCGAGTCCTTATCATGATATGATCACAGGGTTCAATGGCAGGTGCACGAGATCAGAAAGTTCAAAACGTTAGGATAATTTTAAAACAATTTTCTGACATCTAACAACCAGTGAACCAGCGATTAGAAATTTTAGAACCTTTCAGTATAATTTTATTTCTCCTGTCTGCCAACGGTTCCGGTCTAGCAAACAGGAAAATAGATTGATATCCGACCGTTTCCAGTTCAGCAGCCAAATCTCTAGACCGGTACTCGGTTACTAGTCGTTTAATTACATCAAGTGTGGTATTTGGTCAATATTCATATAGCGCACTCAATCTAGATCTATAAAACGGAGTACGATTTACCACTGCACGATATTCCTTTATCTCTCCGCTTAGTCTACAATTCTGCTAACTAACAATTAAGTCTGAGGTCGGTTAAAAGTTTATAGATTTAGAAGTTTAGATTATAGTGTATTTTTGACCTTAAATTGGATACAGCAGAAGAAATGTTAGGGTTTGCCGAACTACAGTACGTGTACCTGTTGGCGTACTCAGCAATCTAGCTATTGAATTTTCATCTTGAATATGGGACACAAACTGACCGAATTCATCTTTTAGGGAAATGATATGAGCTGGAATCGGTCCAAGCTGTCTATTTACGGCTTATCAAATGATTATCATATTCCACTCACTGGTGAGAAAACGTTCTGCTTTTAGCTGTTCTCGCTAGTTTCATTTACCGCTCGATACTCTTCTTAGGATGGCGATATTAATACGTATAATTTATATTTTATATTTACATAATTGCTATTTCTGAAGTGCCAACTTTGCCATCAACCGGAGCTAAACTTGCAAGATAGTACCGGCTATCAAATTACACTATATATTAGAGCATATACTATATTATTCGTGTAACAGTATATCTGTATAATTATATATTACTGTCTAGAGTTTCCAGGTTCATAACGTTCCTACAAAGTAACATTGTTTGAGGACCCTCTGGGCCCTATGGGCTCACAAATACTATTATACGGGTGTAGCACATTATGTTTGGTATGTTTCCAAGTTGCTATGATACGGATTACGGGTGTAGCATATGTTTGGTATGTTGCCAAGTTATTCAGCAAAGTAACATTAGACCAAACCTTGAAAATTAAATATGCTAATATAATGACGTATTGTATGCTAATTTCAAGTCGTTTCGATAACTTTTTATTTCTGGAATTTTATCTCCACCGTAAGCTGTGTCCTTCATTCTAAGCTCAGCCACTTATCGATAATTCAGCGGACATCAGTATTTAGATAATAACCTTTACATTCTGTGACTGGTTGTTATAACGACTGGTTGTTATAAGGCGACACTGTGTATTCTCTGCTTAAATTTCCAGTTATATATTATCAAGTACATTCCTGGTGTACAGTCAAGAAGTAAAACTGTTGTTATATTGTATACAGTTGAAGACGTGTACTACTATATAGGTAAATATTATGCTATAAATGGAATAGTACAAAGTGCAATGTGTGCATTGTGTATACCCTGTACAATGTGTACAATGTGTATACCATGTACAATGTACATGCATCTAATTCCGGCTTGCAGCAGTAACACAGTAACACAGTATGTTCTAATAGAGCAGTAGTTTGCTTCTTACTCCCGTACTTGTTATACTACCATTTACCATTTTGCCGAAGCATTGCAATTAATCTTAGTCTCATCATGGTCACATGCATCTACTAGTGCAAGTGTGTTAATGTATATAATATGTGATGTGCATGTTTTATATTTTAAATTTCCGGTAAAGTTGTCCAGTAGCTTTTTCCGATCAGTTCGTCGTTCGAATGTTTTATTCAGTGAAATATAATGAATATTTTATCTTCATAATCACAATTTTATCGCAGTTGTGATCGCTATTTTAAAATCTAAACAGTCCTCTTTTTTAACAAATAAGTGGCGACGCAACTCTTTGAATAGTTAACAATGACTTTATTCTCTTTTCTTAGCTGTGAGCCACAATTCTCTATCAGAGTTATCACCTGTACTACTGTACTACTGTACTGCTGTACTACTGTACTACTGTACTACTGTACTGCTGTACTGCTGTACTGCTGTACTGCTGTACTACTGTACTGCTGTACTGCTGTACTACTGTACTGCTGTACAGCTGTACAGCTGTACTACTGTACTACTGTACTACTGTACTGCTGTACTGCTGTACTACTGTACTGCTGTACTACTGTACTGCTGTACTACTGTACTGCTGTACTGCTGTACTGCTGTACTACTGTACTACTGTACTACTGTACTACTGTACTACTGTACTACTGTACTGCTGTACTGCTGTACTACTGTACTACTGTACTACTACTACTACCACATGTACTCATTCTATAATAGTAAGGAACACAAGATAATGGATTTTTCGAATCCGTTTGCGTTTGACTCAGGAGAACAGCAATTTCCCATCACGTCACCTAACTGGCCCATGACGTCATCAGAAGACCCGCTGGGATCAGTGGTGACGCCATCGTCCCGGAGGTCACGTTACCAGTCACATCCCGGAGCAGTGAGGGAGGGGGAGGAGGAGGAGGAGGAGGAAGAGGAGGGCAGCAGGGTCAGAAAACTCAGTCAGAGACAACTTTCTCAAGTTCTAGGTATTGAGTAAGAGTCTTGATCTACATTTCATCAGCTGGAGATAGTTGCTCTAAACCCAGATTAGAGATAAATTCGTAAACCCAGTTCATGAATCCTCCAAAGATTAGGCACCATTGGTTGATGGGTTTTAGTTTTCACACTAAGTCAACATGGCTCGTTTGGTGACATGTAAATCCAGTGTAGGAGTAAGTAGGAGTTACCAAGGTTACAAAATATAAACATGTCTTATACAGTTGCAGTTATCACCGCCCTTTTCCAGCCTTACCTGCTGTTTGTCAATTATAATATTCCACTTAAAGTATCAACTCTTTGCTTAAAACACGTGCTGTGCTGGTTATAATCACCCCGCTAGATACTAAATATCAAAGGAGCAATATATATATTGTGTTGTTATAGCTACTACCATTCAACTAAACATGCACGCTGCTGGATGGAGCTTCTTGAGTAACAACAGCCTCATTTCTAATTCAATGACATGTTAAGGCTATCGGTATCTGAAAAAGAAAAGATTCAAGAAATTATCTTTTAATTACTAGCCATGCTCTACGAGTTTTCATTTAATACGACTGATCACAAGTCACTGTTGACTCACTGTTGACAATCTCACTTGAAATAACGAGAGTCAGTTCATTTTCCCCTAGAACGGAGCGGGGATATTCCTGTACTCTTCTCCGCCAAGCCGCTTCACAGTGATGACAAGAAGGTCCCAGACAAGAAATGCCAGAAAAATAAGGAGAAAAGGGTACGGGTCATTTGATATTTCCTAATTTGATTGTCCGAATTGATTTCATTTAAGTGGATTACCCTACCTTACCCACCCTTGGTTAAAACTACAACGCTTTGCAACACCTCTTTAACCCACAGGAGACGATACAGGTGATATACACGGCGGGGCGACCTCCCTGGTACGATTCTACAGGACACCAGGAAGCGGACGCCTTCGTCATCGGCCTCTGCGGAGGAAGCGCTTCCGGGAAAACTTCCGTCGCCAAAGTAATCGTGGAAGCTTCAGGTTAATCCTAGAATAGACAGCTTCTTCGTAAAGAATTCAGAATAAAATATAATAAGAAATTGATCGTCCATTATAAAGTAGATGACTGTTTAATTTAGATAACTGATAACAGCCTACACCTCAATACCTGCATACTCTTATTGTATACACTCCTATTTCTGGTGATTATCTATCTTATTTTAGGTGTACCGTGGGTGGTGATCCTGTCTCAGGACTGTTTTTACAAAGAATACAATGACAAGGAAAAAGAGCTTATTGCCAAGAACGAATTTAATTTTGATCATCCTGGTAGGTTTTTTATTGGTAAAAACGTTAAATGTTGATATAACCCAATTTAATGTTAGATACTTTTATTTGGTCAATTTAGAAAGTTGATCTGAATGGATACCAATTTTATTTTTATTTTTTTCCCTACTCTTGCCGAAGGCAAAAAGATTGTAGGGAATAAGTAATCGGGTTTGGATATATGAGGTGGCCCGATGGACCTGCGGTGATGACAAAAGTCTGCTCCTTCGCAATAAAGACCACTCCCCTATAATTAAGTGTATAGGAAGCGTCTGTTATGCTGCGCGCGACGCTAGCCACGTGTTAATTAATTACAGTGAAATTCCTCCTTCGCAAAGTTATTTTCCGCATTTTTCTGGATTCATTTATTGTCGTCAATTTCTACCATGCACGAATCCTACTCATTTATAAATAACATAGTATGTAAATATGCTGCACTTTTTTCCAGTCACACTTTTCACTCAAAAGAATTGATGGTACAAGTACATCTAATCGTAGGGAAAATTGATCGTGCGTGGTTTAACCGCGGCGAAATTCTTGTTAAATGTTACTGCTACGTTGAAAAAAGCAAATAAAACTTTCAGATGCTTTTGATTTCGATTTGATTTACAAAACGTTAAAAAAGCTGAAGTCCGGTAAACAGGTGAAAGTTCCAGTCTACGATTACGTTACTCATCGGAGGAAAAAAATTTGGGTGAGTTCAACGTTCTGGGATAATTCTTGATACATTCCTGCTGCAGTTATCATTTGTGACTCTAGTACTTCTATTCTTAAATCTTTAATTTGCTAACCACGTGTAATAATGTACATTTACTTTACAGAATACTGTATACGGTGCTAACGTAGTCATATTTGAAGGGATCTTAGCCTTCGCTGATAAAAGATTAGTAGAGGTAAGGGATTTCTCGTGCTACTCGATTAACCGTCTTATTTTCCAGAACACTTTCCTTTATTTGATTATTTGCTGCTTTTACTTATGGAGATCAAAATGTGTTTAGCAAATATTATGGTAATTGCTCTAGTGAATCATGATCAAATCAGTTACAATAAGAATTATTTTAAAAACCTCGTGCAGATTGAATTTAAATAGTTATCAGATAATAATTAATAATTATGCGCTATATAATTGTTATCTGCAGCTGATGGATTTGAAGGTGTTTGTGGACACGGACAGTGACATCAGACTGGCGAGAAGACTGAAAAGGGATATATCAGACAGGGGCAGAGACCTCGGCAGTGTTCTTCATCAGTACAACACTTTCGTTAAACCAGTCAGTGTTACTTTAGTTATTTTACACTTAGTAAGGACTCCAATTTATGTCGTGAACAAAGCTTTGTAAGACTATCTAAGCAGTATTTTTCATGGTCGTTATCATCTTAATTTCCAGCGTTTTACCGCCTATTATAGAGTTACAACGAGTTTGTGGGGCCGACAAAGAAACATGCAGACATCGTGTTCAGAGAGAGTTCAGAGCTGAGCTGTGATTCACAGTTACATACTGACACAATTACAGACACTTTACTGACACGTGCATACAGACACACTTACCTTAACGTTAGTTCTTACTGACACGTGCATACAGGCACACTTACCTTAACGTTAGTTCTTACTGACACGTGCATACAGGCACACTTACCTTAACGTTAGTTCTTACTGACACGTGCATACAGGCACACTTACCTTAACGTTAGTTCTTACTGACACGTGCATACAGGCACACTTATCTTAACGTTAGTTCTTACTGACACGTGCATACAGGCACACGTTAGAAATTTAACCGATAAAAGTAAAACAGGTTCAGGAAATCCCTGTTATTGGGGCTTGGGCTTTAAAAACTTTTCCAAACAATATCATTACTATTTTCAGTCGTTTGACACGTACATAGCTCCCACAATGTCGTTAGCAGATATAGTAATACCTCAAGGGGTGGAAAATGACGTAGCTCTACAGCTCATCATACAGCATGTCAAACGTGAACTGGACAGGTAAATTACATGCAGTGTTATTAGTTACTGTAGTATTACTATTATATAATCCTGAAATATCCTTGGCTCTTGGCTTGGATTACTTCGATCACAACAATTTGCTACCCGGCCTGATTGAGGGAGCGGATTTGCCTTTAAGCCACTTACCGGCCCCCGACATCATGCTTGCTACTGACTGTCGGGTTAACGGTGCTTTATAGGAAGTTCAATTGGGGCACAACATTCCGTTCCAATAAGTTAACAAATAACTACATAATATGTTCAAGTGTGTTCTATTCTACAGACGCGGATATGTGACCCGGTCTAAAACTACCTGTAATAACGACAACCTGCTCACAGAACTACCACTACCAGAAAGTTTAGTTATTTTACCGAGCACTAGCGAGGTTAAAGTACTCCTCACTATCATCAGGTTATTATTATATTGTTATTTAGTAAAATTATTTATCTAATTCATCTTTTATTTCTATATTTTATCTAGATCCTGATAGGTAATATTGACCCTAACCTATTGCTGTAGTTACTTAGTTATGAAATTAGAAATCAGAATAAGCCTTAGCACATAAAATCTTACGATTACTATCCTGCAGAGACAAGACAACAATACGAGATGATTTTATCTTCTACTCACAAAGATTGATGAGACTGCTGCTGGAACTCAGCCTCACATTCCTACCCGTCACCCCGGAGACCGTCCCCACATTCCGAGGGGAAGAGTACAACGGGGTAGCCTTCACTGGCAAGCTGTGTGCGGTATCTATAGTGCGAGCTGGCGAGGTGATGGAAACAGCGGTGCACTCAGTTGTGAAGGATATCTCTATTGGCAAGATACTGATCCAGACGTGTCAGAGTACGGGGGAACCGGCACTTCACTATCTCAGACTACCTTACGGGTTTGTACTCCTGCTAATACTGATACTCATTACTGACATGGAGTTCTGTTTTACTGCTTTGTAAATCAGTGTTATTTAAAGTATTTTATTACTCTTTTAAGTTTTGGTAAGTTTTATTATTAATATTATTGTTATTTTTCTCATAATTTAATTATGAGAAAAATAATTAGGTTAAATTCAAGCAGGCACGTAGTCGACGCGTCCAACCCAGCTGCGCAGCGAGCAAGCTGCGGCAGGGCTTTGGGGGTCCAGGGGCGGAGCTCCTGGGCGGGGGGCTAGGGTGTTTTAGACGACATTTAGCATTAAAGAAATTTGTAGGACAGCAATAAACTGGGACTGAAAAGAATCAAGTACTTACGTAAATTTGGTATTAGTACTGTGGACTGTGGTACTACTGCTCTTTAATTTTTTGCTGGAAATTAAGCACTAAGTAAATGCCAAAATGTCTTACCAGTCCCTACCGATCTCAGTACTTGCCACATTGAATGGAATAAGTACATGTATAGTGGGATTTGGGAATAATTTACGAAATGCTCAAAGTCAATTGCCTGCCGTTTAAACAGTACAGACTGCAGTCATAAACACAGCCCAGTTACCAGGTGACCATGGGGACTAGGGGGCTTATTTTTTTCTGGGGTTCAATTTTTTCCGGAGGGGGGCTGCCCCCCCCCCCCCCCCCCTGGCTACGTGCCTGAATTCAAGCGCCCTTATGTTAACTCCCCTGAAAGTTTCAAATAAATGTTCAGGATTGTAAACATATATATACTCGATTTTCAGGGCACGCGATCAAAAATCGCCCGCGCAATACAATTATCACACACGCGCTGACCTTTGACCGGCATTAATTTCGGCTAGGAACGATATTTTTCCACGGGATCAAAAGCATCTGATAGATATTACTCCCCTCTATCAGAAACAACTAAAAAGTCGATTTTGAGAACATTTCCACGAAGACCCCCCCCCCCCCCCCCCGCCCCCTTAATACAGTCAAGTCGGCTATAGACAATTGTCTTACACGTTATCAACATGTCCTATCAACAATAAAGGACAATGGGTTGAGCAAATTAATACTTATTAAGTATTTTTATTGCATTATTATAATATTTAAATATTTTCATTACCTAAATATGCAAAAATTAAGTGGAAATTTCATTTGTCAAAAAAATGAGAGCCATTTACTTTCTACACACTATTTTCAACTCACCCTGTACATTAGTAAACTAAACTAACTAAACTAACTAAACTAACTAAACTAACTAAACTAACTAAACTAACTAAACTAACTAAACTAACTAAACTAACTAAACTAACTAAACTAACTAAACTAACTAAACTAACTAAACTAAACTAACTAATGTTCAGGATTGCAAGCATGCACGTGATGCTAATGGACGCCACTCTAGCGACCGGGGCTGCGGCTATGATGGCTATCAGAATATTATTGGTGAGATTCGTTACACAGATTGCTAGTTGTTGCATTTGAAATCCCCGGTCACTAATTCCCATTAATCATATTATGATAATGAGAGAAAATGTGACTGTTTGTGGCTGACAAGCGAAGAAACAAAGAAAAAAGTATATTTAGGTGATCAATTGAATCGATTCTTTTAATTAACATTTTACCGACCTATAATAAGCATTAAGCAATAAGCGTGCAACACCCTTCAACTATGTCGAACTGTCGGTCTCACTATTTTTTATCAGGATCACGACGTTCCAGAGGAGTTCATCAGTTTCGTTTGCCTGATAGCATCTAAACCTGGTGTCCAAGCGATCGCCTACGCGTTTCCCAAGGTACGCATTATTATGGGTGAGCTGGATCCGGATATTGATGAACACTACCATATTTGTCCCGGTTTGGGAAACTTCGGGGACAGGTTCTTCGGGACAAGCTGAGAGGATTGTTCGTCACATAGAACGATAACCCTTGAAGATGATAATAACATTGGTAACTGTGATGTTTTGTAGTAGTATTATGGATAATGACTATGACATGGTCCTTAACTGATCACGTTTTAAACAATACTAAATCATTATATGATGGGGCATATTGCAATGATAGTAATTTAATAATAATATAATACCGATTTAATGGGAATTCATTTAATTTCAATTTTTAAATGTTTTATACTGACTGTAGGAGTTTCTGATGCAATTCTTGCCAAAATGTCAAGGCTGTTAAATTCGTCAAAAAAAGTACGGCGTATTTAGAGTTCTCAAAAATACGCGAATAATTCGCCAATTTACTCAACTACTTCAAGTTTAAATTTTTAGGGCTGTTAAATTCGCCAAGAAATGCGCGGAAAAATCAGTAAAAACGCGGCTGTGGGAACGCGCAGCATTCTCGAGTATGATATGATCTCGCGCCTCCGCAGTAATTTTAAATTTTCCCTGCCACGTGTTGACTATCGTGAACATTTTGGTGCGCACACGTGATTTTCTTGTCCCGCATTTATTTTAAATACGGACATTTTAAGAGAAAAATTCGTGTGCGAATTTAATTCGAATAATACGTTTAATGCGAATTTCACAGCATTGAACAAAAAGGAAACACCGCATGCGGCGCCTCTAGCTCAGTATGGTAAATTGTAACCATTGCATTGTATCCGCTGGGCTTTTATATTTTTATGTATATGATGTTTTTAAGGTATTGAACTTTGGTCTTTGATTCACAAATACTAAATAGGAATTTGGAATTGAATATAAATATTTGTAAAATTAAGAAGTTTGTTATTTTCCTCAAGTAGGTAATCTGTAAGTTTGGATCTATTTTTAAACTGTTATATTAGATAAACAAGTGTGAAGTGTAACGGTTGGTTTAGGTTGCGAAACATTTGAATTTCAGATGAGTGAATTGGTCGTATGTTTGATGTTTTAAGTTTTAAAAATGTTCTTATTGAAATGTGAAAGGCTTTTCTTTAAGTTTATCGTTTATTCTAGGGGGTGCACGATAATAAAAATAAACTTGCTCGGATTTTCAAAATTTTTGTACCATTGTTTTTTAGAGACTGTGAGAATTTTCGCAGTACCAAATTTGTCATACCTTTTTGGAATGATCAGTGAGTTTCGCCTAGGTGCCATATTTGATGGTGCGCGGCTTTTGGAGCAAAATTAGGCGTAAAAGTCGCGTAATTTGACGAAATTCGTTGATTTTTGTCGTATTATTCTGTCATATCTTCAGTTCCTGAACATGAATCATGCCGAAAATTTGTCAGAACCTTCCAATCATACTCAACTACCGAACCCAAATTAGTTGGGAGAGATTGGCCTTGATTAAGAGGTCTAAAAATGACAAAATCAAAAATAGATATAAATTCGTCGATAACTCAAATTCTGACCATCGAAATTGCTCAAACTAATTTAGGTTCAGTAGAACATAAGTGTTTACGTAATGCGTAAGCTGACCAAATTTCAACAAAATTGTTATTATATGGGAAGTATTATAACTTTTTGATTGTTTCCGAAATAATGTGCTGGCCGAAATACGAGCTAAAAAACCATTCAATGGTCAGTGCGCGCGCCTTACGGTCGATGACGCACGGCCTATTTTTTCTCCTAAAATGTTCATTGACGGATGTTACTCGTCTAAATTTCTTCGAAGTAGCGCGCGCCGGGCCTGATCGTCAACAATGTTCAAAGTGGTTCATAAACCTTGCGATAAAATCTGAAACCTTGCTGGACAGCTCAAATGTTTATCAAAACCCGAAAATAGGTACAGTGGATCGAGTGTGTATCGTGGTTATTATTATTCATATTGTCGCCTTCTTTCAAACTAGAACATAGAAGAAATACCCGGTCGTGCTAAATTCAATTACCAAGAGCGTGCTTACTGGGCGGCGCTCAGCCTGCGCCTGCCATTCCGCCAAATCTCTATGATTATAAACATAAATATAATAGCCTGGGGTCCCCATGTAAGACTAAGAGCGTGCTTAATTATTGTCCATTGTTAATGGACTAGCCCGCGCGCGCTACTTCGTATAGTAGCACTTGCCTCGGGCCAACATTTCGAGAAGAAAGCGGCGCGCGCTATATGCTATATCGAAGAAATTTACAATTTAGACGAGTAACATCCGCCAAACTAAACTACTTTTTACTGGGCGGCGCTCAGCCTGTCATTCCGCCGAATCTTTATATATGAACATAATAGCCTGGGGTCCCCAGGTAAAACTACTTTACACTCGAACTTCAAGATTTTTCTAAAAGTCCAGTTTAAAGTTCAACCAACTCGGATCGACGTATTTTGTATTTTTAAACACTGAATCCGAATTACCCCACAATCTACATAACATTGACATATGATTGAAATTCTCCCCTGGCCTGGCGAGATTTCGGTGAAAACTGATCAAGTGACATATATCATAATATAAGGAAGTTGGTTTAATTTCGAGGGGCCGGGCCGGGAGGGTTAGGGTAAAGGTTTTAGCAAATGCCTCGGTTAGTGGTTAGGGTTTTGATTGTCATACGTTGTATGACCCGCCGCGCACGAAGTGCGCGGCTCCCCCTGTAGCGTCGAAGTGAAGGGACCGTGGGGGTCACCACGTGATACAAGGTTTTGAATAGTCACTCAGCGCTACGTAGAGAAAAATGTACTTAGCTTGCTAAATGCTAGTCTCTCGCTTGGTTCCCTTCATGGAACATAAAAATACTTGCCCCACGTTGTGGGCGCGCACGAGTGCTCGGCTGCATATCGTGAATTGTTGCTTTCGCCACGCAGCACGGTAGTAAATAAAATAAAATGAGGATCGCGACGTGAGAAAAAGTTGACGGATGTTACTCGTCTAAATTTCTTCGAAGTAGCGCGCGCCGCTTTCTTCTCGATGGCAAGTGCTACGAAGTAGCGCGCGCCGGGCCAGACCATTAACAATGGTCAAGAGAAAAAGTTGCTACACGTTGTATATCTTTTATTTTATTATAAACCTACGAACTAAATCGCTCACCCCAATTTTTAACAAGAATTGCGCCCGCCGCCCGTTGTTTCGTTTTGGCGGACGCTAGATTTCCATTCCACATTCACTATAACTATGTATAAATATAAGAGCTCTAATCAGCTCCTAACGGGTGATACTCGTAAAATATCTGTTCCATGGACCGTCGACGAGTGACGAGTTCAACTCGGCGCGCGTCCTGGTAGGTTGTAAACCTACAAATCAGCTCACTTCATAATAATAATATTGAAACACATCAGTACACTACGCATGGCACGTACAAATTGGGCTTATTACATAAAACTATACATTACATAGTGTCATAGTATAAATTAAAATACGGCGCTCGAACCGCGCATTCATTGACCACAGGCTAGCTATACAGTATACACCACATCTCCGCAAGCAATCCTCGCGCGCGTGCGCACGGCAAGTTGACATGGTAACGAACGGAAGTAAGGAACACGGCATATATTTGACCCACCTACCGCAATCTCCAAAATCCACGTTTTTCTGCAAAAACGACCATTTGTAACCTTTCACGTTTTAATTTCGTTCGGCTGCAAAACTATAAAAACCAAAGTCACGTGAAAATTTAGGGCGAGCGAATAATAGTATTACTATTAGTAAAACTAAAAGCCATTTTTAACGATTATAATTCCATTTTTAACGCTTATAATTCCGAAGGCGCAGTTCATAATTATATCTCCACAGAAAGCACCCTCCCCAAATTTCGCGTGCATGGTAGTAACTTCTTTCAAACTTCATGAATATATGGAAATAAGATCTTTTGCTATTTAAAATCAATATCAAATATATGCATGTGTTATAGATGGAGGATATAATATAGTGATAATTGATTGATTGACAATTCCAACCCATCCACATCGTACTGCAGACTGTTCTGCTTCGAAGCAAGCATGACAATGCGCGTCGAAGTCCTCGTGATTAATCATCAACCGCAACATCAAACGTGTACAAATGAAACGAAGTTTATCAATTGTTAATGTTTTGATGAATGACTCTTATTTTAAACATTGATTCATTGATGAGAAAAGCATTAAAGAATTGCAACTAAGTCTAAAGTCTAGTGGTGCACTTGTAGTCTTGAACGGGAGTTGGGGAATTGTAAATCTACTTCTAGTGGTGGGCTATATTATAAATTATTTGGCGCACCGTGCCTTCTGCATTCTAATGTCTGAATTCTGATCTTCACTATTACCTGTACGCGAGAAACGAAAGTGAATAACAAGCTGAGAAATGCCTTTGAAATAGGTCACGTTTTTGACATTTGAGACTGTTGTTAATGTTGGTTGTACTGTATACCTACGTGCTACGGTTCATATTAATTATATTCATAGTCCTACCTAAGGGAGCGTTCACATATTGCGTTAGCAGCAGAGGGTTTTTGGGAATGCTGACGGAGGGGTCTGGGCCTTGCTGATACCTGAATTTTTGCCAACGTTTTTATGATGCAAATCACAAATCAATATGATTAACAATAAAACTTCGAAAATCTCCTTAATATTAATATTTAATATTTCAGTGGACTAAAGTCTGTTGACATTGAGCAACTGTTTAAATCAGGCAGTTGAGCCCGATCGGCCCAGTTGCTGATGGGAGAGGGGAGTTGCCAAAAACTTGCTGATGTAATATGTGAACGCTCCGGAGGCTGAAGACTAAAGTAGGATGTGGTGAAAGGAAGCTACTATAATTCCAAAATATTATGGTCCACCACTAGAAGTAGAAACTCCCTGCCACCCTGTACTAAGTATACTGTAAATATTGTACTTAACTATACCCTTACCTACCTGATCAATGCAGAGCTAAAACAAACTTTATTATATTTATATACAATGAACGTCATTGCGTCAAAAATATCCACTCACGTCATCTCTTGGTTGGGTTATTAAAGTAAAATATATAAAAACGAGCAACTGCGAACGTAGTTTTACTTTTATGATTATACACTTACAGCCGATACTACGGTATTTAAATATCCAACACACTTCCAACAACACATCTTTCGTAAATAGATTGGCAATTTTGAAACAGAAAATGCACCGTACATCTGCTTCTTTAAATTACTTTCGATTCTAAATTGTAAAGTCTGCAAGTTACAGTTTACACGAGTATTATCTTTGAGTTAACGTTTGACATTATAACGCCGCAAATATAAAATGTGAGCGTCGAACTCATTTTGTGTGGCATTCATTTGCTAGAGCTCACGGAACGCCGTCGACTTTGATTAAGTGTTTCGTCGGGAATCTCTTCTGCATGCTGAAGATCGATTGGCTTGTCTTCAATTAATTCTGAAATAATAATTATTATGAATTATACAAATTTCATATTAGTTCCATTTTCTAATAGAAAATCTTAATTCTACATCTTTTAATTCTCTTTGATCTTACGTACGTCTAATACAGAAAGAAAATTATAATTTATTTCCAGTTCTACATGGCTCTTGATAAGGAGTACCAGAAAAAATAGTTAGTATTAAACAAATGAGTGATTCGCGTTGAACTTCAGTCAACTCACCTCCATCTTCTTCAATCTCCTCTACATCTTCGTGTCCATTAGTTTCTCCTGAAATTCGTTACAAATGAGAAATACTTCCGGCAAACTGTGTTATTAGAAAAACAGGTAATTATTTTCAGATTGACCCACGTTTAGTCTGTTAGTGAAAATGAACATGATTATAGAACCATCTGTGTGTCTCTTCACAGGAACTTCTGGCTCTATGTTTGATGACCCTCAATTTTGTGCTTGTAGGTTTATAACCTACCAAGACGCGCGACGAGTTGGACTCGTCCACGGTCGTCAACAAATATTTTACGAGTATCACCCGTTAATTTTGTGCCGTCTCCACAATTGAAGATGTTGTTGCATGTAAACAGAAGTCTGTAATATCGGTGCGGTCGTAACGAGAATCGAGATTTTTAAGTGCACTAGGTAGGCTCTATACTTATAGCTAGTTATGGGTGGTTAAAACTCTTTGGGTGATTCCCGGGACTGTGGACATTGGACAACACATTCCTGTAAAGAAACATTGCAAATTTATTTATAGACCATTTTTATAATGCGATAGTGAAAGAACTGTTCCAAAAAGGTAAGGATCCGACTTTCTGATCAAACGAAAAAAAAACATTGCCGAAAAGATCGTTGGAATATGTAATCGGGTTTGGATATATGAAGTGGCTCAACGGCCCTACGTTGATGACAAAAGTCTGCTCCTTCGAAATATTCGACAAATTCGATTAAAATGGCAACAAAATGCTAAGATTATTTACCTTCATCGACGTTGTTCATTAAGAATTGACCGTCTTGATTGGTTGGCTTAGCAGCAGCGGTTGCATTGAAAACAGAATCATTTGTTCCGTTCGCCAACAATTCGGGATTTCCCTTCTTTTGGGGCGGGTTTCTGTCGAGTTTGCTTTTACTCGGGACATTTTTTATCTCATCTGGAAATATAGCATTATTAGAGAATGGTTGCAACGATCAAAAACATTAATCCTAACGTGTAAAATCAGCTGGATAAATCCAATTTAATTTACATGGACAGAACTGAACGTTTTATTTCACCGGCAGTGTTCTCTCAGATTGCAATAAGAGTGCTACCAGCATCACGTATATAATGTATCTTCATCGGACCTTCAAAGATCCTCTAGATTTTTCATAAATTTACCATAAATTGGATGATGAAGTTTACCATTTCAGTTTTAGAGAGAATCTTAGAATTTTCATAAAATAAAAATCAACAAAAATTGTACCCAGTTCAGCACCCTTGTCCCTCAATATTACAGGCAAATTGTCTTATACGACCTAACACTGTTTTATTACTAATTATAAAAATCGTTAGAATCAAGGTTCTTGACCATTGTTAGCTAATTCTGTTCATTTGTTTATTGTTAAGCTTTGGGCTTCATTTCTCAGCGTTAGATCGAGAAAGAATCACACCTTTCAGTTGCTGTGGTTACATGCGATCAGCTCTCTCGTTAAAATCTATTTTCAATTTCCTCAGCCTTAGAGCAGAACTTTCTAGTTTCTTTTGAAAGAGTTTAGGCTAGGTCTATCAGACTGGCAACAGTTCACTAGCACAATTTAAATAAAAAATAAATGAAAAACTTCAACGTACACACATTCACTGAACGAAGATATTACGAACTTGGTTTATCAAACGATACCAAATCTAAGAAACGAAATACATCACGCAAAACGTCTACACCATTTAAATTAGGGTAACCTTCAAGAACATCCTCGTCGCTGTTAGAGTAGTTGTCGCTGTTAGAGTAGCTGTAGTTAGAGCGAACCGGAGTGTGAGGTTTTGAGAAAACTTCCGGATAGACATTTGGAGCTTTATCTTCCATAACATCACGGGTTTTTAGAGGTTCATCATCTTGTGACGATTGCTCAAACGGCGACAAACTACGAGGTGTCAGTCCTCCATTTTCAGGGATAATATTTGTCCCAAACTCCGCTTCCGGTGTTTCAGTTTCACCACCAGTCAGTTCGCCTGGACCATCTCTCGGGTTATACTCTTAATACGACCACTAACGACCAGTATGTTCACAATAACATAAAAATAAACAACAGAAATCCAGTTTGACCAGTATGAACAGCGTTAGTACACCTGATTTTTGTTCTACTACCTGTACATAGTTTCAGTTTTTAGCGGTAGATCGTGAATATTTTAGGGGTTTCATTAAGTCACTTCTCGCATTAAAATTTCTCTTAAAAAAAAAAGCATCCAAATTCCAACTGTTCAATGACAGAATGGAAAGCTCACACAAAACTAAACAAGAATTTCGCCGCGGTAATACCACGCACGATCAAATTTCCCTACTGCATACAATTAAATTGTTCTACTTTATTGTATTCCAGAGTGGTGTTTGGCGCATGTACAATGTAATAAACGTTTATATTATATTAGGCGTGCAGAACTTGAAAAATCCTGCGCGCATCTGAGGTGTCGCCGTCGATCTGTATGTGGTTTGGTTGTAGATCATTTCATACTTTGCGCGGTTTTGTTTCGTGTTAACAATAACGATATGCGTATCATGTCACGTCATATTATCATCGTATGCCAACTTATTGACTGTAATAAAATATGCTGTCTCGTCTTAGTTATTATTTGTATCTAACATAAACTAATACATTTTGATTCTTACTCGACACATCACAGCACCATCGACTTTCGAGCCTTTTATTTGATATAGGATTCTTTAAAAGCATACCACAATCTTGATATTATAATTGCTTCTTGAATGTAACTGTGAAGTAACATTTGTTCTCAACTATGTATTCCAATGCTTTCTACCATTCAGTGTCGATTAACTGTTAAATAATCAGCCCACAGCCACGAGTTTATCAGCTGACATCATAATTTTATTTGTTTTGACTTGCTAAATTTTATCACTCGGTAATTTGTTAACCTTGTTTCACACAAATAACACCTATATTGATGATTGATCCGTTTGTAACAGTCGTCAAGCACCAAAAACTGGTTGCTATGCCTGTAATTAATTAACTCATAACCAGCGTCGCGCGCGCAAAATAGACTCCTTTTATACACATAATTATAGGGGAGTGGTCTATATTGCGAAGGAGCAGACTTTTGTCGACACCGTAGGACCGTCGGGCCACCTCATATATCCAAACCCGATTACTTATTCCCTACGATCTTTTTGCCTTCGGCAAGAGTAGGGAAAAAAATTACACAATGCACACATTCACTGAACGAAGATTTCACGAAACCTTGACCAACCAACAAAACCAAATAAAATTGACGAATCACCAATCCAAGTAAAGAAAGCATGCTCCACGTAAGAAATATTTTACATCATATAGACTACAGAGTAACCTTCGAAAATTTCCTCGTCAGCCGGGGTGGTTCCTCTTGGGGAAACTTCTGGATAAACATTTGGAGCTGTATCGTCCAGTACATCAGGAGTTTCAAGAGGTTCGTCCCGTATTTCTGTGTATTCTTCTATCTCGTCATCTTGAAATACTTGCTCAAAGGGCGACAGCCTAGGAGGTGTGATCTCTCCGTTGTCAGACATAAAGTCTGCCTCATATTGCGCCTCTGTTGTTTCACCATCAGTCAGTTCACCTGGACCATCTCCCAAATTATAATCCGAATGCGACCAGTACACAGTAATGTGTATAGCAAAGTAAACAAAAGTAAACCTGTAACCAGTTTTTGACCAGTCAGGAGTTTTGTGACCAGCATTAACGACGATAGAAGCAGATTTAATGGCCGGCATCTAGGTTAATAACCACCAATAAGTTTTATAGGGTAGCACAGTGTTCTACGTATTGCACTTAGTTGTATAACCGACGTCATCGATTTGATTATTGATAAGCTTTGAGCTCCATTTTTGAGCGATAGATCGCGAAAGGAGCACACATTTTAAAGTTTCATTAAGTCACTTCTCGCATTAAAATGTTTCTTTCAAAAGAAGCATCTAAATTACAACTGTTCAATGACAGAATGGAAAGCACACAAAACTGAAAAATTACAAAATGCACACATTCACTGAACGAAGATTTCACGAGATAGGCTTAACCAACAAAACCAAATTAAACTGACGATCAGCAATCCAAGTAAAGAAAGCATGCTCCACGTCAGAAATATTTTACATCATATAATAGAGTAACCTTCGAAAATTTCCTCGTCAGCCGGGCTGGTACCTCTTGGGGAAACTTCTGGATAAACATTTTGAGCTGTACCGTCCAGTACATCGGGAGTTTCTAGAGGTTCGTCCAGTATTTCTGTGTATTCTTCTATCTCGTCATCTTGAAATACTTGCTCAAAGGGCGACAGCCTAGGAGGTGTGATCTCTCCGTTGTCAGACATAAAGTCTGCCTCATATTGCGCCTCTGTTGTTTCACCATCAGTCAGTTCACCTGGACCATCTCCCAAATTATAATCCGAATGCGACCAGTACACAGTAATGTGTATAGCAAAGTAAACAAAAGTAAACCTGTAACCAGTTTTTGACCAGTCAGGAGTTTTGTGACCAGCATTAACGACGATAGAAGCAGATTTAATGGCCGGCATCTAGGTTAATAACCACCAATAAGTTTTATAGGGTAGCACAGTGTTCTACGTATTGCACTTAGTTGTATAACCGACGTCATCGATTTGATTATTGATAAGCTTTGAGCTCCATTTTTGAGCGATAGATCGCGAAAGAAGCACACATTTTAAAGTTTCATTAAGTCACTTCTCGCATTAAAATGTCTCTTTCAAAAGAAGCATCTAAATTCCAACTGTTCAATGACAGAATGGAAAGCACACAAAACTGAAAATTACAAATTGCACACATTCACTGAACGAAGATTTCACGAGATAGGCTTAACCAACAAAACCAAATTAAACTGACGATCAGCAATCCAAGTAAAGAAAGCATGCTCCACGTCAGAAATATTTTACATCATATAATAGAGTAACCTTCGAAAATTTCCTCGTCAGCCGGGCTGGTACCTCTTGGGGAAACTTCTGGATAAACATTTTGAGCTGTACCGTCCAGTACATCGGGAGTTTCTAGAGGTTCGTCCAGTATTTCTGTGTATTCTTCTATCTCGTCATCTTGAAATACTTGCTCAAAGGGCGACAGCCTAGGAGGTGTGATCTCTCCGTTGTCAGACATAAAGTCTGCCTCATATTGCGCCTCTGTTGTTTCACCATCAGTTATTTCACCTGGACCATCTCCCAAATTATAATCCGAATGCGACCAGCACAGTAATAACCACCAACTAGTTTTATACAGTAGCACTGTGTTCTACGCATTGAACTTTGACTAGTATATCATAAAACCCAGTAGCACTAAATTCTTTAACTAACGTTCTAGTATTTACTAACTTTTCAATTGATATGCTTGATATGATGGGCTTCGTTTTTGAGCGATAGATCACGAAAGAAGTTAAGATTTTACGGTATCATGAAGTCAGCTCGCCCATGAAAATTTCTTTCAAATTTCCTTTAGGTGGTTCAGCCTAATAACAGCACCCCAGAAAAAAGAAGATCATCTAACGGTTCACTTGGCAGGTTCCACGACATAAATATATATTGAACGATGATATTTAGAGGCGAGAATGGATCATCCGACGACACCAAATCAAACTGACCAAACATCAAGTAAAGAATGCATGCTCCACGTAAATATTTTACAAAATTTAGGGTAACCTTCGAGAACGTCTTCGTCGCTGGGATTTGAGTCAGCCAGGGTGCTACCTCTTGAGAAAACCTCTGGATAAACATTTGGAGCTGTATCGTCTAGAACATCAGAGGTTTTTAGAGGCTTGTCCAGTATTTCTGTGTATCCTTCTAACTTGTCATCATGAAAAGCTTGCTCATAAGGCGAAAACTTACGAGGTGTGATTTTTCCTTTTTCAGAGATAAAGTCTGTCTCAGATTCCGCCTCCGATGTTCCACCATCAGTCAGTTCACCTGGACCATCTCCCAAATTATAATCCGAATGCGACCACCATAAACAATAAAAGCAGAATAAACAACAAGAAAACTGTGTCCAACTTGTGACCAGCACAGAGGTTTATGGCCAGCATGAACATTGCAACGGTAGCATCTACAATGGCCAGAATAAAGACCGGTAGCCCCAGGTTTATGACCAACGTCAGCTCATACTTGTTAATTAGTTCATTGATTTAAGGATATATACATTATACAGTTTACAGTTTTAATTTTCGGGAGCACAACGCAATATTTCAGAAAATACGATTGTACTTTCCCTTAAAAGTTCTAGGGTCTGAAGCAATAGCATGCATTGTGGAGCCTAAATTCTTTGTGAAACTTGATTTCGAGAAAACCAACAAACTTGGGCCCGTAACCGAACTTTTGAGGTGGCAGCCATCAGCCATGCCAGCAGTATATTACATAAAAACATATCAACACTGATTTCATTTTTAACTAACCCGATGACACAGCTTGATTACTTTTCTTGGGGACCGGGAGTTTGCTCCTAGATTTAGAAGGGACAGAGGATATTTCGGTCGCCGAGATGTCTCCGTCAACATCGTCTGTGTCAACAGTATCAGAGATAGCCTGACCAACTATTGCTGTATCAACAGCATCAGTCCTGGAAATAACCTCCCCAACTTTTTCTGTATCGACATCTCCGGCATCTCCGCTGGAATTTTGTTCAACATCGTTCTCTGCGTCACCATTGACGATGGCATCAACATGATCATCCTCTTTATGAGCGATGAACTCATCTGAAGAAAAAATGTTCGTTAATTTGGTTGCTTGACAATTATGCATAAAACTATGTTTATTGTATATATTATTGTGCGGCAAATAAGTACAATGCTGGCCGGCTAATAACCGCTAATAACCGGTTGTAACAGCCCTTTAACAGCCAGTTAAAAACTGGCTAGTAGCTTAAAAAACACAAGTAAGCGTCGGCTGTTAGAGGGCTGTTAGGATTTTCCTAAAGTCAAAGAGCTGACCGAGGTGGGTGGAAAGGGCTGTTAGAAGGCCGTTAGGTATTTGTGCCCCCAAAATGGCTGTTAGAGGGCTGTTACCGTAACAGCTCTCTAACTTGTGTTTTGATATGGCTATTAGCCTGCTGTTAGAGGGCTGTTACCGTAACAGCTCTCTAACTTGTGTTTTGATATGGCTATTAGCCTGCTGTTAGAGGGCTGTTTCCGTAACAGCTCTCTAACTTGTGTTTTGATATGGCTATTAGCCTGCTGTTAGAGGGCTGTTACCGTAACAGCTCTCTAACTTGTGTTTTGATATGGCTATTAGCCTGCTGTTAGAGGGCTGTTTCCGTAACAGCTCTCTAACTTGTGTTTTGATATGGCTATTAGCCTGCTGTTAGAGGGCTGTTTCCGTAACAGCTCTCTAACTTGTGTTTTGATATGGCTATTAGCCTGCTGTTAGAGGGCTGTTACCGTAACAGCTCTCTAACTTGTGTTTTGATATGGCTATTAGCCTGCTGTTAGAGGGCTGTTACCGTAACAGCTCTCTAACTTGTGTTTTGATATGGCTATTAGCCTGCTGTTAGAGGGCTGTTACCGTAACAGCTCTCTAACTTGTGTTTTGATATGGCTATTAGCCTGCTGTTAGAGGGCTGTTACCGTAACAGCTCTCTAACTTGTGTTTTGATATGGCTATTAGCCTGCTGTTAGAGGGCTGTTTCCGTAACAGCTCTCTAACTTGTGTTTTGATATGGCTATTAGCCTGCTGTTAGAGGGCTGTTACCGTAACAGCTCTCTAACTTGTGTTTTGATATGGCTATTAGCCTGCTGTTAGAGGGCTGTTACCGTAACAGCTCTCTAACTTGTGTATTGATATGGCTATTAGCCTGCTGTTAGAGGGCTGTTACCGTAACAGCTCTCTAACTTGTGTTTTGATATGGCTATTAGCCTGCTGTTAGAGGGCTGTTACCGTAACAGCTCTCTAACTTGTGTTTTGATATGGCTATTAGCCTGCTGTTAGAGGGCTGTTACCGTAACAGCTCTCTAACTTGTGTTTTGATATGGTTATTAGCCTGCTGTTAGAGGGCTGTTTCCGTAACGGCCGGATAAATGCTAATAGCCAGTTGTTAGTCGGTTGTTATTGTACTTATTGGCCAATTATAAAAAGTCATAATTCTGCGTAAAATACTGATAGAACGACAGCATGTAATACGCAGAATGACGTGTAGGCTGAAATTTCCATCAGCCTTAGAGCAGCGCTTTGACTTGCCAGGACAGGGCTATTTGACTGCACACAGAAATATTATCTAACACTTCACTGGCAGAAATGAAATGACACAAAACTAACACATTTCACATCTATTTAATAAACCATCGGTTTATCAAACGATTTCCATTCAAATTGACAGACAAAACATCAAGGAATCAAGGCATGCTCCGAATGAAAGATGTAAATGTTAGCATCAGCATATAAAAGCTCCATCATGCATTACGTTTACACCATTTAGGGTAACCTTCGAGAACTTCCTCGTTGCCAGGATTTGGAACAGCGGGGGTGCTAGCTCTAGGGGCAACGTCTGGACCATTTTTAGGAGCTGTTTTGTCAATAGCATCGGGGGTAACTAAAGGTTCTGCGTTTCCTGCGGACTCGTCATCTTGCTCAAAAGGCGACAGCGTACGTGGTGTTATTTCTCCACTTTTAGGTTTCAGATCTGTCTGAGACTCCACCTCCGGTGTTATACCATCAGTCAGTTCACCTGGGCCTTCTCCACTCCCCTCGACCGCATAATTTGTGTCGTGCAAATCATTTTCATAATTAACATGCCCGCTTGGTGGAGGAGTTTTCAAGCCCTCGGGGGAATCGATCATAAGTGCAACAGAAGCATTTGCACTGGAGGCTTGTTCATCCAACGGTTCGCCAGTACCGTTGTCTGAGGTAACTGTATCCGGGTTATACTGATCATCGACCAGGTCAGCCTGACTTCCCCGGGATACTATTACCAGCACATCGTCATTACCTTTATCTTCTTCGATGGGTGCTGGAGAATCTTTTTCGGATCTTGCTTTCTTTTCTGCTGCCTTTTTTTGGATAGCTGGTAAGGGATTGGACTGCGTCCTGGGCTGAAAATGAAAAAATATGGATAATGTTATTAATCTTAATGTCATTATCATATGAAATTACAATCGGACGTCCGCAATTGCGATCGAGAATTAATTATGATTTAAACCTTTCTGGTCATCGAATTCCTTCGCTTCAAGCGGAGGTATAGTGAAAAGTGCAGTAAAAAGGTAGACTAAATTACGCTTTTTTACACTTTAAATTACAGTAAACCACATTGTAATTTTTCATTGCTTTATTATGCTGGATATGAGTGATAAGTGATGTTAATATGTCTTGTGTAGTAATATGGTATGCCGTATGGATCTGAACAGTTATAAAACTGTCATTTCATCACGTCGTTAAATACAACAAAATCTAGTAAAATTTACTAACTGAGGGTTGACTGATGTCTTTACGTCTTTTGATAGAAGGCAGCCTGCGGATTCGTAAAATATTAATGACAAAGCATGATTATCAAACAGAATATACAGGGAATAGTAACATTTAACAAGCTTAGTTTTTGTTAAAATAATATTTCAACGAACTGGCGAATGTTTCATTATGAGAGCTAGAAAAATTAGACTTACTTTTGCGTTTTGGCAGGTTGATTTAATTCACCATATGAAGCAGCAATAAACCGTCTATGTCCACAAGCAACATATATTCCGCCGTCAACTACGTCTTCAGGTCCGTGTAATATACCGCCCTCTAACGTGAATAACCTGAAATTGTGCGGTTATACTGTGTGGTGCCAATCAAAATGTATACGATTTCCACTTAAACTACAGTAACAAGGTGCAGTGGCGTGCCAGGGACAGTGAAATAACCTGAGAAGATCCGTTTAAAAGACGATGGAGTGGATTCAAGGCCAACATGATTTGTCAGTAAAGTGGTGGCATGAACGAGTAACGACGCCGCCACTTAATTAGAAAAAAAATTCAGAATTGATCTCGATTAATCCTGAACTGCACTTGTCAGATTGAAAAGACTTGAGCGTGTCTGAGAATGGACGTTAAATAAGAATCTAATTGGTTCATATTTGTCATCGATTTACAATGCTACAGTGACGTGATAAGATTAAAATTGCGAGAAGATTGTGTCTAGTTTATTGTACAGCAGGGTGTCAGAATTATTGGCGTGTTTGAAATTTTATGTGTATTTTATAATGAAATCAATGTTTTTCGACGGGTCATAACTTTACTTCTGAATATCGAAATTAAAAAATTCAAAAACTGGTCTGTAGACAATCGTCTGAACTTTTTCTTAATTTCAGAATTTTGTGTTGATGTACCTCAAAACCCATAATTTAGGCCGTTATTTAAAGGGTCGATTCCATACTTGGTTAGATTTACGAAGGAGTAAGGGATTTATGTGTAATTTTTTTTCGGTGAATTTTTTCTGAAATTATTCTTTAGACTAAAGTGCACAGCTCTTCAGGCGATAGCGAAACATATAGAAAACTATCGATTTTATAAAAGCTCTCTTTCTCCTCTAACTGACGCAATAAAATATAGTCGGGCAGACTCATCCCGGAATTCAGGGGAAGCAGCCGAAGGCTTCAAGTCCAATAATCCAAATTTTTCTCTTTCATCGTGATTATCGACGAAATTTAACTTTTTTCGGACTTCATTTTTAGACTGAACTGTGGTATGAAGGATTATCTCTTGAATGATCAAGACTCCATAGGAAACTGACCCTCAGAAGTCAAGTAATGATCGTTTTTAAAAGCTTGGGTAAGCTAAAATTTTACGCAAAATTGTCTACGCGCCAATAATTATGACACCCTGTAGTGCATCTGTCTGAAATTTTTTCAAATATGAATGGATGATTAAATTATTCCTGGCGTACGTGAATCAATGACAACGGTCTTTGTTTGTTGTGATGTCAAATGGTAGTTAAACATTCATATTTCAGATAAGCATGCTAATTCACAAGCACATGAGTCTTTACATCAATATTCATCACATGGATGATCCTCGAGTTGGTCCAAAATCAACATGTGATAAAAGTTTATTGCTGCGCGCGCGTTAAACTAGCTGTCGCGCGCAAAAAAATATGAATGAATTATCACAAATTATTAACTGCGGCCGCCGTGTACATCCTACAGGTCATGTGACTAACTGAAGATGGCCAGAAGTGAACGAATTGCCCGATTGATGTCCGGTTGGCGGTTACCAACGGATTTAAGGACACCAAATAACAATAACTACGAAAGTATATTCCATTCACCTATGAGACAGTTTAATGAGAGTCTAGTAATAAGTGGTAAAGCATCATCGACTAATCACTGTTCGCAATCAAATCACCAAACCCCGGACCAGATGAACGCTTACCTTATATAAGTCAGCACCAAATCACTACTAATCTAGCACCTGGTAAGAATGCCGTAGGAACAACTTCCGCCCCAGGAAGTGGCTGTTGAATCCCCTCCAGGGATTCATTAGAAACAAATTTGGCAAGCCAGTCAGCCAGTGTCACCTAATCTAGGGAGTAGCTAAGGATCCATTACACAACTGTGTAATGTATCCTCGGTCGACTCAGCCGAATGATAATTGATAGGAAACTTGATTGAGGGTTAAATGCGGAGGGGCCTACCAAAAGATCAAGAATCTTCTTAGGATACCCCTTCAGTATACATCTACAATGTAAGAATGTAGTGTTCTATAAAGTGTAAACATAGTGTAAGCCAAATTTAATCCTAAATATGGATCCCTGAAGGTGATCCAACAGTCAAACCTTGGGGAGCAGGTCTCAATCTCTTTCGGATTTCTTCTCTAAATTGTCTAATACTAACTGCTCGTAAACTGTTGAGTGTTGTTAAAGACTGACGTGAGTTTATCTTACTGCTCAGTAAATGGGAAAAGAAGACACGTACTCTAGTTCGACAACTAAAGTTCGCCAGAAATCATCCCTGTCGAACTTCGGTACGTGTCGAATTAGAGTCCAGGTAACGTACTCTAGTTCGACAGAGTCGAACTGTAGGGTTTGTCGAACTACAGTACGTGTCGAACTGCGGTAAGTGTCGAACTAGAGTACGTGTCGAACTAGAGTACGTGTCGAACTGCGGTACGTGTCGAACTAGAGTAAGTGTATAACTAGATTACGTGTCGAACTGGGGGGGATGCAACGTCAATTAATGTCAATTAATGTCAATTAATGTCAATTAATGTCAATTAATGTCAATTAATGTCAATGTCAGTTTTGCAAAATTTTGGAATACTGACATTAATTGACACGATATTTTTCGACCAGAGATTATGTAGTTCTACCATATTTTTAGCACTTTAGAACGTTTATATCATCAATTTATTCACTACTATCACATATGGAAATGTGAAATGTGAAAAAAATTCAGATCATTAAACAATAAAACTAAAATAATACGGTTTTCCGAAATTTAATTTTCTTAAATGGGCGTGGCCATCCAAGGGCGTGGTTCTCAACATCATCAGAACTTAAAACCCACATTAAACGAAATGCCTACATGACATTTATATTTGAATAACGAATCTTAAACAGCTAGCATTACTCCTTCATACTAAAAAAGCCGATTCTAGATATTTTACCAGTATAAGAAACCAATAAAATATGGGCGTGGCCGGTGGGGACCGAAGATGGAAGAGTTGGAAGCTGAAATTTTTTTTGGTGGTCTTTGAACCTAAGGATCAACAGATAAGAACATACTCATAATTATTCAAGGACATTTTGTTTTTTTGAACCGGTCTAACTTACATAGACGTGAATATCTTGAATATTTATCGAATAATGATAATCTCAAATTTCAAGACAAATTAATGTCAATTAATGTCAATTAATGTCAATTAATGTCAATTAATGTCAATTAATGTCAATTAATGTCAATTAATGTCAATTAATGTCAATGTCAGTTTGGGGTTTTTATGGAATACTGACATTAATTGACGTTGCATCCCCCCCGTCGAACTAGAGTACGTGTCGAACTAGAGCGAGTACGTGTTGAACTAGAGTACGTGTCGAACTAGAGTACGTGTTGAACTAGAGTACGTGTCGAACTAGAGTACGTGTCGAACTAGAGTACGTGTTGAACTAGAGTACGTGTACTGATACAAAAACTAACCATTCAACAATGGACACTCTGAATATACGTTACACTATTGAGCAGTTTCTTGAGGCTGATAAAAATAAAAATGAACACCTACAGGGCAACAAATTTTTGCACAGAATAGGGTCAGCGGCTCATATGCTACTCCATGAAACAATAATACTATCTAATATTCATACCTTACATACATTATATAATCTTACTAGCTTACTGCCGTCTCCCTAAGGACACATTACAATTAGTGGATCAATTATCTGGCTGTATCGATCACTTATTCAGCAAAATAAGCTTCTAGAGCTCTAGCTAGGTAGCATAGACATAGTTCATAGCATGATAATTTCACTTATAGTATCTAAAGTGACATTTGGATTGTTGCAGGACGTTGATTAAACACTCTACACTCGACTATCACGTGTGACTTCCTTAAACACGCTGTTCGCCGATAACTCGCCAGTGAGCATATTAACCCTTTATCTTGTGGGGTGATTCAGAATCAGCGCCCAAAAATACATCCATTCAAGATGGTTTCAACTGTCAGGGATCTTTTTAGAAACATCTCGAAAACTCTAACAGTATTTGTATCCCAAAAATTAATCTTTTGTATCAAATTTATTATCGGGAAGATTATGCACCATGGAAATTTCACATTGGAGGAGGGGTGGAGGGGTTGGAGGGGTTAGGGGGAGTGGAGGGAGCTGGGGTGCCCTTGGCATTATGGGCATGTTGTACGACGCTGACGGTAAAAAGAAAAATTGCACTTACTTGCGATATGTTTTATCTTCGACATAATGAACAGCTGTAATTTTACATGGGAATTTAATAACCCATACATTTTCGCCTTATCGCTTTGAAAATGTTATTGAGTATTTATTACGCGTTATTAAAAATATCATGAGCATAATTTCGGAATTCTCGTATTGATAATTTATTGAAGCGCCCAAAGACGTCCATCTCGAGACTAGACCACTTACTAATCACACTCAAACACTCCGCTCTCGAAAATGATTATTTCGATGTGATAGGATAAAAATAGCAAGTGACAATATTCAATGTATCCAGTGGATCCATCATTGTAATTAAAACATCCAAGTGGTCCACGCGAGACCAACAAGTTATCGCTTCCACTCAATTCCACCATACTACATCTTAACACATGATGCCATCGTGGGTAATACTACATAAATCTTACACGTATTATATTATTACTAAAGCTCCATGCGTGTGAGCTGTAACGTCGCCCTCAATTCTAGATGGGTGTTTGTTGAAAAGAAAACAGAGGTCCGAACCCGAATACGGGAAGATGAAACCAGAGTGTAACTTCCTCAAGATTCACATTTTGCGTGATCGGTTTATTTGTTAAACTGGTGTGTAATAATTATTAAAACAGGACTAAGACTGTAACAATGTTACGAACAGGTGGATTGTATGTAATGTAATGGGACCCTCTCTACCAGTAACATTATAGGTACCATACCATTATATCAGAGTGTCAACAGTAAATACAGTCGGATAAAGGAGGAAAGCGAACACAGCTCGAAGAGACTCAAGGATGGGTAGTTGGTTACTTACCCAGAATACCAGATTATTATCAGTTTGAATTGCCCGCTTCAGCTAATCTTATATATAATGACGTCGTTTTTAATTTCATGGATTTAGATGTTATACCAGTCTTTATGTGGTGCAATTAACTTTGTATCCAAGTGAATTGCTCAAAATATTCATGTGAAGTATGTGAAGTATACTCGGAACAATGTTCTGCCAGAGAGTCTTATCATAATAACTTAGCAAACCGTATAGAACAAGGCTTAGCCTACCTACTAATTAATCCTGTTACAGAATTAAGAAATTTCACTTGGAATAAGTTTTAATAGTTCTCGATATCTATATTTTTGCTGTCAGGTGACATATCGTTAACTTGCAAACCAACGCATATTATTACAAAAATTCGTATCATTTATGAGAAGGATTAATTTCAAAATGTTTAAAATTATGTTCTTGATCCTTAACTTCGAGGTGTTCATAATGGGAGGTTTTAGGTTTCACAATGTATGTCAAATGCCCTCTGATGTAATACCAAACAATGACGTGGCATTGTAATTTGTTAAAACTTGGTAACGAAAAAAAAAACGAATACATCAATCCACTGGTGTGACTTTGGGAGTCAAAAGTAGAAACACGAATAGTTATTTATATAGTGAATTATGACCGCAATCCACGCTATTTAACGACTACTTGTAAAATCTGATTGGAAAAAATGTGTTACGTGTACGACCGTGCAATGTCCAAACAAAGGGACTCGAACATGACTTGCCTTCCTGTTCTATGATAAATAAATGAAATGAGAAATTGTAAAATTATGAGGCTTACCTTCTTACAGCGCCCTCGACAAGTCGTATTTTAAAGGAAATTATTGACAGAACCTGAAACAAATAAGGTGTTACCTTAAATAAGTTGTTAAATAAGATTAAGGTGTTACCTTAAATGGACTATTCGAAAGAAAGATGTCATTGAACAGAGTCTAGATGAAAGTGGACACATATCATTGCATATTTCTAAAGTAATGGACTTTAGAAAAAATATCAACTAACCGTTTCAAACGATTTCATTTCTCTAGCTTTGAGAAGAAACCTCGTGCCTTTGTCACTTGGTAACCCATTCCTAAACACTCTGAAAGTATTTTTGTTACAGTTCAAATACCATTATTTTTTGCCTAATGAGCAACTATATGAATTCTATTCATAAAGTTTATTAATGCAGATTTACGTTGTGATAGCATCTCAACTAATCCCCACTCATGACTCAAGAGATCTATATTTTTGTAAATTATATTCAAAATAAGGAACTACTAAATCGCCAGTAATCAGCACACAAAAATTCATCATAAAAAATGTTAATTAAAATAATAATAAATTGAAATTTAATAACACCACTTTTAAGATACAACTTGAACTAGTCATCCCAAAAAATAACTTAAACTAGATAAGTAGAGGTAGCTTTTATAGCTTGAAAATAAATTGTACATTTACATTTATGATTTGTACATTTACATTTATGATTTGTAAATTGTAATTTGTAACCGCTCTGCTGCCGTGAAAGTTGGCTAAGTATATGACGCTTTCATAAATCATCCCCCCCCCCCCCCCCCCCCCCCCAATTTATTCTGCCACTATTGATCCCAGACTAATAGCTATCACACTCAAAAAGCGTTGTTCAAATTTTGTCATTATATAAACACCTTCAATTGGATGACGCGAAAACTTTTGTTCACACTTTCCTTTAGAATTCTCTTTCAAAGCGAGTTCTTTTATCTATTTGAACGGACCAAGGCCTTCTGTCTTGTCATTAGAAGAAAGGATAAATTGTTGTTACATAACTACAAGTCTGGGTACGCGCAAAAAGAGCATTTTTGGATATAGAACTAGGCCAGTAGATCTTTAGGAAGCTTGTCAAATGACCAGAAGGTAGTAAGATGAGGTAAAACTGAAGTGTAAAATAAATTTGGGTTGTGCCTGGGCATGATACATATTTGATAGATTTGAGATTACAAAAGTTTAACCGTCTGTTTTATCAAAGTGTCGAGTACACAAAGATTCCTCAAGTTATGACATAACGAGGAAATACCAGAGTACAATAAGAATCGAACCAGGAAGTCACCACACTCGACCATCAGGACTCAGGAGACTTTTATCTCCATTATTTCTAATATTCGTTGTCATTTGTTAAGCTTCAAGTAGCCGAAAAAATCATAATGTTCCGAACATTGATTTTCGCCATCTTCGTTCTGGCTGTGCACTGCGCGCCAATCGACTATGATTTTGAAATAGTAGAAATGGATTTCGCACCCGAACACCAGAAAAAAAAGAAATCTAGATTTGGAATTAGCACTTTTACTGGTCCTGTCACAAAGGCCGGAAAAGGAATTACCGGTGGCGTCAGCAAAGTAGGCAGTAAAGCGACAAATGGAGTCAAATCTGCAGGAAGCAATGTTCCGGGAATGAAGAAGAAGAAGACGGTAGCAAAGAAAGGAGGGAAGAAATCAAAGAAATCTAGCTTTGGAATTAGCACTTTTACTGGTCCTGTCACAAAGGCCGGAAAAGGAATTTCCGGTGGCGTCAGTAAAGTAGGCAGTAAAGCGACAAATGGAGTCAAATCTGCAGGAAGCAATGTTCCGGGAATGAAGAAGAAGAAGACGGTAGCAAAGAAAGGAGGAAAGAAATCAAAGAAATCTAGCTTTGGAATTAGCACTTTTACTGGTCCTGTCACAAAGGCCGGAAAAGGAATTTCTGGTGGCGTCAGCAAAGTAGGCAGTAAAGCGACAAATGGAGTCAAATCTGTAGGAGGCAAGGTTCCGGGAATGAAGAAGAAGAAGACGGTAGCAAAGAAGACGGTCGCAAAGAAGACGGTAGCAAAGAAGACAGTAGCAAAGAAGACGGTAGCAAAGAAAGGAGGAAAGAAAGGAGGAAAGAAGCATTAAACAGTCAACATGTTGCAGTAGATCTAAAGAGAACTCTTAGCTTAACCACTAACCAGTAACACTTGACCGTGATCGGAGATGTATTGGAGTAAACATATAGAGTACAGACTTCGCCTTGATTTATTTTATGAGGATTATGTATTTTCGAGATTATCTAGAATAAGCTCCTTAAGCGTACCCACATCAGGGACGAAAATGATTATTATCAATAAAAATTCGTTGTTTAATTATGTAATGTGTCTAAAATATAAAGTAAAAAATTCGATATTATAAAATAAAAAAGGTATCACCAGCCGAAGCTGTACCAAATCACAGCTTGGTAACTGGCCGACTTGCATCCGACCGGATTTGAACCCGGGTCTTCTGCTTGGGAGGCGATCGTATTATCACTACACCAGCCGGCCGACTAAGGCCGGCTAAGTACATGACGCTTTAATAATTCTTCCCGCCCCCACTTATTCTGCCACTATTGATCCCAGACTAATGGCTTTCAGTAATTCAGTTTCACACTCAAAAAGCGTTGTTCGAATTTTGTCATTATATAAACACCTTCAATTGGACGACACCAAAACTTTTGTTCACACTTTCCTTTAGAACTCTCTTTCAAAGCGAGTTCTTTAATCTATTTGAACGGACCAAGGCCTTCTGTCTTGTCATTAGAAGAAAGGATAAATTGTTGATACATAACTATAAGTCTGGGTACGCGCAAAAAGAGCCTTTTTGGATATAGCCTTTTTTGAAGAAGCTTGTCAAATGACCAGAAGGTAATAAGAGAAAGTAAAACTGAAGTGTAAAATAAACTTGGGTTGTGCCTGGGCATGATATATTTTTGATAGATTTGAGATTACAAAAGTTTAACCGTCTGTTTTTATCAAAGTATCGAGTATACAAAGATTCCTCATAACAAGGAAATACCAGAGTACAATAAGAACCGAACCTTGATCATCAGGAGACTTTTATCTCTATTGTTTCTAAGATTCGTTGTCATTTGTTAAGCTTGTGGTCGAAAAAATAATAATGTTCCGAACATTGATTTTCGCCATCTTCGTTCTGGCTGTGCACTGCGCGCCAATCGACTATGATTTTGAAATAGTAGAAACGGATTTCGCACCAGAGCACCAGAAAAAAAAGAAATCTAGTTTTGGAATTAGGACTTTTACTGGTCCTGTTACAAAGGCCGGAAAAGGAATTACCGGTGGCGTCAGTAAAGTAGGCAGTAAAGCGACAAATGGAGTCAAATCTGTAGGAAGCAAGGTTCCGGGAATGAAGAAGAAGAAGAAGACGGTAGCAAAGAAAGGAGGAAAGAAATCAAAGAAATCTAGCTTTGGAATTAGCACTTTTACTGGTCCTGTCACAAAGGCCGGAAAAGGAATTTCCGGTGGCGTCAGCAAAGTAGGCAGTAAAGCGACAAATGGAGTCAAATCTGCAGGAAGCGATGTTCCGGGAATCAAGAAGAAAAAGACGGTAGCAAAAAAGACGGTAGCAAAGAAAGGAGGAAAGAAGACGGTAGCAAAGAAAGGAGGAAAGAAAGGAGGAAAGAAAGGAGGAAAGAAATCAAAGAAATCTAGCTTTGGAATTAGCACTTTTACTGGTCCTGTCACAAAGGCCGGAAAAGGAATTTCCGGTAGCGTTAGCAAAGTAGGCAGTAAAGCGACAAATGGAGTCAAATCTGCAGGAAGCAAGGTTCCGGGAATGAAGAAGAAGAAGAAGACGGTAGCAAAGAAAGGAGGAATGAAATCAAAGAAATCTAGCTTTGGAATTAGCACTTTTACTGGTCCTGTCACAAAGGCCGGAAAAGGAATTTCCGGTGGCGTCAGCAAAGTAGGCAGTAAAGCGACAAATGGAGTCAAATCTGCAGGAAGCAATGTTCCGGGAATCAAGAAGAAAAAGACGGTAGCAAAGAAGACAGTAGCAAAGAAGACGGTATCAAAGAAAGGAGGAAAGAAGACGGTAGCAAAGAAAGGAGGAAAGAAGACGGTAGCAAAGAAAGGAGGAAAGAAAGGAGGAAAGAAAGGAGGAAAGAAAGGAGGAAAGAAATCAAAGAAATCTAGCTTTGGAATTAGCACTTTTACTGGTCCTGTCACAAAGGCCGGAAAAGGAATTTCCGGTGGTGTCAGCAAAGTAGGCAGTAAAGCGACAAATGGAGTCAAATCTGCAGGAAGCAAGGTTCCGGGAATGAAGAAGAAGAAGAAGACGGTAGCAAAGAAAGGAGGAAAGAAATCAAAGAAATCTAGCTTTGGAATTAGCACTTTTACTGGTCCTGTCACAAAGGCCGGAAAAGGAATTACCGGTGGTGTCAGCAAAGTAGGCAGTAAAGCGACAAATGGAGTCAAATCTGCAGGAAGCAATGTTCCGGGAATCAAGAAGAAAAAGACGGTAGCAAAGAAAGGAGGAAAGAAGGGAGGAAAGAAATCAAAGAAATCTAGCTTTGGAATTAGCACTTTTACTGGTCCTGTCACAAAGGCCGGAAAAGGAATTTCCGGTGGTGTCAGCAAAGTAGGCAGTAAAGAGACAAATGGAGTCAAATCTGCAGGAAGCAAGGTTCCGGGAATGAAGAAGAAGACGGTAGCAAAGAAAGGAGGAAAGAAATCAAAGAAATCTAGCTTTGGAATTAGCACTTTTACTGGTCCTGTCACAAAGGCCGGAAAAGGAATTTCCGGTGGTGTCAGCAAAGTAGGCAGTAAAGCGACAAATGGAGTCAAATCTGCAGGAAGCAAGGTTCCGGGAATGAAGAAGAAGAAGAAGAAGACGGTAGCAAAGAAAGGAGGAAAGAAATCAAAGAAATCTAGCTTTGGAATTAGTACTTTTACTGGTCCTGTCAGAAAGGCCGGAAAAGGAATTTCCGGTGGTGTTAGCAAAGTAGGCAGTAAAGCGACAAATGGAGTCAAATCTGCAGGAAGCAAGGTTCCGGGAATGAAGAAGAAGAAGACGGTAGCAAAGAAAGGAGGAAAGAAATCAAAGAAATCTAGCTTTGAAATTAGTACTTTTACTGGTCCTGTCACAAAGGTCGGAAAAGGAATTTCCGGTGGCGTCAGCAAAGTAGGCAGTAAAGCGACAAATGGAGTCAAATCTGCAGGAAGCAAGGTTCCGGGAATGAAGAAGAAGAAAAATACGGTAGCAAAGAAGACGGTAGCAAAGAAAGAAGGAAAGAAGACGGTAGCTAAGAAAGGAGGAAAGAAAGAAGGAAAGAAGATGGTAGCAAAGAAAGGAGGAAAGAAAGGAGGAAGGAAAGGAGGAAAGAAAGGAGGAAAGAAAGGAGGAAAGAAAGGAGGAAAGAAAGGAGGAAAGAAAGGAGGAAAGAAAGGAGGAAAGAAAGGAGGAAAGAAAGGAGGAAAGAAAGGAGGAAAGAAAGGAGGAAAGAAAGGAGGAAAGAAAGGAGGAAAGAAAGGAGGAAAGAAAGGAGGAAAGAAAGGAGGAAAGAAAGGAGGAAAGAAAGGAGGAAAGAAGCATTAAACAGTCAAAATGTTGCAGTAGATCTAAAGAGAACTCTTAGCTTAACCACTAACCAGTAACACTTGACCGTGATCGGAGATGTATTGAAGTAAACATATAGAGTACAGACTTCGCCTTGATTTATTTTATGAGGATTATGTATTTTCTTAAGTGTTCCCACATCAGGGACGAAAATAACTATTATCAAAAAAAATTCCTTGTTTAATTATGTAATGTGTCTAAAATATAAAGTAAAAAATACAATATTATAAAATAAAAAGGTTAACTACCACTGATGTATCTTTATCAAGCATACAGATTGCAGAAAAATGCTCGCAAGGTGATAGAAGCTTTATCATGTCAAGGCAGTCTATGGTGTTATACAATATACACATTACACATTTACACAGCTACATGCAGGTTACACGTACGTGTATTGAAGTGCGGATTAGCTATAGATCAGTTTATTTGAAAACTGATAAAATTACAACTCACGTAAATTGGACTGGCTGTCTGACTTTGTGGAACTGTGCGGATCTTTGGGCGTACTTTTTATTCTTCTTCGGTAAAACCAAGGGTGGAGGATCATCAGCGAGAAATCCGGGCTGAAATTGGAAGGATTAACAGTTGACTACTTGACTAGGGCGATTGTATTGGGAATTCATGACAAGAGGCACGAATGATGGTGGGGAGCTGGGAGGTGAGACATGCTTTTTTGACATGTGACAGCAACTATTAACCTATCAGCTTCTATCTTTGAAAATTAAATTATCTTTTATTTTTACATTATAATTAGCTATGTCATTTGTAACGGTTCGTTGCAATCTTTAAAGCCAACTTCATTGATAACAATTTGGCCGTGTAAATAGTAGATTAAAAATGTTATAAATGATTCACGAAATTTTTGGCATTCCACACGTCTTTACGATCGGAGAGCACAGTGGTAATTATGATGGGTAAATTCCTGATTCAGTTATTTCGTCGGGTATTCGATTAAATTAAAATTACTTTACGATCGAACCATCTGAACTCTGTCTGACGTTTCATTACAGCAATCACGATTATTGTGTTACCAAAACTTTTATTAAATCTTCAATCATATACATACGAGACTCCTTTGCGCAATGATGACTCCTGTACATTACTCTTCATATTTACTTCGACATGACATTAGCAGATCCCGGTTGGTTGCCGGGCGACTAATGTCATAACAGTAAACTCCCTCCTTGCCTGGGAGAATGGCCAGCTACCATTCCGGATAATAATTAGTAGTCAAGGTAACAGAGGACGTACACAAGTAAGTACAAAAGGTAAGGCCGTCATATGTGTCATTACTTGTTAGGAAAACGCAGCGCTCCCTACAGAGTAGCAGCCTGTCTCTCAAATACTGAACCTACTGTTAGCCCCACAGTAATTCATGGATTGCATTTCAACACGGTGCCCTATTGCCCCACTCATTTTAAACAATGCATCATTTAACCGGTCAATATGCTCATTTGTGCCCTAATGAAAAATTATAGCACCATAATTTATCAGACATTGCATGAGTATCGTGATACTGAACTCTGATTAAGTTGTCGAACTGAGGGCCTATCATTACTCATCCTTACAATTGTTCTATAAAATACTGGTTGTCTTATCAGTTATCACAGACTCGCAGTATTGAATATTATTTTAATTCGAATCAAGACTACAGTGTAAGCTGCACTGGTTAACATCAGAAATAAATGCGCTGCAAAGAAGTAACCGATAAGATAACAGAGAAAACAGAAAATTCTTACCCCTGCAGAGAACTTGTCGACGTTCCGATTGACCAACATGATACAGCGAGATCGAGCACTAAGTTTGATCGAATGTTTCCGATTCATAGACAGACGACTTTAATAAACACTGCCACCAGAAAAATAAAACAGAGATAAAATGTAGCATGCTGAGCGATTCTTGTAATAGAGACGTAATCATTATCAAGTGCATGATCCGCAAGCCAAATAATTATTCAAGTATTTGTTCTACTATTCGATGTTCCTTCACAGAGCATTTATAATGTCGACGTAGTTGTCACAGCTACCGGTGGGATCAAATTAGACTTACAGCCTATCGGAAGTAGCGATTCGATGAGAATTAATGGTTTGAAATATTTTACTTTATATTTCGCAATGATTGTCGAGCCCCTTGAAAATATCGATGTCATGACGTCGTTGCTTTAAATTTAGCTATTTGAGTATTTGTAATGTCGTATCAAATATATGATATAATACTCATATGTAGAATTTTTGAAGTTTCATGGCGCGAACAGCTTAATTTCAGTGAAACCAGATACATTTGGTAACTTACCTTTATCTTCGCTGTAAAGCCCCAATTCTTGCCGGGTGATAGTTGCGGGTTGTAACTGAAAATTATTCATATCAATATAGCTAAAATCAAATATTCAATTATTACAATAAAACTAAAATAAGAATTAAATATTCGACACACAACATTAAAATCCCGACACACAACATTTTTCAATGTTACGAACAGTGAGCGAATGATTTTCATTAATGAACATCACATTATATTAATAATTCGTCCAACTGAACACCTGCAGTTTTAAAATTAATTTTAAAGATTAAACACAAAGTGGTTTGTAAAGTGCAGGAGGTAACATTGATTTATCATATCAAACAAAAAATAACCCAAATTATAGATTTTTGTTTGTAGGACGTTAATTGTTCCGTCTATTAACTATTAAAATGTATTTTTATACACTTGCACCCGAACCCTGCATTTAAAATAACGTAACTTTTAAACTATTCTTCTGTTATATTATATTACTCAATATATAGCATATACTGACTTGATCTTCTTAAAGCGCTCGCTGCCCCCAGCAACATACGTAGCGCCTCCTTCTAGATCATCAATACCGAGAACTTGTCTGCTGCCTTTGGGTGTGTATAGTCGTCGGACAGCGCCAAAAGGCGCACTTATTTGATGGGTTATGTCAGAAAGGAGCGCATCGAATGTCCGGTAACGCCTGCGGCTCACTACAAACTTTCTGCCCTCATATTTCCCGTCACCGTTTCTTAGAACAGTAACATGTTTTGCGGGAGTCGTATCAACTGATAGAGCCATTAATAACTGTCTTCATGTTCATTTAACCTCATCATGGACCATTCTGGTTCATATTTAAACCTTAAAGATTGAATATGAAGTATGAGACGGCACTGTGATATTTAATCAGGAAATTGGCCTTTTAGACTTATCAATCATAAGATTTAAGGGTTTAAGGTCAATACTATCCTACGTATGATATAAATCAGTGTCACCTAGTCTAGAAAGTAGCTAAGGATCCATTGGATCTATGCGATCTCCTCGGTCGACTCAGCCGAATGATAGCGAACTTAATTACGGGTTAAATGAGGAGGGGTACCTGTTCAAAGTTCAAGAAACTTCCTAGGATACCCCTTCAGTGCATACAGTAAACATAGTACTATTAACTATTAAACCATCGTGCCATCGTGCCATCCAGTAAACGTAAAGTTTATCTAACGAGTAAGCAGTGATTTTAAACGTCCCGGTCATCATGTCACAACCTAATTGTGTACCAATTTCGATTCAGATGTAAACTACACGTCTACAATGATATGATATTGCCACAGCATTTTCACCTCATAAAGATAACGAAATCTATTGTTAAATCTAAATCAAATTTTATGAAAAATGGGGTCGGCAATCGGGGGTGTTTAAGGTCAAGAAGAGTAGATAAACCAGTTCACAAATAAAATATTCCGATCAAACGAACAGTAGAAAAATATATGTACTATACCCATGCGAACTGATTTGACAGCACTTTCTGGGTTAGTAGACTTCTCAACAAATTGAACCCTTGATTGTTATTCCTCGACAGCGCACCAATAACAACAATTATTTGACATAATGACCATAACTTTCGGCAGACAATCTTAGAGCGCAACTACAAATCATTAATAACAGCAATAAATATATCAGAAGTTAAACAATCAATAAATTACCGTGGACAATTCGATCAACAGTACCGGCAGTAATGATGCCAGTTTATTGTAGTTATACTTATTAAGGCATGAACCCATGAGCTCAGAGAAGAGAACTTTTGAAGCGTCATTTACCATCTATAATGGCGCGTTTCTACAGGAGACGTAATCCAATGCGAAATATAAATGACTTTTTTCGCCTTGAAAATAGATTAAAAGTTTCATAATGCGCGGCGCCATCTTTATCAGTCTTGACGATTCGAAAGATTAATCTTCGTTGTGATTACTGTTTTTAGTCAGATGACATGCCAGTTAAAAGCAAATATTACTGTTATAGCTAAGAGTTAAAGTTATGTATTAGTGAAAGTATTCTCTGAGATCAGCATAGCTAAATTTATCCATATTATATGCAACGATACCAAAAATTTATTTCCAAGAAACTTAATTAAACTTAAACTAAAAACTACACAAAAAATGTTATTTTAACACACAAATATTAAAATTATAAGTTAGCTACAGCTGCCTCGCGCAATAAAACTGATAAGGTTTATAAATCTTAACAGAATTGAGAATATTTAAAGAAAATATGCAACATTGACCATACCATGGTAATAATATTTATGATTTATGACAAATTTATTATAAATGATTCACATTTCAATCATATCATGATCACTTCATATTTTTTGTAGTTTTAACTTGTATCACGTTGTGACCCCACAGTCGTTTCACTATGTAGAGTTTCTACGATACTGGGGGAATTAACGGGTGATACTCGTAAAATATCTGTTCCATATATTGGACCGTCGACGAGTCCAACTCGGCGCGCGTCCTGGTAGGTTGTAAACCTACAATGGGGGAACCGCGCACTTGTGCGCGGCGGGTCATACAACGTATGACAAGTTTTAACTCAGCTCAGCTCAAATTGGGTGTGAGCATATGAACAATGAAATAATTAAGATTTTAACCTGATACTCATCAATTCCCTTATAAAAAAGCTGCTTGGAAAAAAAAGGTATACAACGTGTATCAATACATTTACAATTGTAGGTTTATAACCTACCGGGACGCGCGCCGAGTTGGACTCGTCGACGGTATATGGAACAAATATTTTACGAGTATCACTCGTTAAATTTACAATGACGTTGCCGGTTCGACGCCAGACACGCCGCGCGCATTCTTATATTATATCATAATATTATATTGTTAATTATGTTATTGATCATGTTTGCTTCGCTTCGAATTAAAGCTACGTAATATTAACATACACATATTTTACTGTAACTTATAATTGTATTTAAAATGAGTTTTACTCTGCATATGGCATAGTAGACATTTTATTTGGTGTAACTTTTCAGCTCATTTTTATTTCATTTCCAGGGTTGTTCGATTTGCACCTAGCACAAGTTCTTTCTGACCGTGGTGTTTTACATATCTTGCCAAATTTGATATCTAACTGTTGTCTTCTGATATATGTAGCTTGACTTTAATGAAATAATTTTGGATCTTGTTTAGATTATTTTCTTTGAAGAACAAATTATTGACTTTTACATACAATTTTATGTTGCTCTACTAATTGACATTAGATTTTTTGATGATGTGTGGTGTATGGTGCTTGCCCTCACGAGCTGAGGTTTTACAGTTAGCAGTTAAAGGTGGTATATGCTTTTTGAAACCATGAGAATTCTTCCTTATTCGGATTTTATATATTTTGGAGGTAGTTTGGAATGGAGAGTTTGAGTTACTTTTGTACGAGCTGTCACATGGTCAGCCAAGAATTGGGGATCAAACCACAAGACTAGGTCCAAGCCCCTGTACCAGTCGAGGTTCGGCTTCTTCTGTTCTTCTTCTGTTCTTACTATTGTTCTAGGAATGCTAGAAATCGTTTTTTAAGTCGATTCATATATTTCATGGTTAGATTGAAATATTCACGAATAAGTGGGTATCTCTCAGTTTCTCCACGTAATCCACAGTTGGTAGATTTATGATTAACCCCAAGAGCCTATTTAAGGAAGTGAAGGTTACAGTTTAGAATGCTTATTTTCTTCAAGAATGATATGTGAGAAAGGCCAAGGAATTACGGGAGAAGCTTGAGGGGTTTTAGAATTTTTAATTGTTGATATGTTTTGAATAAAGATTGGGGCTCTGTATAGAGCAATCTGTTTTATTAGGCTATCAAAAAGTACGGTAAAGTAAAGACTTGTTCAAGATATTTTTGATTTACCATTTATAGTTATACATGGTGTCTTTTAGACTATGATAAAGGATGTGCATTGCTTTTTTCTTCAGTTCATCTCTGGCAACAGAGGACAAACCGTATTTGTAGTGTCCATCAGTGGCGTAACGAAGGGCCCCGCTGACCCCGCTGTGCAGGGGGGCGCCGTCTTAGGGGGGGCGCCAAATCGTCGTTTGAATGTGGGACAATTTCGAAAACTAAACTAAAGTACTAGCAAAACTGTGCGTTTTGCTCTAGATACACACTTTTTTAGAGATTTTACCGGTGTATCCTCTAGAATCACCTAATTTGTTCAATTTTAGGGAGGGGCACCAAAAGGGGAGGGGGCGCCAACAGGGGGGCGCCTTTTCGGCGGGGGGGGGGGGGGGGGGGGGGGGCACCAACAGGTTTGGTTTTGTCAAGATTAATTTCAATACAATCCTCGAATGAGAAGTTATGCAGTGCCTGTGTCATTTACAATGTCATGAGCCCAAATGTTTGGTTTTGTAAAGATTAATTTCAATACGATCCTCGAATGAGTAGTTACTTTTGCCGATATTTATAAACTACCCATGGCCATGACACACGAGAGTTATACATTGGTAAACAATTACAACATTTCATACAGGATAGGATGGCAAACCTCCAGCACATGCAATGGTTCTCTGCAGGATCTCCGTGTATCCCCCTGCAAGGTAACTATTTTAATTCAACTGGTGGGTAATTTAAATTTTCTTTGTTATGAAACTAGCAAATTAAGTTAAATAAGAAACTTTCTCTGCTCATCTTTAAATTTAATGAACCTTGAATGCGTACAACAAGGCATCTTAAAAGGTTAGAGATCATTGTCTGGCTTTATTGTAAAAGTTTGGTATTCTAGTCAAGCTTCTTGCTTTGATTAAATTCCATATTCAGATCATTTGGATATGGAATTTGTTATATATATATAATGATGAATAAGATATAATTATTGTTACAGATTATAAATCAAACAAAACAAATTTTTTGTCATAAAAAAATGCAGTAGGCGATAGGGTGAACTGTAGTGCACCGATTTACAGTTAGCGGTTTTTAGAAATTGTCAACAAGTTCAGCCGATCAAGTTGCACATGAAAATCAATCCAATCGGTGCCGGATCACTTTTAATCCATTCCCCGGTCAAAAATACACTTAGATTTCAACTGGGTAAGTTTTCCCAATTGAACAATCAGACAAGATGAGAATTCAAATCTTCAAAATAGCTGAATTATATCTTGATAAGGCATCTGCTAAACATGTTACGAATCATCGTCAGTAGCATATCAACCTAAGATTAAAAATTAGTGTGACTGAAAAACCCCCGAAATTGCATCAAATAAAAATTAGTAAAAAAGCTAACTTAACGTGGAGATGCGGAAGATCAAAGGGGTTGACTGTAGATTTCAACTGTTAATCCTTAATCGCTCCACTATAATAGTGCAATGTTATCATTTTTTAAGGTAAATAAATTGCATGGTAATATTGATTGAAAGAGATGAATTTTAGATAATGAGCGATTGTTTGTGCTATAACATCTAATATCAGGAAACATGCCGCTGTTGCCCGCCCCCATACCTCGCCTCCCTCCTCAATCCATGCTCACCAGGTAAGTTTTAGAGGAGACAACATTACATGTGTCAACAACAAGTATATTTAGTACATTTATTAGTTAGTATGTATATTTCTACCTTCCTTCTGAAAGTGCAATATTAATTAAAATTACCTCAGACCTGGAATATTCACTGATAGACCATTTAAACCGGTAGTCCCTCTCGACAAGTGGATATTTCCTGGAAACGGTAAGTTTTTCATCTTTTTATTGCTAAAATTCGGATAGTTATTTTGGGCCCGACTGAAATTATTCTATTGAAAAGGTTGTGTAACCAAATGAATTAACAATTATTAGATCTTGATACTGAAACCCTAGTTTCGTAGATCAAGGAGTAAGAAGCGAAGTGGTAAGTTAAGGTTATGTAATAGGACTTGTGTAATAGGACTCGTGTATGTTTCACTGTTTCGTTCATGTCATATTTCGTATATTTGAAGCCAGTTTTTTATCAAATTTTTTTGTGCTTCAGAAGAGGAAATGTTCAAATATAGCAGTGGATAGTTTCAGCTTCTCAATGGACTATTGGAATGGAAAATTGCATAATTTATAATGGAATCAGTTGGTCAATTAGCTTCTACTAAACAATTAGCCACTTGCTGGAAAACTTCTTAGTCATTGTATTGATCAACAAATTCAATGTTCAAACAATATGTTTTCAATGAAACAATGTCAGTAAGCCTCATATTACATTCCTTTAATCATAAATAGAATTAGAGCTTAAACCACGATTTAGTTAACTAAAAATAAACTTGAAGAATAGAATGTTCTATAATGATCATATACATATGTATATATAATGATATAGTAAAATCTACTTAGATATATGTATTTGTATTACGGCAATTGGTTGAATTTCGTGAGACAGGGTCAGTTTATTATTTACCGTGTATATTAAAGTCACTATTGTGACGGTACATTAGAACTAGACAGAAACAAAAGGTGAAGGGCCTGAACGGAACCCCTCGGTTTCAGTTCCTTGTTTAACACACTTAATATTTCATTGTGCAAAAATAAGTTAAAACTTTTACTTAATTGATTCCTATCACTGAGTTATGATAGCTAAGTTGGTTAAATTTGTATGCTGATTAGTAAAAAGCTCTAAGAAATGATATTATTTTCATTAACGGATATAATATTATATACAATATAAACATTGAACAGGATTACATAACACACATAGCATTCTAACGTTATACTTCTTTCTTTCATTTTTCGTCATTGTTCAATTAACATGCCTTCAATTATTATTCTTTACTTTATTCAAATCAAAAATAGAACTTAAATGAAAATCTTAAAGATCTAAAAACATGCCTTGTCAATACTTAAAATGTTTATATTATGAAGGAAGATGTGGTTATCATTACATATACTAGACCACTGTCCCCTGTCTGACCAGATTGGGCATGTTTACCTATTTTCACTGCCTAAAATTCTGGCAGGGTTCCTACCTAAGAACTCCAAAATTTTACCATATTTGGTGTGGGATAACCTTACCATATATGGTGTGAAGCAGGCGAAGGAGAACACTGTCAAAACTCGCACTTTATTTTATGTGTAGTACTTGGAACGTTTGTAAATATTTGATCGTGTCGTTTGCTTATTTCGTCATTGCGTATTATCTTACTTATTATAAAATTAAATATTTCCTTAATTAATTATCTTAAATTCCCTGAAATTCTTTAGAGTATTATCATACGGAACATCAAAATTAAGGAGTAATCGTCTTGGTGTGTAAAATGTAACAAATCTGCCCCGGACACTCGTATGTTGTGAAGCTTGGCAAATGTTGAATAATAAAATATAGGATCATGATTGGATCTGTTGACTTTTCAAGTATAAATTACTCTCGGATTACTGTTGTTTAGGACTTCATAATAAAATTTTAGGTCTGTTAGATGCAATGATTGCATAAATTAATAAATTACGTAATTTAAGAATTAAGATTTGCGATAGCTGATTATTTACTTTCAGGAGATGGTTCAGTTTAACAACTCCGGATACACGGACTGGAGCAGCAGGATCAAACATACTAGCTACCCTAATGGTTAGTTTTAGTACTGTTTCTCTACATCTTTCTGAGTTTACTTTTAAGAAGATATTTTAAATAAATAGATATTTTAAATAAATAGAACCTGATTGTAGAGTTAGAGAAGGGGGGAGAGGGGTCTTCTATGTACGACTTTCTTTGAATCCGAGACTTTTTATTTTAGAGACTTTGTGTTGAGGTTAAACGTATTTCTTATCTCGTTCAGTTCTATACGTTTGTACATAAATTATTGTTGTATCATGTTGTTCTGTAAACTGTATCCAGGTTCACAATTCTAAACAATACCTTATCTGACCATGTCACCTGATATGTCCTTATAAGGGCATCATTCCACGTGACCATGGCCACATTTTACAGGTTTATGCATGATAGGTACAGTTAACGTCTGAATCATAACGGTGTAAGATCGTGCAAATTACACTCTTAAACAAGGTTCCAATTTATTACCGTTCTAATGGTAATTATGTTCTGCCAGTCGTAGTAACTGTGGAATGCCATGGCCCCCTCAGTTGGTCTGTGTTACGATCACGTGTTGGTCACATCACACATTGCATGTTGTCATGGTGATTTCGTCCTCTCCTTTCATTGGTTCGAGTCTGTCACGTGGTTTAATTACTCAAAAGTCAAATTTGATAAGTTTAGCGCACCTTTTCGGGTACTTAGTGAAATTGACATTTGTTTGATAAAGTTTGCAAATTTGGCTGGTTTTATAATACGCTATCTATTGAGAAGGGAGAGATAAGTAAATAGTGGGGTTTAGAGGGACGCTTCACATTCCTGTGTTCCCTGATTCTGTATACGTGAGACCTGTGACAACATTGCGTGTTAGCCCACGTGTCAGCCCACGTGTCAGCCCACGTGTCAACTCTTCACATCCACACGTTTTGTAGCTTCTCAGTCCAAACTGTAGGAAGTCCTTTTTACATTGTCGACATTTACTTTGACTTGCTGCGTTTGCGTTATTATTCTGCTTGTTTGTGAAACCCAAATCTAAACAATCAGGACTATAAATTAATAAATTTGATAAACCTCTGTTGAAGAGCCATTTTATATCCAGACTCTTACTATTGTAACCCGATAAAGAATAATAACAGACACTCTGAGTTTACAAAGAATTGATAAGCTACAGTAACTGCTCTCCTTTGGGCCGAACTTTTCAGTATTGTACAACGCCAAGGACTGTCGAGTGTCGAAGAGTTAGAATTTTACCTTAATTTCGCTTTAAATCGAGTTTAAAAATACTACTTATGAAAAACCGGTAAATTATAGTGATCTCGATCTTTCGGCTTCCTTCTGAGACGAAGGCTTCGGTGAAGTTTACCAATTTACCCCACTCCAGTTTACCCCACCCCAGCTGACACGTTTTTAGCGCCTAAGTTTGCCCATATCTGAACAGTGTGACTGATAATGTAATTCTATATGACTATTTAACCCGTGAACCAGTCCTATCAGTCCTCCACTCTCCGCCATATTTTGGCGATGTTTTCTCTTTTTCTCAACAGTCGCTTTATAAATTCCATTTTTTTTCCAGCAAAGTCGAGTCGTTTTCCTAGTCTGAATGCTTTTTGTTTTCGTAAACCGATACCGTGGTTACCACATTCCTATTAAGCCACGTGACCTATATTCTGACCTGATGTGTTGTATAGACCCTTGTTGATTGGACCATCGCTCCATGTTTAGAAGGTATAACCACATGGTTAGTGAGGTTTGCAGATGTTTGTTACACAGTATCGGGTTATGACCTCCACTTTCCCTCCTAGTCTTTGTTAGTGAGCACCCCCCGGCTGCAGCTCACTACATCTGATGTGTACTGCAGACATAGTACTGTACTGTGTTCGTCATGTCCCTCTTAGCTGAACTACTCCTCTACTCTCCATCCTGAACGTGAGTCATGTTCAAGTCACATCAGGGTGTTTTGTTTTTTAAATTTTATTAAACTTCAGACTTAGTACAAGTACAACTTGCATGTTTTTGGTTTGGATTATAACTATTTGGAATATTCTGTATGAACACTCCAACTCCGCAGTTGACATAACCAGGTCAAAACTAAAAAGTGGTCACTAGCCGGCTATCCAAAAGTGGTCACTAGCCGGCTAGTGACTACTTAATGGCTACTAGGCGGTCACTAGGCGGTCACTAGCCGGCTACTAGCTTCTTTGACAAATTAAGAGTGGCTACTATGCTCCCTCTGCAAGGCCTTTCAAGGCTCTCCAGGAGACCTTGGTGAACCTTAGAGGACCTTTTGAGGACCTTTTTCTGTGGACATAACATTTCTATATTCCAGTAACCTCCCCACATAACATTTCTATATTCCAGTAACCTCCCCACATGTGCGTTTATTTTCATTCTTTGTTAATATATATAATTTGTCCCCGTTCTTCAGATACATTATTCAAGATGGGATCTCCTACATATCTCGAGAAGCCGAACATTCTCAACATCTTTGACATAAAGGTCAGTCTGTCAGGTCACGTGCCATATATGTCACATGTCACGTGCTATATATATGTTGAATTATTGATGTACTTGTCATATATTACAGCTGATAACGCTACTGTTTCCAGCCCAACAGAATCACAATGAAGATGGATATTTCCTACACAGATCACTCCTTTATTATAGGTAGAGGAGGTCACAACATTCAGTCAGGTTAGTAATATAATATAATTTTCTGTCACCTTTATTAAAAACACATTCTCTCAAAGGAATAATTGTGGTTCATTCTAATTATAAATTTTCCTCAATCACTTTCTCACAGCCTATAGTTTTAAAGTCTCTCAAAAATGTTCCGCCATATCACATTAATCCTATGAAATTTGCATGATTACGCACAATTCCACCATCTGACGAGTGACGATCTGACGGTCAAAAATGTTAAAATATTTGTACTGGTTAGAATGTAATATAGGAATAAGAACGTCATATTTATGATTTAGTGTCAAGTTTAATGTCCACTACTGATACTAGTAGTGTATACACTAGTAACTGAAACTAGTAGTGTATACACTAGTAACTGAAACTAGTAGTGTATACACTACTGATACTGCCTGCAATGATTGACTCTGTACTTTATTTCAGTGATGAACGAGACCAACTGCCACATTCATTTCCCTGATAGTAACCGGACTTCTTGTAAAGAAAAAAGTAATCAAGTATCACTCAGTGGAACAGAGAAAGGGGTTGAGGAGGCTAGAGTTAGAGTCAGGGTTAGTTCTCTTTCCTTCTTAAAGTAAGTTCACCTTCACTTTCCCTCTGAGAGTAAGTTCACCTTCACTTTCTTTTTCAAAGTAAGTTCACTTTCACCTTCCCTCTGAGAGTAATTTTACTTTCACTTTACTTTTCAGAGTTAGTTCGCTTTCGCTTTTCTTCTTAGAGTTAGTTCACTTTCACTTTCCTTCTCAAAGTAAGTTCACTTTCCTTCTCAAAGTAAGTTCACTTTCCTTCTCAAAGTAAGTTCACTTTCCTTTTCAAAGTAAGTTCATTTTCCCTTTTCATTTGCAAGTTCTGATTGTTAGATTTACATTTTACAGCCTTTCTTTCGTGTGAATATACGCCGGCAAAACGATAATCCCTTTTATTCTCGGTTTGTTTGAAAGCAGTCAAACTCCTCATTAAATTAAAAGTTTTACCTGAATAAATAATGGTCCCTAACAGAGCATGTTGCCGTGTACGATGATGGTGGAAGTATTTCCCCCGCCCTCCGGCCCCACCCACCTCGACCCACACCACCCTAGGATACTACAAGTAGCAGCAAAGTACGGGGTTATGATCTCGTTCCGAGAGGTAAGGACTAATGAGCTAATGAGTTAATGATGTGATGAGTCTCGTTTTACCTTGTATATTTGTGTTTTGAAACTTACAAAATTTGGTAAGTCTCGAAATATTTTCACTATTTCGATTGATTTTAAGAGCGGCATTATAATCGATCATTATATTCCGCTTGAATTTTTAAGGTTTTGATGTACGTGAATTCCAGATTAATCTTTTTGTAGTGAATTTGATGATTAATAATTAATTAACTATAATTAACTCCAGCAACCCACTATGATATCGTTCATGGTTGTGGTGAAGGGCTGTCCAAAGAGACCCCAACAAGTGGCTAGTGCTTTGATAGAGATCACAGAAATCTACTGCAACACCTCCGTGGTAATTAGTAATTAGTGGTACAAATAGTGGTATTTAGTGGTTAAATACTTTTAACACCGTTATTAGCCACAGTTCATCCACAAGAAGTCTCGCTTTCTGATCTAACATAAGATGAAAGTGAAAGTGTAAATAACCCTAAAACCCTCTCAGCCGAGACTGGAATACACTGCTCAGCTGGACATCTCCCCCCAACACCATATGTTCGTAGTGGGCAAGAACAGGTGCAATCTACAGGATATCATACGCAAGACTGGCACATTGTGAGTAGTAACTATTAGACTTAGTCACAATATTTAGTAACTTTCACATAATCATGTTTGTAGTGAACATTAATTTGAAAGCATTGAGGTTAATTTTAAAATAAAAGAATTGATGTGCTGTGAGAACTTTCAATATTACTGAAAGTATTAAAGTGAAAGTGAAAGAAAAACAATTGGTTCCAAGTCACATACTGACAGATGTATGAGGTTCCACCACAGAAAACATTTTACTTGTCAGTAACAAATAACAGGCCGAGCCGCTACCCTGGATTTAACACATGATTTAATTTATTATAATAATTGAAATATAATTTTCAATTTTTACGTGCAACGCCCACACTACAAATCGTTTCTGCGTGTAAAGCTGTTTGAAGAGAAATTGTTAGCGGTTTTGCTTGCAAGCAAGCGTGTGCGTAACTAAGTCTTCATTTTCCGTACATTAAATTCTCAGTTCAATATAAAGCACAAACTTTTAGTAAGCTGACTTACACAGCAATCTATCGATAAAAGAAAATTTTAAAAAAATCTCTCTTTTTTGTTTCACTACAAAATGCACCGTGATAAAAGGTGCTAATATTGTAAACACTCTAACAAGCCTGCTCCTCACTCTTCACAAGCAAAACTTTTCAATCTATTTCGAGACAAGTATAGAGGCAAGTATAAGAGAGTATATAACATGTCACGTGATAAGCTCCACCTCTCACTTTGTCCTGCTTGTTACTCTCCGCTGCACCAATGGGCTGCACTGCCTTGCAAAAATATTTAAGATATTGACAATAAATATTAAATATGTGTGTTATGGTGTTTTTAATGCTTTAAACTGAGAATTACCGGTATTTGTCGTGTAGATGTGTGAATGTGCGCCGAACAAGGCGAATTAGTGAGTATCACATGTTAACATAGTGAGTGAAAACAAGAAACCGGTTACTTAGTGATTTGGTAACTGGTTACAATATGGTAACTGGTTACAATATATTAACTTGTTTATTGAGTAACCTGTTAATGGTTCAATTTGTTACATAATTAATTTATACCGCGAAAACGAACAAAAAACCCGCGTTACTGCGTAAAAAACAGTCCTAGCATTAAGGGATCAGATTTGCAGTAGTTTCTCCTGAACCCTAGGTGGCCCAGTACCTTCACCACAATATCTCCCTCCTCAGGATCCAGTTTCCTGACGGGACTCAAGTAACAGGTCCCAGGAGGAGTGCTGTTATGATTACTGGGGCTTTTTATTCTGTCATCGAGGCTAAAAAACTTCTCATGGTAAGGAGTTTTCTTATTTCATTTTCAATTTGTTATTTTATTATAGCTTTCTCTGGTGCTTTACTTTAGATGATATCATTATGAACCTTTTTTCAGGAGCAACTACCTATTTTCCTGATGTTTGACGTGAAACAGGACACTGCATTTGTCAACGATACTCGTAATATATTCTGAATTATTCAAACATTTATTTAAAAAACATTATTTGAATGTGACTGTGCATAGACACATGGAGAATAGTCTGATAAACAAGCTTATAAACATTAAACAAGCTGATAAACATTAAACAAGCTGATAAACATTAAACAAGCTGATAAACATTAAACAAGCTGATAAACATTAAACAAGCTTATAAACATTAAACAAGCTTATAAACATTAAACAAGCTGATAAACATTAAACAAGCTGATAAACATTAAACAAGCTTATAAACATTAAACAAGCTGATAAACATTAAACAAGCTTATAAACATTAAACAAGCTTATAAAAATTAAACAAGCTGATACAAATGTAATGAGAACATTATCCTTGGCGTGCAGTAAAATAATATTTATGAGAATTGAGAAGAAATATCTTACTGAGCCTTGATTGTTCATATAATTGATACCAAATAAGCATCTGAACGCTCTAAAGTTAACGATCTTTTGTTTATTCACCAATAAGATGCACTGTTCATTTCCACAGCTATGCCACATATAATACATTACTCATTGTAATATAAGTTAATAGCTTAATTAAGGATGTAAAATATATTGAGAAACAAAGCTGTGAATGTGGGCTACAGAACGGATTACGTTTCAGACATATCACCTTCAAGAGGTTTTACTTATAAAGGTAAAATGTTTAATACATTTATATTTCCAGGTTTGTTAACGTCGATTATGGAGAAACATTCAGTGTACATCTCGATAAAACCAAAACCAAAGCAATGCTGCTGGGTAAGTCTGGGTTTCATTATCAAATTAATAAATTATATTTTATGCCCTAATTCCTTAGACGTAAGTTCAAATTGAGGTAAAACCACCCTCTAAACGTTATAAGTTTTAAATTCACAGAGGTTTATAATCTCAGACAGTAGTTTTGAAGACGAAGGAGCGGAACACACCCAACCTCTACCTCGCAAGAAATGACCTTATCACAGAAATGGAAAACGCCTCCCCTAGGTTAGTGTTATCTGGTAACTGTTTCGTTGAGGATGTGTTTTATGGATATAATTGAGATTACCTCTGTCAATCTTCTTCTTTTTGTTTGTTTTTATTTTGTACGGTTTTCACTGTTGTAACAAGAGCTTTAGTTTACCTGGACTAAATGAACATTTCCTGTAAGACTTGAATACAAGAGATTAGAATAATTATACTATTTTACAATGCAACTAATGAATAATGTTCTGATCCGGACAAAACTTAAATTAACCCTGTTAATTGTTTAATTTCGAATAAACTTATTTCAGGAACAGTTCTCCCTGGCACTCAGTTTGTTCCAGCTCTAGGGTGAGTAATAACTGAACTCATGGTAACACCACTTCCAAATACATAACAATCACTTTAAGTTAAAACGATGCTTTAAAGCTTGTAACAATCGCCTCCCTCCCAGAGCTCGCCCACATCTGCTAATACAGCTGACGATACTGACGAACTGACTAAATCTCTCGCTCAACTGTAAGACTTACTTTATAGTGTGATAATAGGCTTTAGATTGTTGTCCCCAGCAGATTGACATTGAACAGTAAACACTCTTTGGAGTGGTCCCTGGGACTATGATCAAGACAGCAAGGAAATACTTGTCGGAAATCAGTTTTCAGATGGTTCTATATTTATATTAATTTTTCCTAAATACACAAGGAAAACTGTTATCTACTACCACGCCTTACTTACACTTCAGATATTATGTATTCGGGCTTATCCAAATAAGAGATTAAAGGGGTATATAATGTATCATATATATTAGGATGCAATGAAACTACTGGACTACGATGTATGGGGATTTACCACCCCATGGCAACATTAAAACATATCGACTCTGTTGCATAGTTTCCTGTTAATATAAAACTCCGTTACAAATTGAACTGGGATCTGGCAATACTACACCTTAGATCAATAAATATAAATAAATAACACATTGAACAATAATTTGAGGCAGAGAGAGGGACAGGGTCTATCTGAGTATCAGGTCATTGGTAGTTAGACCGTCGTAACTACTACAATAATTATCGTGTAAATAGTTTTAGTAAGTTGACTGGCCAGTACAATCTATTTCCGATCTCAAAGTAGGGCGGTGTCCCGTAAAAATGTGACCAAACAGTTTACAATTGTGGTAATGTAACACATGTGCTCCCTGTACGTACGTTTTGGTACGTTTTGGTGAGTTTGGCAGGGCGTGCTCAGGACAACTGCATCGAGTGCGTCCTCCTCCAGCTCAGCATTGAGTTATCGTTTGTCGGAGTGTATCCCGGAACCGGTGGTGTGTCTGGGTACTGTTCCATAAATCTGCCTAGACCAACTTTGAAACTGTCTAGCAATGTGATACTCCGGAGCTCCGATGGGAGCACGTTGAAGAGCTGAGCTGCTCTAACTCTGAAGCTGTTGTCGTAATCTGTTCTTACCGACAACTGTGCGTTTTTGTTCATGGCTGGGATCTCTGCCTTAATACCATGCCTTTGATGAGACTTGAACTCGAAGCCCGTATCGTTCGGAGCATGTTCATTAAGAATTTTTTAAATTGCTGTTCAATATCTATTTTTAGTAAACATTAACTGGGGTAGTAAAACCCAGTTCCCAATCAATCATTTTCCATACATGAATAATAGAATAACGCTCTCTCCGCCTCTGAAGGGACATCAACTTAAGCTTCTTCAGCCTGTCCCAGTACTGGAGATCACGGCAGCCAGATATCTTTCTAGTAAAGGATCTCTGTACAGTCTCCAGCTTTTGTATCTCTGTAACTTTTGTAGGGTTCCAGACTGGACAGCAGTACTCTAGCTTGGAGCGAACCATGCTTTTGTATAAAGTCAGCATGACTACTTGTGACCGGTCTCTAAAGGCACTCAATGTCCAAGCCGCCATTTTTCTAGCTCCTTGAACTGTCTTCTCTCTCTTCTGTCACAGGGTCCCTGTGACAGGGTGTACTCCCTGTGTTGTAGCTCAATCAATTTTACATTTTCAAGCTTTGTTTTAAAACTTCTTAAGTGTTTGCTTGCTTAAATGCCTTTTATTGCCGGACTAGTATTTTGTCGCATAATAATAGCAATGTTTCCATGCATGATTTAATACATATATTGTGTACATGACTTTTATTTTTTAAAGCTTGCTTATCTACAACATGTGATTAACCGGATGTTTTTTTCAGACTTTCTCCGCTCGCAAAACAACGTCCTCTTATATTAGTAAGTGTTATCTAATCATGTCCTTTCATTAGTGCTATCTAATCATCTCCCTTTCGGGGAGTGTTCATAAACTTTGTTTCTGAAAAATTACTATCAATCGGTCAACACAAATAAAGTGTGTTTGTGTTGCGCGCGGTAATATATTCGTACAAAAAGCGTCATATCTTTTATTTACCATGGTATAAATGCGCGGCGCGCGCGACACTGTTCAATTTCTGTAACTTTTCTGATCGGTTTAATTTACCAAATTATTTCAGGAGACTGATTATAAGGAAAAGCAACTTCTCGCCTTTAATGGTTCGTCCAATGCTTGTTTGCTGTATTACTCAAACATTTCATTTATTAAGAATCATTTTTGGTAAGATCCTGTTTTATAATAATAATAAACAAAAAGTAAATACGAAGAAAAATAGTTTCATTTATGATTTACGCCCCTGACCCTCCAATTTAATAAGGTGCTTTAAGATGAAGGATTCGATAGATAAAGTTTGAGCACCATTAGGCATAATGGTGACGTGGCTGCAGTAAACTTCGATAATTAGCTCTCGCATACGCTAAACTCTAAATTTCAAATATGGATAGTCGACATGCGCGACTATACATGTTCTAAAAATACACATGAGAAATAAACAAGGCACACTTCTCACTCGAGAACTTCATGTTGACTAGACACTAGTTTGAAAATATCTCCAACCAAAATCCAGATCTGAGTATCGCTTAAAATAAAAATAACTGGTAAAAATCAACTTCTGTTTCAGCTGTTAACGAACCAGACTTCAGTGTTTCCCGGAATCCGACAGATATCTGGTCAGGGTTCGGATTGTCCCGTTCTGTCCCAGCTAACGTTTGGAAGATAGAAAAGGAAGAAATGCAGAAAATAGAAGAAAGAAAAACTAGTGGGACCGCTGATTTTCCGGAATTGTTTGGAGATTGTACTCCTTGCCATGATCTGCCCAGTCTTCTTACCAAACACGGGTACCATTTACTGGCTCATACTTTACCAAATATTAAATGAAATACAGGTTTAAACTTTACCGATTTTACCAAATATTAGGTGAACATTTCTATAAAATTTGTATAATCCTCCTGTTCATCTGTCTTCAAAATATGTTGAATATTGTACTACTGGGTTAAATTAAAAATTCCCTTCTAGTAAGCCAGAAGGGTACGACCCCTACTTAAACATAGATGAAGGGGCCGCAGACTCTGGGGGTATCAATCTGGGGGTATCAAATGCTTTAGATAATTACTGTAAACAGAGGCTGGACGATGAGTTTATTAACATCTAAGGCTTCACTGCCCGGAAAGATGGGTGTAGGCCGCTACACATGTTATCCAGATCTGAGGTATATCCATAGATAGATGGGTCCTGATGTGCCAATAAAATTAGAGTGCTTGTACTTTGTATTATCTGTAAACAATGTCTTCATGACAGTCCCTGGCCAACTAGGAGGACATGGTAGGCTCAAGGCTGGGACAGTGGGACACCCATGAAATACCTAGGTTAACGTGACTAGGTAGTTTGAGTTCGTATTGTCACCGTGGTGTCTGCAGTTGCTGATCTAAATACTACTTAGTTCCTCAATGAGATCTGAAATTCTTACTCGGCTAGCGAAAATCACGAATAATACATTTTTTAGAATAATGGATTAAGATGTAACCACATGACATATCACAGCTAAATGAGAATACTACAAGCTCTGAGTTGGCAGGAATTGTTGAAATAAAGGACTTGGGATATCAGGTCTTGCCCTCCTATCTAATGGATACTGAAATGAATAAATAAAAGTTAATTTTCTAAAATCAGCAGGCTTACATTAACCAATCAGTAGCATTTAATAAAATAACACTCTAGTAATAAAATGATACTATAAGTTGAGTAATTAATTTAGAGTTATTTTAATGGTTTAAAGGATATGTTCAATGAAGTTTGAGGATATTTGTTATTTTGTACACGTATAAAAATAGTGTTTTTGATATTAGTGGCATAATTTTGGCATCTATTAACCAAACAAATTCAGAAATTCTGAACATTAGCCACGTGACACATACTCACATATGCACCGCTCAGAAATAAAATGTGTTGTTGTTAGGCAAAATAAGCAGCAAAGGGCCTTGTTAACTCCGTCACATTTTTACAGTGTAATAAAGTTTACATCTCACTATCGGCTGAATTTAAGCGATACCATATCATCTGATAAAAATATCGTTATGTAACAAAGTTTTCCTAGAGGATGAGACGATTATCCGAACCATTGAGGGTTTATATAGTTTCATAGTGTGACACAGTTTACCTCATCGTGCCATTTTATAGGGTTACTAATATTTCAACAATATCCTCTGCAGGTTGTCTCAGTACCTGACCGTGTTGCAAGCTCAAGAAGTGGATTTCTACACTTTCTTAACTCTTACAGATGAGGACCTCAAAGAACTGGGGATCACATCTTTCGGGGCCAAGAAGAAACTTGTCACAGCTATACAGGGTTGGTTTTTTTCTTCTCACGCCCTCCAACTTATCATCCATTTAGACTACTCCTTCTCAAATCTTTCTTATTCTTTTTATTCATCCACGGCCGCGATTTTCGAGATTCTTGCAGCGATTTTGTGTAGTTTGGCTTGTCGAGGCGCCGAGATTTTCGGCTTAAAACATCGCGATTTCCTAGTAGATCAGTAGAGTACCATTCATGATAATAAATTATTAAATATTCCCTCTGACCTCTGTTACTGCTACTTTTAGTTTTACTGTTACGTTCAAGTTATTTGGTAAAACAAAACACATTAAGAGTTCCAACTTGTAATTGTATTGATAAATCAGATGAATTAACCTTATATATGTTATAGGTAATATTATGTCACATTTCAGAGGAGGGAAGATTACATCAGATTGATCACAACAGTATTCTAAATGCCAGCAACCGGTGGTAGTTGCCGGTAACCGGTGGAAAATGCCAGTAGCTGTGGCACAACTGATCATTTATGATGGCTGGAACTGAGGGTCTTGTCTATTCTTGAATTTATTGTTAAAATCAGATTTTCAAAGAGTTGTTAATGTTATGGTTCTGAAAACTCAGTTAATACTACCACTAGAGTATAACTATAAGCTAATACTACTAGTATAAGCGCCAAACAACAACTGCATGGTAATTTGTGTGACGTAGTGACATATATTTGATATTTTAAAATTTAGTATTTATCATAATTTTCATAATTTTAGAAGTTTTAAGTTGATAAGTAGTGTAAAGTGTAAACTTTGTTCGGAAGTGCACAGCTTACGCTCAGAAACACGATTCCGGGGATTTGTAAAGTTAGGTAAATTTGTCCCCAGAACGGTCGCGGTGGATCTTATTCTTAGCCTGTTTACCATGACGCCATTGAGGTAGTTCCTGTGGTCCTGGATTGTGATCCCTGGACAATTAGCGTTAAATAGCGTCAATCAATTTCTGTTTCAATTTGACTAAGCTGATACACCGCAAGAATTGTATTTCGAATAGTGTAACTAAATTATGAATGGTTTGTATCAAAACGGCATTCTGGTGATTTCCCTATTTACCGACCGTACATATAACGACAGCAAGATGTTTAGATTCACAGGAAGTTTACACATGGCTATTGTGAGGAAGTTGCTGGCGTAATATGAGAACCCCTTTTTGTTTTTGTTTGAAGTTGGTTGTTCGTTTTTAGATAAATATCGTTTTTAGTATTTAGTTGACGGAGTATGAGGGCCTTTAAATTTGACATCGTCAATGACAGATTAATAATGATCTATTTGTCTCTTAAATCTAGGAACGACTATTTTCCAATATAACTATAATATACATATATTTAAGGCCAGAACAAGAGATTGGGGATAATCATAAATTTGGCAGTTTTCATATAATATGTGATGTAGAAAAACCCGGATTAAAATCCGACCTTGCGTTCCTGAGATGTCGCGCGCCAAAGTTTGAGGTTTACATTTTCAAACCACTACATCAGATTTGTAGATAATTGTTCAAAGAAGCGTACCACTGTAACAAACCTCAAGATCAGGAAGTGGTTTTCTCAACTAAGGAACCGAAAGGTCAAAAACGTTAGAGGTCAGAGCTGTTTTAAATCCCGCATACTAGTTTTAGTTCAAGTTATAGCATATAATAGGTAAATCTCGAATCTTTGGCGCGCGACATTTCCGGAACGCTAGGTCAGATTTTCATCCGTTTTGCCTCTTGCTCGTCTCCAGTAGCTCTATCACATATAATGTGAAAACTGAAACCCCTCCTTCTCTCTGTCTCTCTGTCGCCTTAATATTAAGATTAACGGGATATCATATCCTTGGTGGTGATGAGCTGATATTTATATAACTGTATTTAAAGATCATTACTTTGACCTTGTATTATATTACCTCTTTGACTCGGAGCATAATTTATGACGAATTCTGGCCAAAACTGATCAAATTTATAATTGCAACTTGTGTGATCAGGCAGGGGAAAATGTCCTCTAGATAAGATTGACCAACTTTTCTAACTTATTTGCTATGAAGAAAACAGTACTATCCTGGTTGCTGGCTAGGGAAATTATAGCTTACATTTTGAGGAACACTGATCACTGATGTCAAACTGAAAATAGTTGTAATGCCTACATAAAACTAAAAGGACATCAGTTCAGATTTTCGCTTAGACAATTGTTTTATTTCATAAGTTTTAACGGAATGTGCCAACCAGTATAGAAATAGAATATCTTATAAAATTCTTACGAAATGAAAGATTTTGGTAAATATCTTCACTGTCGCAGAAACGATATCATAATAAAACTTGGAACCTCGTCCTGATCACTATCACTATTTACCTGGGGACCTCAGGCTATTATGTTCATAAACAACAATAGAGATTCGGCGGAATGACAGGCTGAGCGCGGCCCAGTAATACTAATATCACTATCAGATAAGTTTTGGAAAGTTGGTCAATATTTCATATTTGTGAGGTTGAAATGAGTTGATAGAGTTTGTAACGTAAGTGGAATTTGTTGGTGACAGTTATGATATTTCCATAATATCGGAGTCGCGTGATGTTTTTATGTACCGTGAGTTTGATTGTTGATAACGGTAGTTTTTGGTTAAACATATATTATTTGTGAGTTTTATTTTTCTTCTGTAATCATAGTTACTCATTATGATTATTTCCCTCAAAATGAGGAATCACAATGTCAATAAAGTGTACTTTCGACTTTATTTGTTTAATCGCGTGCACGAAAGAGGTATATGGTGTATTGGTAATGGTATGGAACGCGTATCAACTGGTTAGGTAACCCGTAACGCCAGCAAAAGCCATGTCGCCCAAGCAGATCACTCGAAATAAGGTTAAATTTAAAATACTTTACCTGGGGACACCTCAGGCTATTATATTTATGTTCATAATCATAATATCCGAATAGAGATGACAGGCTGAGCGCGGCCCAGTAAGTGTGCGGCTGTATATCGTATATCGTGGCTTTCGCCACGACAATAGGGGTCATGACGACGTGATACAAACTATTAGTGTATTACATATTATATAGCGAGCCCATGTCGATCTATCCCACTTCAAATAATACTTGATCGTTACTTTGATTGCCTAGCCCTTAACGGGTGATACTCGTAAAATATTTGTTTCAAATATTCAAATTCAGGACCGTCGACGAGTCCAACTCGGCGCGCGTCCTGGTAGGTTATAAACCTACAACCTGGCCCTAACCTTGTAGGTTTATAACTTACCAAGACGCGCGCCGAGTTGGACTCGTCGACGGTCTTGAAACATGAACAAATATTTTACGAGTATAATCCGTTAAGCCCTAACCTTAACTGAAACTCGAACCGTGAACCGGTTGACGCACGCTGCAACCCCTTTTGATCGCGCGCGCCGGCTTCGCGTGCACGAGAGTGGAAAGGTGTGCAACGTGTAGCTAGCAATGAACCGGCTAACCCTAACCAATAATTAGACTGGGCGCGGTAGTGGGGTGGGCCCATTTTAGTGTATCTCGTACGCGTTTAACTGTTAACGGGCCGTGAATGGTGATACTCGTAAAATATTTGTTTCAAGACCGTCGACGAGTCCAACTCGGCACGCGTTTTGGTAGGTTATAAACCTTTAACCTACAAGTACGCCCATGGTTTACTAAACGCCGGATGCAGTGCTCAGCCCGTCATTTGTCATTCCACCGAATCTTTATCCCAGAAAACCTTACCGCCTGGCTCAGGCTGGCTCACTTTGTATCACGTGGTGACCCCCACGGTCGCTTCACTATAGTCTTCGACTATATAATAGTCTTCGACGATACTTCGTGCGCGGCGGGTCATACAACGTATGACAAGGCTCACTAGCTAGAGGTGCAGTGCTATTTTTTTAAAAACAGCCGGTTTGAGCTCGCGCACAACCTTAAGCACGCTCGACACATTCCACTGGCAATTGGCATGCACTTGTGACTTGGCACGATTTGGCCAATCAGAGGACAGCTACAGCCATGGGTTCGCAAAGTTAAAGTTGCGAGCTTTTATTTGACCCGAAATAATAAGACTTTTTCATGGGATAACTCAAAACCAGAAACCTGAAACCTACTTGTTTCACGTCGTGACCCCCATTGTCGTTTCACTATATTATTATATATTTTGTAGCGCGATGCGTTACTGTGCCGCGCCGCGCACTCAATGAGGCTTCTCACAGCGACACTGGCTAGATCGGCGAGATGCGCTATTGATTGACGATGTCAATCCGTCGAGATCGTTGCTCTGCGAAGCAGAGCAACGATCGCGTCGACGGATCGATGCGAAGCAAGAATGCTAGTTTGCGCGGCGCGTCGAAGTCCTCCAAGATGCGCTACTGTGCCGCGCCGAGCTGCCATGAATTGACACCGTCAATTGATATTATATTATATAGTGGAAACTACCCCTGTAGAGTTTCTACGATACAGGGGAGCCGCGCACTCGTGCGCGGCGGGTCATAGTCATACAACGTATGACAAAAACCTACGTTGTCCCAAATTGTCCTCCTGGGGAACTAACTTTTGATTTAATTTTACGAGACGAACATTTTGTTGAAAAACAGAAGTAAGTATTTAACTAACGATGTTGTAGGTTTACAACCTACCAGGACGCGCGCCGAGTTGGACTCGTCGACGGTCCTGGAACAGATATTTTACGAGTATCACCCGTTAACTAACGATGTCAATCCTTCGCAGCTCGGCGTTACTGGGCCGGGCCGCGCTCAGCCTGTCATTCCGCGCTCAGCCTGTCATTCCGCACAGCAGCGCATTTCGCCGATCTAGCGAAAGAAGTTTCATTGAGTACGCGGCGCGGCACAGTCAGCAACGCATCGCGCTACAAGTGGTAATGGGTAAGACCACTTCCTGTCCGGGTGTGTCCGAATTTTCAAAAATCAAAACCCTCCCATCCCCCGGACGTTCGGATTGTCGAATGTCGCCAGACTGGCTGGCGACATGAAGTATAAAAGGCAGTAGGAGAATATGCGAGTTGTGTCTCGGCTGTCATGAGCTGCTCTGGGAATCGACTTCTCGTTCAAAATACATGGACCTTGTAGGTTTACAACCTACCAGGACGCGCGCCGAGTTGGACTCGTCGACGGTCCTAATATTTGAAATAAATATTTTACGAGTATCACCCGTTAACTTAAAAAGTAATTAGTGTCAAAGAGTTGAAATAAATGAGATTTTTTCGTTAATTCTGCCAAAATTTCCGGATTTTCAGAAACCACCCCTTCCCCTGTCCGAAATTTCAAAACCACCTTCCCTCTCTATTTGCCGGACGTCCTAAGTAGATGGCCCCTTGTGAGAAGTATAATTATCAATTATTGTGTATCGGATGGGCGGCCCGGCCCAGTATATTAATATAGTGCATCGCGCTACAAGGTTAATGATTAAGGTAATGGTTAGGCAATCAAAGTAACGGGTGTTATTTGAAGTGGGATAGATCGACACGAGCGTACTAAATCACTCTACAGTCGATCTTCGAGATTGTTCTAAAAGGGCCCCCGACAGTTGAAACCAACTACAAT